TGGCATCCTCTGTTCTATCAGCTCTCCCTTCTACTGACTCCTTCTCACTCTTGCATCTGAACGCTGCTGCTGAGACTCTCCTCTCAACTCTTTCCTCCTCTCTAGACTCTCTCTGCCCTCTTATGACCCGACGGACTGGCAAATCCCTCCGGCTCCGTGGCTGTCTCAACCGGTGCGTGCCATGAGAGCCACCATGCGAGCATCGGAAAGGAGATGGCGTAAATATAAACAACCTGATGACCTGCTTGGATTTCAATTTCTTCTCTCCTCTTTTTCTGCTTCTATCTCTGCTGCCAAAAGCTCTTTCTACCAATCCAGAATCAAATCTTCATTTTCTAACCCCAAAAAACTCTTTTCGATCTTCTCCAACCTCCTCGAACCCCCTAGTCCTCCTCCACCCTTCTTCCGGGTGACATTGTCCACTACTTTACCAAAAAAATAGCTGACATACGCTCCTTTTTCTCAAACCCACCTCCTACTTCTTGCATCCCACTGACTTCTATCGCCCTCACTCTCCTCTTTCACCCCCCTGTCTCCCAACCAAATTCTTACCCTAGTAACCTCTGCTCGTCCGACCACCTGCCCTCTTGACCCCATTCCATCACATCTTCTACAATCTATCGCACCTGACCTTCTTCCTTTCCTCACCTGTCTCATCAACAATGCTGTTATCTGGCTGTTTTCCCAACTCTCTGAAGGAGGCAAGAGTTAACGCTCTCCTGAAGAAACCTATCCTCAACCCTTCTGAAGAAAACAACTACAGACAACCACCAGATCCTTATTTCCTCCCTTCAGGAACTTGGTGTCTCAGGCTCTGCTCTCTCCCTTCTCTCGTCCTACCTCGACGGCCGCACCTACCGGCTAACCTGGCGACGATCTGTGTCGGAACCTTGTCCTCTTACTACTGGAGTTCCTCAGGGTTCCATCCTGGGTCCTCTTCTCGCTCTACACAAACTCTCTCTGCGCTGTCATTCGCTCGCATGGCTTCTCCTCCCACAGCTATGCCGATGACACCCAACTAATTCTCTCCTTCCCTCACTCGGACACCCAGGTGGCGGCTCGGATCTCTGCCTGTCTAACTGACATCTCTCAGTGGATGTCCACTCACCATCTAAAAATCAACCCTGACAAGACTGAACTACTTCTCTTTCCAGGAAAAGATTCTCCGACCCAGGACCTGACGGTCAACTTTGGCAACTCTGTGCTAACGGCCACTTTAACTGCTAGGAACCTCGGCGTCACACTCGATAGCCAACTCTCCCTGACTCTCAACATTACTGCGACAACACGATCCTGTAGATACACGCTCTACAACATCAGGAGAATACGTCCTCTTCTCACTCAAGAGGCTTCTCAGGTACTGATTCAGGCTCTTGTCATCTCACACCTGGACTACTGCAACTCCCTCCTGGCAGTTTCTCCCTGCTACCGCCATTCGACCTTTACAGCTCATCCAGAATGCAGCTGCTCGACTGGTCTTTAACCTTCCGAAATTCTCCCACACTACTCCACTCTCTTCACTGGCTACTGGTGGCTGCCCGCATCCAGTTCAAAACATTGGTGCTCACATACCATGCTGTGAATGGATTGGGTCCAGCGTACATGGTCAAACCCTACATCCCGACCCGCACTCTCCGCTCTGCATCTGCAAAACTGCTCGTCCCTCCCTCACTGAGAGCAAAACACTCGACTAGATCACGACTCTTTGCTGTCCTTGCTCCGAAATGGTGGAACGAGCTCGCTGAAGACACCAGGACCGCAGAGAGCCTTCACATCTTCCGCCGCAAACTAAAAACACACCTCTTCAGACTCTACCTCGACTAAAAGACTAACAGATTGTAGCACTTAAATTGTACTTATAACGCCACTCATCTATAGCAAATTGTAAATTGGCTTATTTGAGAAAAATGCACTTGTTTTTTCTTGTTTATTGTTCTTCTGAGTTTGTACCCTTTGGTTGAATGCACTTATTGTAAGTCGCTTTGGACAAAAGCGTCAGCTAAATGACATGTAATGTAAAAATTCTTCAAGATAACCTAAAATCAACAGCCCGAAGGTTGGGTCTTGGGCTGATGCGTTCCAACAGGACAATGACCCCAACCACACATCAAAAGTGGTAATAGAATTACTAAATCAGATTAGAATTGGGGTTTTAGAATGGCCTTCCCAATCCTGACTTAAATCCCATTGAGAACATGTGGACAATGTTGAAGAAACAAGTCCATGTCAGAAAGCCATCAAATTTAACTGGACTGCACCAATTCGGTCAAGAGGAGTGGTCAAAGATTCAACAAGAATCTTGCCAGAAGCTTGTGGATGGCTACCAAAAGCGCCTAATTGAAGGGAAAATTGCCAAGGGACATGTAACCCAATATCAGTACTGCTGTATGTATATTTAAATAAAGTCATAAAAGAACCAAACTTCATGAATGTTTTTTGTGACACAGAAGTATCTGTTCCAATCACTCTCAGAGAAAAAATCAGACTTGTAGAAATAACAGGGAAACTCAAGAGAGCCGTGACATTATGTTCTTTACAAGTGTATGTAAACTTTTGACTTTTACAACTGTATGTGTGGATGTGACTTGTAGAAAGTAAATCCTTCCACAGGGATGGGTGGTGGTAGATTCCTGCAGTGACCCCAACTTTCAGATTAGCCAGGTTTTGCTCTTATCCACAATTTCACACAGTGGATTATCTACCATCTTTCAGCAGTGGATCTCATAGGCAATCTGGGAGTCCATGAACAGGCCTGTGTGATTCAGAAACATCCCTTCTGTCTCTGATGTAATCACAGGCTTGGCTTCCCCTCCCTCTCCTGCCATCCTCCTCATGGTCTGTATGTCGCCCTCCTGCTGCTGTTGAAGCTTTTTGTTTGGGGGTAAACTGTGATTCATGGTCTGGCAAGGCCCAGAGGAGAGGGTGTGGCTTGAGGTATCCGATGGAACGGGATAACCCAGGTTTGTGGTGGAAACCACTGTCGTGGGAGCAGAAGGCAACACAGGCTTTGCTCTGTTGAGGACGTACATCTCATGGCCGCGCTCATCACGATACTCCTCCAGCTGGGCAAAGGTGGTTGGGCCATCAGAGTAGTCATTCACATACAGGATGCTCTCCTCCTGCAAGTTAGTTTATATTCAGCACTTTTGAGGTACAGCAATAATTGGAAAAAAAGCATGGACATTTATTTTCTAATTAGGATGGCCTTTTTGGTTGCATTTTTTCATTCCTCAGCTCGGCCTCTCTAGTTAAGGAACATTTGAACATCCGACAAGTAGACTCTCAATTCCTCCTGAGGGGGGCCAGAGAGTGACCCGACATTTATAATTAATAAATAAACAATCTGTCACACCCCATTGTATTTTCAAGTTTTCCTACGGCCTAAAAACAGACCATTGGTTGGCCACCAGAGGCCCTCTTGAAACAAAAGCAATTATTAGGAGCCAGGCAACCAGGTGGATGAGGCCCTATCAAATTTGATAGAACTATATTCTTCCTCTAAATCAATTTTGATACATTTTCTCAAATGTGGTGAAAAATGAGGGTTAGCACAAGGGTTCGGTTTCCAGGTAATGTATACTTTGATGAACTCTTCCTAAAGATTTCCCAAAATACTATTACTTTCATCATAAACCCATATTACTGACTATGCTTCTTTACTTTCAAGTCTTGCTTTCCCTCCTCACTGATTTCTGTGGATGGTGGTTATATCTAATCGTGGTTATATCTGATGGTGGTAGTCCCTGCAGCGGTCGTGCCTTACAGATTGCTTACTACTCTCAATATTCTAATAATTTCTGTAGAAATACATATTGTACATCGGCTAGGTTGTTAATTGACACATGACACATGACATCATTGCATCCTGTCCATCCCTAACAACCCCTTTTCTCCCAGTTGTAGGGTTTCTTTCATCTTTGAGGGAGTTTTTCCTGTGCCAGTGTGTGGTCTATAAAAGTTTCAGTTTTCATGAAAATAAATTACCACCTTGGCAAAATGCACCTTTTGTTGCTATAACTTGAGCGTACAATGTCCGATCTGCTAAAAAAATTCTCATGCATGTTGATTGTCTGGGCTCCAAATTAATAGAAGGTACTATGAAAAAAAACCATACCAGATACAAATATCAAGTCATTATCCTCCCATCCCTTCCTTTCACTTACCAGGAACCTTTTTCTTGCTAATTTAAAAAAAGGAACATTTGTTGAGACACACACCTTCTCAGCTCCATCAGCTTCCTTTTCTCTTTGGTGATGTCGGCTGTAGATCATGGCGACCAGCAGCAAAGCAGTCAGAGACAGCAGGGAGATGCCTACAGCAATAGCAGTTTGAGTGGCTGCTCCCAGAGCGCTAAATGCCATGCTGCCCAGTGCGTACAGTGGCTCTCTGCTGACATCTGAGCCTGTAGCGGTACCATGGCTCCTCAGCCTGGGCCAGGATGGTGAGTATGGCAAGGACACCTGGGACCACGAGGCCCAGATTGGGGAAGAAGAGGAGGAAGAAGAGGTTGATGAGTTGATGGCAAGCTGAAATGTCACCCTGGCCACACCCCCTGCGTTCCAGGCTTCACATTCATAGAAACCTGCATGAGCCACTGTCACATTACTGAGAAACAGCATGCCACTGCCAGTGTCTGGGTCAAAGTGCTCGCCATCAGTCTTCTGCAGACTAACTTTGCCTTCTTCTGAGGTTTCCTCTCTTCCACTTCCTCTTGCACCCAACTCTTGAACTAGGCCTCTGGGAGAAAACTCCACTTTACCCTGGGACGCCTTCCTCCAGGTCACCTGGAAAATCAGTCAGAGAATTGTTTTGCTTATATCCATGCATTGGCCTGCTGCACAAAAACCTGTCTTTGCTTACTAGGGAGTCTGAGCGACACGCAACCTCAACAGACAAATGCAGAGATCGCAAATGTATGTATGTATTGGAAATATGTTTGGGACAACAACTCAAATCAAAACAGAACATCCACAAATGCACTGAAAACCCTGATTCCCTATCCAAAAACCTAATTATGTGAAGCGGGAGCAACCAAAATTAAATTGAGGAGTAGTTTGGAGATAAGGAATGGCGTTGGGGTTCATTGTCTTCCATTGCCCCTAGATGGGAGGCTCATTGCAGAGAAAGATTTTTTTGTAAACTCAAATGACTCTTGATATGACTGTAACATTGATTCAAAAATTACTTGGAGGTATATCCAATTTTTTTCGGCTGATATTATATTTTACAATGTGAAATTGTGGTTAAATGCAAACTCCTTTAACTCTGTAACAGTAATATTCATATAATTTATTGTATTATATAATAATTATCATCGGTTCTGACTTTCCCCAAAAGGAAAGTCAGAACCGATGATTCTCTCTGCAATTTTAATGACTTGATTATACAACGATACGATTACAAAATCGATCATTGATGTATTAGACACCAACACAAGCCAGTTCACTGGTAGCATTTAGTGTGTATCTTTTGTGTATTTTTGAATGCTGTTTTTTAACTGATATACATGCAAGATTTGACGTGGAAACATACTATATACCAATTTGTTAGTATTCCTACCTGTGGTCGTGGGTAACCAGAGGCATGGCATGACACCCTGAGGCTCTCTCCCAGGCGCACTGCTAGCCTCCTGGGCTCCAGCTGCAATAGTGGAGGGATACACACCAAGCTATTGAGAGGTACCTCAACCAGGCTGAGGTGAGAGAGGCGTGGCGGCTCGGTGCACACCAGTCGACGTTCTGCAGAGCTAAGCAGCCTCTGGCCCTCTGCATCAATCCAGCTTCTCAGCCAGTGGAGAGCACAGTCACAGCGCCATGGGTTGTCTACAGCAGAGCAGAGGACGGGAGGTTAGGTTGTAATCCCTTGATGCTGAGGCCATCGAGGTCCTAGTTACTGGTGCTGACATAAATCAGTCAATTGGTTTTGAACTGATTTGCAGAAAATTAGGAATTATAAATTAAAGGTTCGGGAGTAACCATACGAAGATAGATAAATTAGAAATGGGAATATGGAATAACTTAACAGGAATTCAATAAAAATGTCATTGTGTCAATTAGACAATAAACAGTGCCTTGTTTTTATTTGTAGGAAATGTATTTGTTGAAAAAAAAAAAAAAAAAACTACTTTTCCTCAGGATGTTCCCCAAACATCCTATACATCTCACCTATGACACGCAGCACCTGTAGGCTGACTAGAGGACGCAGGGATGCAGGGCCTAGAGTGTGAAGATTGTTCCTACTCAGGTCCAGCAGAGCAAGAGAAGTCAAACCAACAAGAGCTTGGTCAGCTAAAATCTCGATATTGTTGTGCTGCAAATGGAGCTCCTGCAGGCGCTGAAGGGACAGGGCCAACGGTCAATTTCATCAAGGAATGAAGTAAACTGCAGTGCTGAGAAGGACATGGTAATTGCATCTTGCATAGTTGGCTCCATGTTGAAATTTGTGTGAAATTTCATGGACCTACCTGTAAACCACGGAAGGTGTAGTCTAGTAGGCGTGTGATGTCATTTTGTGCCAGGTAAAGAATGCGGAGATGTCCCAGTCCCTGAAACATGTCAGCTGTTACCAGGTGGACTCGGTTCCCGTTCATGGCCAGCTCCAGCAACTGTCCCTGGTTCTGGAAAGAGCCAGGCTCCACTGCTGAGATGGTGTTGTTCTGGAGAAAGAGCCAGGGTCACAAAAAAATCTGCTCTGAAACTGCATCTTCTACTGCTGATAATATTCTTTCTATATTTAAAGCAGTGCCTTAACTGCTTAAGAGCTGGTTCTTTTTTTTTGTTCTGTGCCTGCTGACACAAATGTGTCACTTTGTTACATCTCGTTTTACAATGTTTTTCACCCACATTATAATATTGACAGAAAGTGTTACTCTGCTTGATATATATTGACATATAGGGACAACTACTACTAGTAATATTAGTAGTAGTGTTTTTAGTACTAGTACAAGTAGTATGAGTCATTTTAGTAATAATAGCAGTAGAAATACTAGTAGTAGTAGTAGTGTTAGTAATAGTATCAGTAATACAGGTAATTGAAGCATTAATGACAGTATAAATACTAGTAGTACTTTTTAAAGATAGTAAGAGTAGTATTATTAGTTGCAGTGTCAGTAGTATTTTAGTACTACTACTAGTAGCGTTACAGTAGTAAGAGTCATTTTAGTATTAATACCAGTTGAAAGTAGTAGTGTTAGTAATGGTAGTAGAAGTATCAGTTGTAGGAATGAGGAGGAATGGGGGGGCATCCCTTAAGGCTGGCGCATGCTTCTGTGTCTGCGTTGTGGAGTCAACGCACTCGTTTCAATTCATGGTTCGAAAAGTCTTGCGTGTGTTGCAGAGCAATTCCACCACAACAACAGGTGGAGTATTGTGTTTTGTTGAAGACGACCTAGAGAGTCACGTCTTTGTGTGTGGAAGTTGTTGGTTTGTTTATTTATTTATCATAGACTTTATTGCCCCGTGCATCGACACTGCTGCTTTTCATCAAGGACACATTTGCCCGTATTTTCCTCCACAACTTTGTTCCCCTCGACAATCTGATCCGTTCTCTCGTAAACATTCTTCGTTTTAATAATGGCGGTATTGTGCTATGAAAACTAGTAAAAATAGTCATGAGCTTTTCTCATTTCTTTATTTTCAACAAATGGATTGAAAATCCTTTCAGCTTCTCCCATTTCTGTATTTTCAGCAATTTTAAAAAATCAATTTCAGCTTTTAGCTTTCAGCATTCCAACACATTTTTAGCAGGAAATGCATTTTCTAGTTCATGTTTCTCTCCAAAAAACACATTTTACAGGAAAGTTGTAGTGATGGGCAACAATTTAAATTCTTAATTTTGATTAATCATGCGGCACGGTGGTTAGCACTGTCGCCTCACAGCAAGAAGGTCCTAGGTTCGACTCCGCCCAGTGGCCTTTCTCTGTGGAGTCTGCATGTTCTCCCCGTGTCTGTGTGGGTTCTCTGCGGGTACTCTGGCTTCCTCCCACAGTCCAAGGGCATGCTCTGGAGATCAGGTTAATTGGGGACTTTAAATTGCCCGTAGATGTGTGAATGTGAGTGTGAATGGTTGTATGTCTCTGTGTAGCCCTGCGATTGGCTGGCGACCAATCCAGGATGTACCCTGTCTATCGCCCGAGGTTGGCTGGGATGGACTGCAGCCCCCCCGCGACCCGTGATTTTCTGTGTCTCTGCTCAGAAGTTGTGGTATTTTTTATAAATGTATCTTGCTATATTGATGTTCATTATGCTTATTGATGTTTTTAAGAAGCAGTACATGTAGGGGCTTACAACATGGGGGGAGAACGGCATAGCTCGTCTTGTGTGTATTTAAAAAAAATAGAAATAACTTTGGTTCTATTAACTCCTCCTGTACATCCTCCTGAACCTGTTCATCCCGAGCAATCTCCAATGGGGTACACACTGGAGCAAAAACCACCAAAATCCAATTTCAAACAGAAATATTGTCTACTCAGCACAAACAAATATACAAATGCTTCCCATCCTCTGAAGCGTTGGGAGTCTTTTCCCAGTAATCAGTTTGAAAAAGTTAAAAACACAACTTTAGCAAGTATTATTTAGTAAGTAAGAGTTAGGGAAATATCATATGCATTAGTAAAGACAATTGTGCGCTCGGTGGTGCAAAAGTTTAACAATTCGTCGAAGCTATAATCAAATTTAAAACAAATACAGTAACCCTGGTTACGAGTTGAAACCAGTTATTTATGTTATACCCTGTGGGTGTGCCTGCATGTGTGTTTGTTACCTGCAGGTACAGGTAGTGCAGGTGTCTCAGGAGAACGAGGTCTCGTCGACGGATCTGACCAATCACATTGTCCTGGAGGAAGATGGTCTTGATAGAGGGAAGACAAGATGAAGATTGACAAAAGAAGTGTAGCATTTTTGTGTCCATTTTTTTTTTAACTGATGGACTGTATACTTAATGAACCCAAATCTTGTTGATAATTCCCTGTTTGACTACAATTTGGATACTACAACAACAAATTGTCTATGGTTGGTTTTGAAAATCTCAATCAGCAAAAAGACGTATTGAAGGTTAATTTGCCTATATATAATATGGCCACTGAAAAAGTGTAACATCTCTATTTCAGTAAATAGCACAATCCTCAGATGACGAGGCACTAACAGCAGGCTTGATCTTGGCTTTTTTACCTGCATATAGTGATTTCTTTTTATGGATTTTCTACAAAATCTCCAAACTAAAGCTACTTTTGTTCTATGGTGACATGTTTATGAATAGACATTCATGGTCATATCAGGCAGGTGTCATGTCTTGTCCTGATCCTTAAGTTACAATTTTCTTTATTTTGTCATTGTCAACATTTTATTTTTTATTTTGCGCTACTTACCTCTTGATTCACTTTCCTGCATCCCTATTTGGATGTGCCTAAATCTGCCAGTTCATAACCAGTGACGTGCAGAAAGGGTAGGCAAGGTAGGCACTGCCTGTTTATTCTTATAATTATGTATGTAACATGTGTGTTATTCCAATTGTCTAGATGTTACAATGACAAATGTAGCCATTACGTATAATCAAATACAAAGAAATGGTAGAATAAGCAGTGCTTTTAGCGTCCATTCATTGCGGACAAGCGAAAAAACCCATTTTGCGCATACGCACTTTGATCCTGTATTCTTCAACATATACAGCGAAAAGCACAACCATGCTGTACCTTTGGACGTGAATAGGTTATGCCAGTAATCATCTACATTACGTATCAAACATGGACTAATTAAAATCAAGATATTACTGAACATTTGCGCAGTTGATGTCACTACACCAGCTACGTTGTAAGCGTAATCTCTGCGAAATTCAAAGTCAAAATGACAGCGGTGTTCGCCGATATCACAGATCTGAGACGAGTTTTACAACACTGATTAACGTGTTGACAAGGAAAGAGCGGCGGATGGATTTTATGTACAAATACTGATTGGTGAGTCAAACTACTTCGGGCTTCTATTGAACTGATACATGTGGTTGAATGGATGCGGACTACAAGCTATTTTTCTTCATATTCAATTGAGCAGTGTGTATTGATGCTGACTGACAAACACAATTGGCTGCTGTGCATTAGGGCTGTCAACGAATATTCTATATTTTAATATATGGTCGAATAGTTGTTAAAAAAAGACTATTCGAATGAGAAAATTAATATTCCAATGTAAAAAAAACAAAAAGCAGCCGGCGGCGCAACTGTCTGCTTAGCGGGTGGGCCTGTAGTTACTATATTGCACGAATAAAATTGACTAAATAGGCTACAACAGCTTCATGCACTGGTTTGATTATTTGCCGTTTTATACCGAGGAAAATTTCCGTGTTTACAGCACAGCTCGCTCGCACAAAGCTCTTGATCAGCATTTGTTTATTGTTGTCGTTCATTTAAACTGCTTTGCGCAGAGAGCGTTACGGTGCAGGAGAGAGATCGGTCTTGGCTGTTAGTTAATTTACTTATTTTTGTGTATGTTGTTAAATTGGTTTAAACTTAAATAAATTACCTATACAAGTAGTATATCGTTGTATTAATTTGTCCTGTTATTGACGTGTCTAATGCACAACCAGATATACGAATATATTTGAATATCTGTGTTTTTTTAAAGCGAATATTCAAACGTCATTTTTGACCAATTTTGACAGTCCTAGTGTGCATTAATTAGGCAACAATGTCCGAGAGGCCGGTCGTCAATAATTTTAATCAGGTAATCTGGCTTCCATAACTCAGTGCCTACCCTCTTACTGACATCACCGCCTATTACTCTGTGTCAAACATTGCAGATATTTTCATTGTGTTTGATAATACTTTTTCACCCGTTTACCAAACCTCTGCTGATAAGCAATGATTTAGAACTTTTCTTGGGTTGTAAAAAGGAAGTTGTGTTTTTGGGCTTGTTCAAGCAAAGGTTTTTCATATTATTTATCCTGCACGTTTAAAAAGTTATCTGAACGTAGGGATTATTTGCTAATTAGTTTAATGTATGTAAAAAGATATTCAAAGAAAATTAGGATGAGACTACAAAATTGTTGATTTATTCTGCTCTACCTTTGTGGATGGAGGAATGTGTTTGGGGACGTCTCTCAGGCCGGTAGACCCACACTCCACGGTGAGGCTGTAGCAGCGACAGCCAACTGGGCAGGAAGGAGATGCCCTACTAAAAGTGTGCAGGCACAGAAGAAGCACAGAGAGAGGAAGTCTCCAAAGTACAGCCATCACATCTAACCTGGGGATGAAAACATAGGACAGGATTGATCACTACTCATCAACTAAGCTCAGTTTTTGAACGAACAAGCAGTGGTACCTCCAAAGAACAGACAACTGTGATCAACAACTGAAAGTACAGCAGCTTGCTTATCTAGCTTTTCGAGTGAATTTAACGCAACTCAGTCCATTAAAAGACAGGGGGAGTTGGGCCTACACGTTCAAAAGCCTGTTATGGGTGAAAACACCTCCAAGCTCCAAGCGACGTTAAGTCTCATCTACTCAGGGTTTTTGGTCCAATTTCATCACTGAGGTGTTATTGGACAAAGTCCAACACATGGACCTCAGATCTGCGGTCATGATATCTCTGAGACTATATAATCATTGTTACCTCCGGCTCCATGCCATCCCTCGTAAATCGGTTCACAACGTTTTAACTTTAGAGTAGTCGTTCTCAACCTGTGGATCTGGGCATGCGCGATTCATTTCCAGTCTGGACGAAGGGGTTTGTCTGCACAGAGCCTTACTGTGCGTTGATAGGGTTTGCTGTGTTTCCTCGGGTCTCGTTTAACTCCGTGTCGTCCTTTATTGTGGGAATTGATTGGGGATCTTTGAAACTGATGGGTTTCTTGGTGATGCAACAATTGTATGTCTGATATATTATGGCAATAAATGTTTCCTGATTCCTGATTCTGATAGCTAACATGCCGGATCAAGAAAGAAGCTTAATTTCTTGTTGCGCTGCTTAGTTTTGGAGTGAGGACTGGGTTGAGCAGTGAGAACGTGTGTCACTCCGATACAAGTTGGTCGAGAAAGCTTTGGTTGGCCTAACAGCCAAGTTTACTGGAGATATTGTCGTCTTAACCTCCCACCAAAGAGAGTTGATCGAGATGGAAAGAATTTGGAGGTGAAATCTCTAATCCACTCTCAGCCCGGAGCACAACCCTTGTGGTTGTCCTTTAGCAGCACTCGAGAACAGAACACAGCCCTTTTTTATGCCATGTTGGGAGCACAAGAATACACATATCACACTAGACGGATCCCTACAATTTCTTTTTCAGGTTTTTCCTGTGCGATGAGAAAGTCATAGGACAGAGGATGTCGCATGTATACAGACTTTCAAGCCCCCTGGGACCAATTAGTAATTTGTGATTTTGTGCTATACAAAATTGATGAAACACTACAGATTAAAAGGTCTTTCGGATGTCCATCTCACTGTAACATAGCAACCACCCAAGCCATGAGGCATTGATTTCCATCTTGGGATCGATCATCTCTGAGGCGCATCACTCACTGAAGGGTTCTGCTGCCATTTCCCTGAGATAGTTCATCTTTATGGATTGTTATCATTATTTCATTAAAGTTATCAATCAAACTCATCAAACACCCATTTTCTTATTTTCACATATTTCTAATAATCATTAGATTCCATGTCTTTTTTTACTTTCTAGCAATCATTTTAAAAAGCTCATTGTGGTTATATTTTCAGGCCTGCAGGTAGAAAACGTGACAGCGCACAAATAGCGGTATCCGGTACATTGAAGCCGGCGCGGTTGTGATCTCAGTTACACGTGGTTACAGAGCAGGTCAACTGGAAGAGAGCGCAGCATGTGCAGCGGTGATGAAGGCCACGCAGCACACAATAACAGTTAATCACATCTGATCCCAGGACAGGCCAGAGTGCAACAACTTACAGCAGAACGACAGCCGTCCACAACAAACAGATGACGAGTCAAATTAAATGAATTGTTGTTTATACCTCGCTGAATAATGATGATGACACGACGCCCTCTCGCTGCCTCCCACTCAGCGTGTGATCCCGTTCATTCCGATGTAACGTTATGTTCGCTGCTGAAGAATAAGCTGCAGGTATCAGGCAGCAGAAGAGCAGCAGCTGGATGTTTCCATAGTGCGCAGGGCGGTGCGGGCCCGTCGCATCCTCTCCACCGAAGCACCGATAGAAACAGAAGCTTCAGTCGGCAGCTCTGCGTCCAAACCGGCGTGAACCGGATCAGGTGTCTGTTTAGTCAGACATCCAGCTCATCTGCAACCTTCATTCGATTAGTCCACGCTGCTGCTCCAGAGGACCACAGTGAAGTCTGAAATCCGTCACGAGCAAAAACGAAAACCACTTCCGCCGCAGATTATCCAGAATAAAAGCATTATTTATTGATTCCATTCCAATATGCACAAAATTGGTATTCGGTACAGTCAGACATTGTTACTCTTATTGTTATTTGTGTGCCAGAAATAACAGTATATTGTTAATGAACAGCATATTTATGTAGGTACTGATCAGGCACGTACACAGATAGACCCCTACTGCTGCTCAAGCCCCTTCTCCTGGAGCCCAATTCTTTCTTCAATGAATATTTAAGAATACAAATCGCGTTCTCTGCCATCAGTTCACCCCAAATGTGTTTTGATATCTGATCAGCATTTATTTGAGTTATTGTCAAAATTTCGCACCCAACATGCTCCGCGGCGCTCACAAGCCCCGCCCCTTCCCCGTCGCTCCTCCACTAAAAAGGCTTCTGCGTCTTTCACGCGCAGTTGTGTCGACGGACTCGTTTCACGTCATGGTTCTAAAAGGCTTGCGCGTCATGGAAAGCAATTCACCGCCCAAACTATTTTTTTTCGAAGACAACCTAGAGAGTGACGTCTTTGTGTGTGGAAGTTGTTAGTTAGTTTATTGTTTTGCCCCGTGCATTGACACTGCTGCTTTTCATCACCTGTTTTTGCGTTTCTCTGAAAACGCAGAAGCATAAACTAGGCTTAGTGCTCAGGCAAACGGCTGCAGCATCGGATAAACGGGTAATGGCGGTGTTTGTGCAAACCCCGCGACATGTTTGGTGTAAAATGAACCACAAGATTAGCGCCACAACTGGTCCGACCTTTCCTAAAAAATAAACAAACAAAAAGCTCACGAAGTCCGTGATTTCAAAGCCTTGTGCAGCTGTTTACTGGTTGTCATGTTTAAAGACCTGTTAGGGTTTTGTATTTTGCCCAGGAGACAGATGCTCTGCACAGCCACGTTCAAACTGCGGTAAGCCTAGTTTATGCTTCTGCGTTTTCAGAGCGACGCAGACGCAAGACCCCCTTGCGTGTGCCTTGCGTGCCTTTTCACAGAGTGGCCCATGGTGTGAGGCGCCAGGCGGGTGTGGGGATAGTCATAAGTCCCCGGCTGAGTGCTGCTACATTGGAGTTTACCCCGGTGGACAAAAGGCCTCCCTACGCCTTCGGGTGGTGGGGGGGAAAACTCTGACTGTTGTCTGTGCATATGCACCAAACAGCAGCTCAGAGTATTCAGCCTTTTTTAAGACCCTGAATGGAGTCCTGCATGGGGCTCCAGTAGGGGACTCCATAGTGCTACTGGGAGACTTCAATGCGCACGTGGGCGACGATGGAGAAAACTGGAGAGGCGTGATTGGGAGGAATGGCCTCCCTGATCTGAACCCGAGCGGGTGTTTGTTATGGACAATCCGTGACTGGCACAGAAGTCCAGTAACAAACACCATGTTTGAACATAAGGATGTTCATAAGTGTACGTGGTACCAGAGCACCCTAGGCCAAAGATCAATGATCGATTTTGTAATGGTATCGTCTGATCTGAGGCTGCATGTTCTGGACACTCGGGTAAAGAGAGGGGCAGAGCTGTCAACTGATCACCATCTGGTTGTGAGCTGGGTCAGAGGATGGGGAAGACTCGGGACAGACCCGGTAAACCCAAGCATGCAGTGAGGTTGAACTGGGAACGTCTGGAGGAGGCCCCGGTCCAAAAGATTTTCAACTCACACCTCCGGCGGAGCTTCTCTCACATTCCTGTGGAGGTAGGGGACATTGAACCAGAGTGGTATATGTTCAAAAGTTCCATTGCTGAAGCCGTGGCAGTGAGTTGCGGCCTCAAGGTCTTAGGTGCATGAAGGGGCGGTAACCCTGGAACCCCGTGGTGGACACCGGTGGTCAGGGAAGCCGTCCGACAGAAGGAGGCCTTCCGGGTTATGATATCCGGTGGGACTCCGGAGGCAGTTGCAGTGTACCGACAGGCTCGAAGGGCAGCAGCCTCTGCAGTGATGGAGGAAACTATGGAGAAGGACTTTTGGTCGGCACCAAAGTGCTTCTGGAATACCATCCGGCACCTCAGTCTACTCTAAGGTGCTGGAAAGGAGGGTTCGGCCGATAGTCGAACCAAGGATTGAAGAGGTGAAGAACAATGCGGTTTTCATCCTGGTCGTGGAACAACGGACCAGCTCTTCACTCTTTACAGGATCATAGGGGGCTTGGGAGTATGCTCATCCAGTCTACATGTGTTTTGTAGACTTGGAGAAGGCGTATGACCGGGTCCCCCGAGACAAACTGTGGGAGGTGCTGCGGGAGTACGGGGTGAGGGGGTCCTTGCTTGGGGCCATCCAATCCTACGCCCAAAGCGAGAGCCGTGCTCGGCAGTAAGTCAAAAGGCGTTTCCGGTGGGGGTTGGCCTTCGCCAGGGCTGCGCCTTGTCACCAATCTTGTTTGTGGTTTTCATTGACAGGATATCGAGGCGTAGTCAGGGGGAGGAGGGTCTACAGTTCGGGGGGCTGCGAATCTCATCGCTGCTTTTTGCAGATGATTTGGTCCTGATCTTCCGTCTGTGACCTCCAACTCTTACTGGAGCGTTTCGCAGTCAAGTGTGAAGCAGTCGGGATGAGGATTAGCACCTCTAAATCTGAGGCCATGGTTCTCAGCAGGAAACCGATGGCTTGCCTACTCCAGGTAGGGAATGTGTCCTTACCCCAAGTGAAGGAGTTCAAGTACCTCAGGGTCTTGTTCGCGAGTGAGGGGAAGATGGAGTGTGAGTTTGGCCGGAGCAGCGGGGGCGGTATTGCACTCGCTTTACCGCACCGTTGTGACGAAAAGAGATCTGAGCCGGAAGGCAAAGCTCTCGATCTACCAGTCAATCTTCGTTCCTACCCTCACCTATGGTCATGAAGGATGGGTCATGACCGAAAGAACTAGCTCACGGGTACAAGCGGCCGAAATGGGTTTTCCTCAGGAGAGTGGCTGGCGTCTCCCTTAGGGATAGGGTGAGAAGCTCAGCCATTCACGAGGAGCTCGGAGTAGAGCCGCTGCGTCTTTGCGTCGAAAGGAGCCAGTTGAGGTGGTTTGGGCATCTGGTGAGGATGCCCCCTGGGCGCCTCCCTAGGGAGGTGTTCCAGGCACGGCCAGCTGGGAAGAGGCCTCGGGGAAGGCCCAGGACTAGGTGGAGAGATTATAACAGTCATAACGTGTAATGCCACGAGGTACTTTGTGAGGACGCTAACCTCTGTATGTTCGCCAGGGTGTCTAACGACATGAAATAAACGGCCGATTGGAGCCGAATGTGGTCAGTGTCCTGGTGGTAATTGAAAAACTCAACGCAAAGGAGTACAACCGCTACACTAGGGTTAGGGCAACAGGAGCAGCGGAGGTAATGCTGATGACATGCAGGGAGGCCAGACCGTCCCATTTCAGAGACCGCTCGGGTTTGGCCTATGCGGTTGTTGGAGGACCCAGCCCAGGTCTACCGCGAAGGCTGGAGGCTACAAGGATACAGCGCAGTGACTGAGACACAGCTAATGTCCTCTTTTTTAATCACAGGCAAACAAATGCCTAGTCCCTGGATAAAAAACCCTTGTGTTTCTTTGACTCACCTAATCTTTTTATACTGCAAAATATATATTTTTGAATCATACAATGTGATTTTCTGGATTTCTTTTAGATTCTGTCACTCACATGATAAAAAATGACAGACTCCTACATGCTTTGTAAGTGGGGAAACCTGCAAAATCGGTAGTGTATTAAACACTTGTTCTCCCCACTGTAGATACTCACCCACCCTAAAAATAAATACATAAATACATTTTTTGAAAATTAAAAAAGAAAAAAAAGAATAGCAAAACAGACATGAGGACTTTACATTTATTGTGTTCGAACCACACCCACCATTGCTCCCGTGGCTTTGACTACAGTGTGAAAATGTTAGTTACTGACGGTCAGGTGTCACTGAGTAGCTCCTGTCATCAATATATGAATGGATGTGTATGTGTGAATGATGAAATTGTTGAAGAGCTGTGAGTGATTGCAACCAGGGTTCTCGTCTTCATGCTGGTAGAGGGTGCAGGAGGTAGGCTTTGGCTGAAAGCGGTGGGTGTTTGTGTTGAAAAAACATATTGGACAATAACCTGATAGTGTTTCATCCTTATCTGCAGACTCATTTCAATTGATTTTTTGTGTATTGCCCAAAATCAGGTGCTGGAACTTAGCATGGACCAGCCTTTAGATGAGTTGCTATAGTCCTAGATTGCAAGGGGGTTTCTTAGGACACACCAAACTGTTCTCCCTCTCCTTCTAAGATTTCACATATCATTAATGCACATCACTAATTCAGCTTCTTCTCCAGAGTTTTGTGCTTTCTCTACTTGCAGGTTTCTATGGATTCTGGTTCTATCCGGTCCGGCCTCCAGCCACGGCCCTGCTGACACCTCCCGCTTCTAATCCCATCGTTAGTCCCTTTACTATTGCTGTCAACATTGATGCACATTCACTAACTTTGTTTCTTCCAGAGTATTTGTGCTTTCTCGCCTCACAGGTTTCCATGTATCATGGTTCTATCTGGACCCTGTTCCTGACTCCTGCCGTGGCCCTGCTGCTGCTATCACTAGTATTATTTATTACTACATTACTACTATTACTGTTATCATAAACAGACATTGCCCACTTCTCTGGAGGGTTCTGTGGATGGTGTTCACATCTGGATGATGGTTGTTCCAGCAGTAGTCCTGCTTCCACTTCCATTGTTGTGCTCCATTCGGTCTCAAGTACACATCTTTACATCAAACCTTTCCTTACCACAGTCCATATCGTAAAAGGAAAATACTTCTCCTCACCAGCAAGTGCCTTGTAGGTGAGGAGAAGTACCTTAAATTCTATTCTTGAAGCCATGCAGAGAAGCTAATACAGGAGTAATATGATCCCTTTTCTCACTTCTTGTTAATGCATGTGCTGCAGCATTCTGAATCAACTGAAGGGGCTTAAGAAGATTATAAGAGCAGCCCGATAAATCATTTTTCTGCATCACTTTGAGACAGGCAGTCACTTAAAAAAATAATTGAAAGGTTGAATTTTAAAGATGACTCTGAGTTGCTTTTATGATTTAATTGATTTCAAAATTATTTTCACATCTGGTCAATATTAATATAATATAAGAAATCTGTGAAAAAGTCCACCGAAGCTGTAAGTAAAGAGGCTGTTTGGCAACATGGTTGTCACCTCACCCGTAGTCCATAGATTAAATGTTCTGATGACCAGCCAGCGTTCATCATCACCGTGACTTTACCGTGCATGTCCATCCTTGGCACAGTGGGCTGCATGGTTTCAGTTCAGGGATGTTGTCTTCTAGGTCGGATAGATAGTCCTGTGAGCTTTCATAAATAAAAATTATTGTTGTCAGACTGCATATGCATACTGCTAAAAAGAACTAAACTAGATGGCAATCAAACTAGGTCAAAGTCCATCTTGCCGTGATTTTAGTGCTGTTGTTGAAAGCACGTTAAGACTGGTCCTGTGGGAAAGCAATGGGGTAGATTTGGCTGTAGTGATCCACAAAGTGGACCTCCAGGCCCTCACTGATGTAGTCGGGCAGGTCAGAAAAGTCCTTCCGATTTTCATTTGGCATGATGATGCAGGTCACACCAGCACGACGGGCCTAATAGGGGAAAGAAAATACAGTTTAATCATTCAGTAAATACATCATTTCAAAATTAAAAACTTGGGATTTTTACCATGCGGTTCACAGCCTGAATAGGTTCAAAAGACATTATTTCCGACCTACGTCTCATTTTTGGTCCAACCTCAACACCTGCATTCAGTTAAATTAACATTTGCCGGTCGTAAATTATAGTTGTAGCTGGTTGTCATCCACGGTCCACTACGGCTACAGAGAGGTGTCGTTTGTGTTTTTGACAACGTGTTATTATTATTATTAAATTATTTCGACTTTCTATCCCCTTTCTTTAGTGCAGAAATGGGCCTAACTTCAGCCAATCCAAAGACAGGGTTTGTAACCAATTAGATGTAGAAATACCATGGTGACTGGCTCCGCCCCCTTACACTCGCAGAAACATCTCCGAGCCTGAGCAGAGATTAGCCTCGTGAGCAAGGAAGTTCACGCTCCTTTTGCTCCCACGAGACGGACATTTGCTTGCGGATGTTTGATTTAATTTTGACAGTGATTTGCTGCTATAATGCCATAGCGGGAAACATTGAGTCTTATCTTAAACTGCTGGCTAAGGATAAACGTAAATACAGTAAGATTGTAATTCACGTCGGCGGTAATGACTCCCGATTACATCGCTCGGAGGTCACTAAAGTTAATGTGGAATCGGTGTGATCATACGCTAAAACAATGTCAGACACGTAGTTTTCTCTGGCCCTCTCCCAAACTCTTATTTTTTTTAATTATTTTTCTCATTTGAATAATTTGTTATAGGAATTTAATGTATTATACATCTTTTACATTGTTCATTCTAAATTTGTAATTTGCGCTATACAAATTAAAATAAATTGAATTATAGCATAGTGAAAATCCATATTCTCTCATTTCAAATTTGTGTGCATGGACTTTTCTGTTGTAATAAAAATCCTTCTATTTCCATCTGTTAAAATCCTTGTAGGGAAAGAAGGTTTTGATTGTGATAATATTAGGACATGTGTATATTTATATTTATTTGTTCTTTATCTCATAGTGGCTACGGATAGGTATCGTTTGGGGGTTTTCCGATAGCGGTGCTAAACTGATACTTTTAAAACAATAAACATTGCCTGAACAGATTTTGCTTTTTTTAAAAGCACAAAACAAAAAATTAAAAGAACATTAATCCGAGCCTTCTGCGTAGGGGACCGGTCGACTGCACTGTATTGGGGGATGATGGATGGGGCCATGTATCGCAAGATCTTAGCCAACAACCTCCTTCCCTCAGTAAGCGCATTGAAGCTGGATCGTGGCTGAGTCTTCAACCATGGTCGTGTGTTGGATTAGGGCACTAATCAACACCTTCTGGATGTTTCCCCTGCCCTGCGACTGCGACCGAGGAGGATTAGAACCCAATGGATCCGGCCGGTGCTCCCGGGCGTTGCCGGCTCTGACAGCGTCAGCTGTTCGGTGGACTCCGACCAGCTGTTGCTGCTTCCTACCAGCTGGTGTTTTCGGACCGGGAGTCGCGGCGTGGACCCTCGGAACCTCCGCACAATGAAACATGCTTCACCTTCGGACACTTTTTTCCTCAAGTTGGCTTTGTTGAATGTGAGATCCGCCACCAACAAGACTTTTTTACTGAATGACTTTTTTACCTCACGCAAATTGTATTTTATGTTCTTAACTGAAAGCTGGCTCCGCGAAGGTGATCTTGCTCCTTTTTCGGAGCTCCTCCCTCCAGGATGTAGTTTCCTCAACTCCCCTCGCACCACCGGCAAAGGTGGAGGACTGTCATCCGTATTTAAATCCACCTTTCACGTCCAGGTGGTGGCTGTCAATGGCTCCAGCTTTGAGCTCCAACTTTTTGAGGTTAAAATCCCCGTGACTGTTCTCTGTGCTGTGATCTCTCGGCCACCAAAATTTAACAAGGACTTTATACATAACTTTGCAAACTTTGTGTTGGGTATTATTCTCGAATATGATCACTTTCTAATTGTCGGCAATTTTAACATGCATGTCTGCTGTGAGACCAGACCGCTTGTCAAAGACTTTTTGAATCTAATTGACTCTTAATCATGTACAAATAACTGCCATATATATATGCCACATTCCTTTTTCCGACCATCTACCCGTTTTATTTTCCCTCTCACTACCTGCGCCCCCCCACCACAGACACTGCGCCCGCTCGCTGTCGCCGTGCTTTTTACTCTTCGACTCCTCTGCAGTTTCCTGCTGCCTGGAAAAACTCCTATTCTCTGGAGGACTTTGGCGACTTCAATGTGGATGTTTGTATGAAGTTGTTTGATTCTCTCTGCACTAAGATCCTAGACTCTATTGCGCCTAGGTTTGTGTACCAGATATTAAGTTCGGCTTTATGATGTATCAAATAATTATGTCATGCAACTGCTTGAAATCATCCAATGTGATTTTCTGGATTTTTTTTAGATTCCATCACTCACAGTTGAAGAGTACCTATGAGAAAAATTATAGACTTCTACATACGTTTTAAGTGGGAAAACCTGCAAAAACGGCAGTGTATCAAATACTTCTCCCCACTGTACGTCCATCCAGGTGGCTAGGGCAGGATCCTCCGTAACCATTTACAAGGCAAAGTGATTAAGATTCCAGAGTACTCTCCGGAGTACAGTCCGTTCACCATCATGTACTTACAGCGATAGTTTTCTCTTTAATTCCACCCACTGGCAGTATTTTGCCAGTCAGCGACACTTCACCAGTCATGGCTACGTTCTGACGCACCGGGCGGTTGGTTGCCAGGGATAACAATGCTGTGACAATGGTGCAGCCGGCGCTTGGTCCATCCTTGGGAGTTGCACCCTAAGAAAAAAAGTGATGTTATTGACTAATAGAAATGCACATTGCAACCAGCTAGTGCATTTTTGAGAATATCACAGGGAATACTAAGGCACGATAATATCAAATCTGCAGATCTAAAGTTAGAGCTTACTTATGGCCCTGACTATCTGCTTCGAGTAATTCTTGTGTAGCATTTTTAAAGTGCTGCACAAAAAAGGTGTATTTTCTTTTTAACACTATTGAATAACTCATTTGGATGCTTACTGAAACTCCGTTCTATATTAGTAAAAACTGGGAAAATTGCTAAGGTGTGGAGTTGGCAGTTATCAGTCCTTCAGAAGTTAGTGGGGGATCTTCTCGTACCAAAACCTCCTCTCTCGGTCTGTATGTCTGTCTGTGAGCAAGGTGCGCCGTAATACTTTGCTCTCACACAACGACCGACCACATCATTGCAGAAACGAAGAGCAAAAGTTTCAGTAGATGCTGAGAACTATTGATGTATCAGTGCAATAAAACACTCACCAGTAAGGGAGATAATAAAAACGTGTTTTTTGGTGAATTTGATGAAAAAACGTTAGTACGTTAATAAATGATAATAATACATTTTACCTATAACGCACTCTTCGTCAGCAGATCTCAAAGTGCGACAGAGATGGGAAAACATAGAAATAAAGTAAAAGCTAGTAAAACATTGGGGAAGAAAAAAAGAAGACGTAAAAACACCTTCCTGAATAACTAGGTTTTTAGGCCAGTTTTAAAGAGAGTCCAATGACCGTACTGCACTGAGGTGGTCAGGGATACTGTTCCATTTGCCTGGCGCTGCTGAGCAAAAGGCCCGGTCACTCATGGTGCAGAGCTTGGTATTGGAGACGCGGAGGAGTGAGCTGCTTGCAGATCTGAGGGTGCGGGTGGAGGTTTGGGGAGTGAGTAGTTCTTGCAGAAAGGGAGGTGCATGTCCATTTATGCATTTATGAGTGAGTAGAATTTTGTAGTCAATCCGGAATGAGTGTAGGTAGATGTGACTTGATCAGAGCAGTGGGAATGGGGTTGAGGGTGCAGGTACATGATGTCATTTTTTCGGAGAATTTCCTCGACGTGGCTCTTGAACCTCAACGAGATGTATAGACGGCATACTGGCAGAGAAGGTGTCAGAGGGAAGCAGAGGTGGAGAGCTGGACATCAGAGAGCGAATGTTGTTGACCGTGGATCTGAAAATGTCAATAAACTTGTTGCATTGGTCCTCTGTAGCCTCAGTTTAAAAGGATGGTTGTGGCCTCAGGAGATGGTTTACGGTGGAAAAAGCTGTCAAGAGTTGCCAGGGTCTTTGTTGATTAGGCTGGAATAGAACTGTGAGCGAGCATTTTTAAGAGAGTTTGAGTAGGCCCTCTGATGCTCCCGGAAAGCCAGTTTATGGACAGTGGACACGCCCAGCTGTTTTTATTCTCTGGGCTCATGTGTGAACGCGGGAGTAGAGCGGGAGAAATTGACCTCACGTGACTTGACTGGAGCATTGAGATTAAAAACACTGCTCAGGGATGTAATATAGACCACCAATTCATCCATTGATGCAGAGGCAGGTGATGAGCTGGAGGTCCATGGTCATAGAGGCTGAGTCAATGCTTTTCCAGTCCTGGAAATACATTTGACGCTTAGGTCAAACAATAGGGAGCATGAAGGTCAAGGCCATTGAGACCACCTTGTGGTCGGACACACCAAGATCATAAACCTGTAGGTTACTGATGGGAGCAGAGTCAGTGTTAACCAGATCCAGAATGTGCCCCTTGGTGTGAGTAAGAACCTCAACATGCTGCTGCAGGCCAAGTCCCTCAAGCAAAGTCAGGAAATCTGCTGCAAACCGACAGGAGGGTTTGTCAACATAAATATTTAAATCGCCAACAATGACAATATTAGATGACATAGTGAAGTAAGGAGATCACTTGTCTCAGGTAGAAAAGATGGGTTTGGGAGGACGGTGTATGACAAGCACTGTCTTGGAGTATGGAGATTTGCATTTGAAGGCAAGGCATTCCTTAGAGCAGGGATGGGTAACTTAAATGGTGGAGGGGGCCACAATTTTTCATCAGCGCTACCAGGGGGCCACATAGGACAGCGCACTTCCTAACCAGATTTATGACCATAATAAATAAGACCAAAATATGTGTATATGTCTGTATGTGTATTAAACCAACATAATCACAGCATCTTAATATATGTCACGCTCAAATGCATGTTTAACAGATCTTCTTAAACAACAAAAGCTTTGAAGCAAACAAATAACCAGATACTGTGATTTTTTTTTCAGTGCAAAGTGCCGTCATACATAAAAATCCTCTTTTTTTAAACATTTTAACATTTTCCCTGCATACCTGCTCTACCTCAGCCCATTAGCATGACTGGTTCTGCTTTAATGAGGAACTTGTGGCTTTGCCTTTTGGTGCACAATAGAGTGGATATCATATCAATGTCAATCGACTTGATGTGCTTCATTGTCGAAAAACTGCTCTCACAAATGTATGTGCTCCCAAACATACTGGTCATTGAGAGAGCAAAATCTCGGAGGAGTGGGAAGCGGCATTCAGGCAGCAGACCCCAAAACGTAATTCCCTTCTCATTGCACCTCGCCTGAAAAAACGGATCAGACTGCAGGTCGCAAAGTTCAAGCTGCAATTCAGAAGGTTGCTCGCTGACAGCAGCGGAGAGGGGGTCCACGAAGAGCGCTATCTGTGGCTGCATTGCGTGAAAATCTAGGAAACTATGCTTGAACTGCTCCTGCAGTTTCTCGATATCGGTCTTATATTTGTGAAGTACGCCTTCGCACTCTGGGACACTTTTTCCCATCTCCTCACAAGCAGGAAAGTATGTCAAATTCGGGAGATGGGATGAACAGGTCTAATTTGCGCTGAAATGCGTTGATGTGTGCACACAGGTCACACACAGTTTGGTCTCTCCCCTGTAACTTAGGGTTCAGATCATTGAGGTGTGCAGTAATGTCAGTAAGGAATGCCATGTCGCACAGAAACGCTGTGTCTTTGAGTTTCCTGCAGTTAGCACTCATATCACCACGAACGCTGTCTCCCAAAAACACTGGAATTTGGGAGCGCAGCGCAAAAAAACGCTCAAGACACTTCCCCCGACTTATCCATCGGACCTAGGTGTGCATTTGTAAATCCCCATATACGGCGTCCACATCTCCTGTGACTGAGGGATCTGTTCCCTTCTCGGATGAGATGTGTTACTTTAGTCACCAAGTCCGTAAGATGGTTAAAGTTCAGTTTCTTGGCGCAGAGGGCCTCCTGTAGGAATAAATAAAGTAACCATTAAAATGTCCCTATGTTTGTCATGCATGTCACCCAAAATCAATAGGACTACTCACTCACCTGGTGTATGATACAGTGCATTATAGGGCAGTTCACTCCGCTTTGTTGAAGGAGCCCTGCGAATCCGGTGCGTCTCCCCTGCATCGCTGGTGCGCCATCCGTAACAACAGCCGATAGTTTGTCCAAGCCACCATAAGCGTTTGCAACACTATTGCACTATTGCAAAAACTATCGCGTTGAATATATCCGTGCCCTTGGTGGCATCGTGGGCACCATCTTTAGTAACTCCTCGTGCACTTCAACCGAACGGTCAACGGTTCTTCAGCAGTTGGCTGACATCCATCACATCTGTACTGTCATCCAAGGCCAGGGAGAAGTACTTGCAGTTATGCATAACTTCTTTCATCTTCCCCTCGACATGATCATTAATGTCAAAAATTCTACGAGTCACAGTGCAACGGGACAAAGAGACCGTATCAAAATTTGTAACCAGGTTAGCATCACCAAACGCTCTGGCCATTTCCACGACACATCTCTTCACAATCTCGCCATCGGACAAGGGCTTCTTTGCTTTAGCACGCTCAAGCGCAACAGCATACGACGGCATGAGTGCAGCCTCCTGTGTGGTTGTGGCTCTGGTAAAAAATTGCTGTTGTTTGTGTACTTTTGATTTGAGGTCGGCAATGAGAGCAGTCCTGGCAGCTTCAGTATACTTCTCGTATTTAACTTTGTGCAAGGTGTTGTAGTGGCAACTTAGGTTGAAATCTTTCATGGCTGATAACGTCTCCAAGCAAACTAGGCACATGGGTTTGCCTTTAAATTCAGTGAACAGATAATCCACCTCCCATTTCACCTGAAAGACACGTTTTTCTTGATAGGGTTTTCTCTTCGCGTTGCTTTTTGCCGTGGCTTGACCTCTCTTCCTCGCTGATGGAGAAGACCCGGTGGAAGCACGCAGGAAGCTGCATCTGCATAGGAAGTGCCATCTAGCAGTGGACTCTGATATTACAACTTAAAAGTGATCGGGCGCTGTAGAGGACACACATAATTTTCAGAAATTAATCTAGGGGCCACTCCGAAAGAGAGCGAGGGCCGCATGCGGCCCGGGGGCCACCAGTTGTCCATCCCTGCCTTAGAGGAAAGATCAGGCATTGGCAGAGGAGTTGTTTTGCTTCTTGATTCCACGTTGAAATAGCAGCGCAAAGCTCTATGGATGTAGTGAGGAACCATGAAGTTGCGGTCCGGTGTATGAAATCATTTCCAGCATCGATGTCAAAGTCGTGGCATTTGCTTAACGACCGCAGGGCCACGAGCAGCTCCAGCCGGGGCAGGGATCCAAAGTCTACCGGGTTCCTGTTGTATTCCAACACGGCAGGCAGGCGAGGCTCCCAAGTGAATCCAACCGTATTGCAACTGAAGGAAGTAGGAGAAGGTCTGCCGTATTCCAACTCAGGGAACAATGGAAATACGTAAAAACGGGGTTGAAAAAAATATATATAGCTATAAAAGCCATAAAACTCACACAGGGAAAAACAAAGTGTTGAGAGGGGAGGCAGCAAACGTGCGCCAGGGTACCCGTAAATGATAGCTAATTACTTGCTTAATTGTTTTGCTTTTTACATTTTGTAACTTGTTGTATTGCTGGGCCAATGAGCAGAATTAATAAGAGAACTAGTACTGATATTCCCTAAAGTTGCCAATCTTAAGCAGTTAGAAAAAGAAGTCAAAAAGGAACAGATTAAGCCAACGTAATCAGAAAGCCATGTGTATACATTACAGCATTGCCATGCTTACCTCAGGGACATGCAGGTGCAGGTGCGAGTTAACCAGGAAGTGGTTTTCTGGTTCCTGGGTCATCAGAAAGGCTCTGGCAAAGGTTGAGGCGATCTTTGCACTTTCCTTCATTACATCACCGAGCTGACCTGCAGAGGAGCACGAACACCTTTGACCTGCTAACCCAGTGCTAACCCTGTGCCCAACCCCTTGGAAAAATGAATGGTGAATGAACTAAAAATGAAGAAGGAATTTTCATTTTATCCAAAAACACAACATATATATATATATATATAGAAATAAATCCTCAGGTGGACTCTACGTTCAGTTTCTGTTGAAGATGTAAGACTTGATCCGTAACATTGTTTGTTCACCCAACTTCACCCAGCAAAGTGACTCAGTTCAAGGTCTTGGTGACTGACCTGTAACCTCCAGTGACCCCTCTCCTTTGGAGTCCACTCCTCCAGAAGGGCGGCGTAGTGATGTCTCGATAAACAATGTTGACCCTCCTACAAAGTAAATAAAATTCAGGCAGAGTTCAGCAGGTCTCATCTTTTGGTTTGATCGTGTTAGTGTGTGTGTGTGTAAGTCTCTCACCAAGAGATGTCCATGCCAGCCCCATAACCACTCCAGGAGGGGTGACATCATACATTCGATCAACTGTGAAAATAGGTTTACCCACATAGACTTGCAGGTTGTCAGGGGTAACAGTCACTGTGGTTTGTTCACCACTGACAATGGAGAACGCCACCTTACGGAAAACCTGACGGACAGATAAAAACAGATCAAGTAAATGTTATTTATATATATATATATATATATATATATATTACACACATGTATATACAGTAAGGATGGGACCCTGTTGATCGCGACTGAGGAGGTCATCGGGCGGTGGAAGGAACACTTTGAGGAACTCCAACTACTACGCCCTCTTTGGTAGGGTGGGGTTGGAGGCGGAGGAGGGATCATCGTCAATTTGCCTGGTGGAGGTCACTGAGGTAGTCAAACAACTCCACAGTGGCAAAGCCACAGGAATTGATGAGATCCGTCCAGAGATGCTAAAAGCAATGGGTGTTGGGGGGCTGTCTTGGATGACACGCCTCTTCAACATTGCGTGGAAGTCTGGGACAGTGCCGAAAGAGTGGCAGATCGGGGTGGTGGTACCCCTCTTCAAAAAGGGGGACCAGAGTGTGTGCCAATTACAGGGGTATCACACTACTCAGCCTCCCGGGTAAAGTCTGCCAAGGTGCTGGAAAGGAGGGTTCGGCCGATAGTCGAACCAAGGATTGAAGAGGAACAATGCGGTTTTCGTCCTGGTCGTGGAACCACGGACCAGCTCTTCACTCTTCCCAGGATCATGGAGGGGGCTTGGGAGTATGCTCAACCAGTCTACATGTGTTTTGTGGACTTGGAGAAGGCGTATGACCGGGTCCGGAGAGAAACTGTGGGAGGTGCTGCAGGAGTACGGGGTGAGGGGGTCCTTGCTTGGGACCATCCAATCCTTGTACGCTGTTACGGCTGCCAACGGCAACCTCAGGTGAACAGGGAGTCAGGCTGCAACCTCCCACGACGCAAAGGGAAGACCGAAGCGGATCCGCCTGGAAGACTCCCAGCCAACCAGAAGAGGGCATTGGAGTGCGCGCCAGGCTTAAAAGGCCAAACGAATTGCAGCTGGGGGCGGCTACCAGATCCAGAGAATGACTGTGAGAGCGAGGAAGAGGGCCAGGGCCAGGCACCACTGAAACTCTGCACCTCACAGAACGTGTGTTAGCCACATTAGGAGCAGGGGCGCCGTTGGAGCAGGGGCGCCGTTGGGGATGTATCTTTATGTTTTGGTTAATGTAAGTAAGGATTTTTTTTTGTAAGTAAGGATTTTTGTTACTTGTTGGTTTTGGCATAGTCTTCCATAAAGATAAAGATACATAAAGATACATCCCCAAAGGCGGCCTTCAGAAGAAGGCCGCCTTTTGTTCTATTTGGTTTTTGATTTACACGGCACCCCCGGCCCCTTCCCTCAGTTCGTACGCTCTTGTGTTTGTTTCTTGACTCCAAGAATAAATATTCTTTTTCACCCAACAAAAAAGTCTGGGTTTATGTATGCGCCCGTCTCCCCCTAGCGACTGGACGTAACATACGCCCAAAGCGGGAGTTGTGTTCGGGTGCTCGGCAGTAAGTCAAAAGGCGTTTCCGGTGGGGGTTGGCCTTCGCCAGGGCTGTGCCTTGTCACCAATCTTGTTTGTGGTCTTCATGGACAGGATATTGAGACGTAGTCGGGAGAGGGTGGTCTACAGTTCGGGGGCTGCGGATCTCATCGCTGCTTTTTGCAGATGATGTGGTCCTGATGGAATCTTCCATCTGTGACCTCCAACTCTCACTGGAGCGTTTCCCAGTCGAGTGTGAAGCGGTCGGGATGAAGATTAGCACCTCTAAATCTGAGGCCATGGTTCTCAGCAGGAAACCAATGGATTGCCTACTGCAGGTAGGGAATGTGTTCTTACCCCAAGTGAAGGAGTTCAAGTACCTCGGGGTCTTGTTCACGAGTGAGGGGAAGATGGAGTGTGAGTTTAGCCGGAGAATCGGAGGCGGTATTGCACTCGCTTTACCGCACCGTTGTGACGAAAAGAGAGCTGAGCCGGAAGGCTTGTTTGTGTGTACACACACACACACACACACACACACACACACTTCAGTGTTTCACCTTTTCAACCTGTTTCTGCAGGTTTCTAACTCCTGATTCCCTGCAGTACTGCCTGATAAGCAGACTGAGGGCGTCAGAGGAGATTGAGGCCTTCTCCTCAGTCAAACCACAGTGAGAACGGAGCTGAGGGACCAGGTAACGCTGGTGAGACAGAAAGACAGACAAGGGAAGTAAATTATGTAATAGCGAGGCATCTTCATTTTTCATATAGTACTTGTTAGGAAAACTGGGGAAGAAGTATGCCACTAGAATATACAAGAACAAAATACATATAATATCACACCTCAGCAATAGCCATTTTCTCCTGGGCAACATATCCAGACACATTGATCATCTCCATCCGATCTCTGAGGGGCTCGGGGATGGTGTCAATCACATTGGCCGTGCAGATAAACAGAACCTTTATTGGAACAGACAGGCTATCAGAAAAAAGCTACACAGGAAAAATGCACTGGTAATCTATGCAGCACTGTAAACGAGGAGCACACAATCCTACCTTTGACAGATCTACAGGAACATCTAGGTAGTGGTCCAGGAAGTTTGCGTTCTGTTCAGGGTCCAGAAGTTCAAGCAAAGCGGAAGACGGATCGCCCTGATAACCACGACCCATCTTATCCACCTGGGGATGAGAAGTTACACAAATGTAATATGCATCATTTAGCTTTATGTGTTATTTTTCTATGTATCACCAAAGGCATGCAATAATATATTCATCAAGATCTGAAAAAGAGGCATGGGGATTAAGTGCAGCAGACACGCCCCCACCCCTCCCTCAAGGAGGGGAGCCGAGATGGGAGGTGTAACCCAGCGGAGACTTGAGGCTACTCCACCACCCAGCTTGCTGACAGTCTGATGTTCAGTCTATGACAGCAGAGAAGTCAGCTCAAATGAATTGCGGGATGAAATGTAAAATCTTCCATTAAGCACTTTTAAAGTGGTATAAATGAAGTACTCTAATATGGTAAATTAAAGTGTAGTTGTACAGCACCTTTCTAGTAATCTCAGCCTTAAAAGCGCTTCAACGCTACACGTCTGGGCAACTTTGGATAAGCAGAAGCTCGGGTTGTCCGTCAATTGGATAATCGGAGGTTTGGTTCGGTCAGGGGGTGAGGGGTTGAGTGTAGGAGCGGATGGGGGTTGAATATAGCCCAGCGGGCAGGTCTTGTGTGTGACGGTGTGAAAGAGGGGATGGGTGGGGTCCAACAGGAAGGTGAAAGAGTTCGGGGAGGGGGGCTCGTTGTTGGGGGTGCTGTCCGAGGTGGAATCTTGGACAGCCAGGAGGATATGGAGGAGGGGGGGGTTGGGCTTTAAGGTCCCCCACCTGAAGAGGAAGACGAGGGGCAGCAGGGGAGGCGAGCAGAGGGGAGGAGGGAGGTGGAGAGTCCTAGTCCTCTTCGGGGTGGGACTCCAAGCAGGGCGCTGGAGACTGCACCCAGCAGGAGGTCTTCCGACTGAGGAAGATCCTCCTCGAGATCAACAGGGAAGGGAGGAGTACTGCCGGGACTGAGTGAGATGCTGGAGGAGAACGGTGAGTCCAGGTCGACTAATTGATTATACTAATACATATATTATATATACCTGTTATATTGTCTACTTAAAATAAAGGTTTTCTTTAATTCAATTCATTTTATTTTATATAGCCCAAAATCGCAAATTACAAATTTGCCAGAGGGCTTTACAGTCTGTACACATATAACATCCTCTGTCCCGAAACCCACCATCGGCACAGGAAAAACTCCTCAAAAAATGAAAAAAAAAAAAATATATATATATATATCATACATATATATATATATATATATATATATATAAATAATAATAAACTGTGTGTGTGTGTTTGTGTAAAGCATGCTAGCAAACAAAAATATGTATATTATATATATATATATTAATAATAAACTGTGTGTGTGTTTGTGTAAAGCATGCTAGCAAACAGTCAATGCTTGAACGGACAGCTCGTACGCTGTGTTTGGAGGCTGGATAGTCTTGGATGGATTGGAATTGTCATTTTTGCAGATTTTATGAAAATAACGGAGGATTTTTTGACAATTGACTGATGCTGATCACCAGGACTTGCTTCATCACCATTCCGTCCACTGGTTAAGTTCGGGGAAAGTATCTTGGACGAGTTAATCGGGAAAGCCGAACGACAGTTTGGCTTTGTGATTTTGCGTTGGACATATTGACATAATTGTGGTAATTGCATAATACCACATCAGTAGACCCATTCCAGTAAATGGTCTATAGATCTATAATGAGCTCGGCTGAAGGAGCAGCACCATCGTACTGACCTCGTCTATTAGCACCAGAGGATTCTCCGTCTTGGTTTTCTTCAGGCATTGGATAATCTTCCCTGGCATTGCTCCAACATATGTTCTCCTGATAACGCACAGAAACACATTCCAGAAAATCATATTTCCATATTTAATTAACTTGGAATACAGATTACACAATATGCAAAATATGTGTACAACGTCATTATCCTAATTGTAATACGGGTAGATGAAATCCAGCGTTCTGATTGGCTGAGAGTCACAGGGTGTACATTATTGAGCAATAACGTACAGTACCTGTTCACATTGACCAGAGTGTTCCTTATCACGGCGCACTTAAAGTAACAGGTTAGATTTTGCGCGACAGTTGACATTTCAGTTTTTAGCTCAGTGGCGATTGCGGGAAAAAGACTGTAAATCCCACAAATGATCAGTTTGGGGCAATGCGATCTTTCGCAACCGGACAATTAAGGTGGATGTCATCAGCGATGTGAATGAATGAGATGCTGAGAGATCTTGCAAGGAGACCCGATGCGGTTTACACGTACGTACTGGGACTATTTTTCTCTACATAACTAAATATTTTAGAATAAAATCTATAATATTATAGAATAAGGTTATAACATTTGTGTTTAAAGTAATGAAATCTATTCTTTACGCTAAGGATGGTGAAGTCTCATTTTGCATTCGTGAGAATATTCGTTATCTACGTTGACATTCCAGATCAGTGCATCTATAGTTTTCACACATCATATTGTATTGACAATCTTAATCTTTTCCTGCTCAGCAGCTGCACAATAGCAGAAAGAGAGTCCTGAATGTGAGCAATCATAAGGTCCCTCACTAACGAAGGCAGGCTAGACTTCCATACCTGTGTCCTTTGATCTCAGCCACATCGGTCATGCCTCCCACACTGAACCTGTAGTACTGTCTGTTGAGTGCTCTGGCTATGGAGCGGGCAATGGAGGTCTTTCCTACACCTGGAGGGCCATAGAAACACAGGATCTTCCCCTGTGTGGAGCCACACAGCTGGCTGACTGCTATAAATTCCTGCACACAGATAGAGACGTTAAGTCATTGTGGATATACCATACGAGTAAAAAGTCTGGATATATTTTATCATTGAATGAAAAAATGTGTCCAAAATTTGACTGCTGCTGTGGGTATTTCAAAATGTGTTATTGGAGTAAAACAATTACTTTCTTGATTCCTTGAGCTTTAAATCGTGTGAGAGTGTGTGCTATTTGCTAACCAATATGCGCTTCTTTACATCATCCATTCCATAATGATCTTCTTCTAGAACCTCTTTGGCTCTTTCTAGGGAGACATTCTCTTCGCTGTTGGTACCCCAGGGCATGCTGGTCAGCCAGTCCAGGTAGTTACGGGTTACACTGAAACACAGAGCCAGAGTTGTTATTTGTTTGTTGGTTTAAGTAATAAAACAAACAACAGAAATGATTGAAGTATCCTTAGTACTAGAGTGAAAGACAGAGCTCAATCGTACTACTCAAAATAAAAGAGTCGGAGGAGAGGGTGGTGCTCTCCATATGCGAAGACATACCGTTTAAAATGCCATCAATGTACATCATTCATCTGAATTCATTGCACATACGTTATCTTTATTGTGTTATCTCAAAACATATTGTGATGAGCGTCCCAAGCCCACATCAGCGTTGCCCTGGAACCTACAAGGAACACCTGCTCACCACTCATCACGAGCTGAGTGGCCACACCTGCAGCTCGTCAGCTCCGCTGCATTTAAGCTGCAGGTTCAGAAGGAAAAAGGAAGCCCCCTGGAGAAGACCTAAGGCTAACCCTCTTGTGTGCCATTCTCTCTCTAGAAAGCAGCGAGTGACCCGACGGAACCCCTGGAGCACTGCACCGACTCCCCCACAAGCGGATTCACCACGAGCACCAGGGCCCGCAAAACCTCGCAAGCTGGACCTCTCCTAATTAACTCTACGGTTGTAAATAAACCTTGCCCTCCGGGGACTTCACTTGAGCTGTTGTGTAGTCTATTCCTTCCACCCCGCCACAATATCTAGTTATAATGAAATTAGTGTATTCCAATCACCCTCAGCTTTCGCTGGTGCAGCGAATAAATTAGCAAACTTGTACAATAGTACAAGAAGAATAACAATATGCTGGTTTTAGGCAGTTTACCAATATTTAAATAATCTAAAAGGGGAGTAACCACCTCAGTCAAAGTTGATTGGACCATAACAAATGTTCTTTAGATCCTTTACAATTACTTACATGTTTTATTAAATTTGAATATATAGCCGGGAATCACAAAATTACCGCAAAGTGCTTTATAACCTGTACTGAAAACGACATCCTTGTTCCTCGTCCTTGTCAATCCAGCAAAAGCATTTAAGAATCTTTGTCATGCTAATTCACTTAACACACAGTGACTGCTGATTCGCAAGGTTTGCGATCCATTGCACCCGTAATGAGTAATATAAACAAAAAAGAAACAAGACCAACTTGAACTCTGAGGAGTGGTTGTCCAAAAGTCCCAGTTTGTTGAGTTCTTCATTGATGACGTCCATTATGTGTTGTGGCACAGTCCTCTCTTTGAGTCTCTCCCTAAACTTTTCCTCAATAGCGTCTTTGTCTTCTTTTTCAAGACCAAGTTCCTAAAATCCCACAGCACAAACACATTTTGCAAATGGTTAATGGACTGTACAGCGTTTTTATAGTCTAGGCAAAATGTATTTTTGGGTGGGTGGGGTTTTGGCGATGTAGAATATAGTTTGGGTACCATTTTTTGCATTTCTATAAAATAATGCTACAACAAAGATCATATTTGGCAGTGCTATGTGATGGAATATGAGTTCCAGGTATATCTGTTGTGGTGGACTTCCTCATCATTCAGTCCGTATACCAGAAATACGAGATACGAGAGTGACTGACAGATAACACCATCTGATCTACCTTCTTTATGATCTTGAGCTGCTCCTGTAGCAGGTACTTCCTGTGGGTCTGTTTGATCTTCTCCTCCACCTGAGAACAGAGCACAGATGAATGACTCAGGTGATTAGCATAGCAGTGGCTCACACAAAGTTGGTTAAGACGTCCAACCTCTCGGCCTAGTCGCTGCTGCAGTTTACTCAGCTCATACTCCTTCTTCAGCAGAGACAGAGCCTTGTAGAGACGCTTTGGGATCTGCAGAAACACACAGCAACTTGTTTCAAAGGCCTGCACACTTTTAGCTCATCAATATAAAAACCTAATATAAACATGTAGAAAAATGCTGCAGGAAGAATCTCTTTAAATGTTCTTCCAATCTACCACTTATTCCCCATCATTGTAACCAAACACATTGCATTTCATTGTGTAATGTGCCTACTACTATTAGTTACTTTTAGGAAGCCATGAACTTCCTAAATACAGACAGTTTATTAAATGCCCCACCAGAGAGGAGAACACGCTGGATCACTGTTACACCACAGTAAGCAGGGCTTATCACGCCGTCCCTCGTGCTGCACTGGGACACTCTGACCACGTCATGGTCCATCTGATTCCTGCATACAGGCAGAAACTAAAGCTCTGCAAACCTGTGGTGAGGGAATTCAAGAAGTGGACCAGTGAGGCGCTGGAGGATCTTCGGGCGTGCTTTGACTGCACAGACTGGGATGTTTTCAGGACTGCTACTGACAGTCTGGATGAGTTCACAGAGGCTGTAACTTCCTACATCGGCTTCTGTGAGGACAGCTGTGTACCATCATGCACCAGGGTGAGTTACAACAACGACAAACCCTGGTTCACAGCGGAACTCAGAACACTACGCCTGCAAAAGGATCAGGCATTTAGGAGTGGGGACAAAGACTTGTACACAGAGGCAAAATACAAGTTTAGCAAGGCGGTGAGAGACGCTAAACGACTGTACTCTGAGAAACTCCAACAACAGTTCTCAGCAAGTGACTCTGCTTCGGTCTGGAGAGGCCTCAAACACCTCACCAACTACAAGCCAAAAACCCCCCACTCCATGAATGACCTCCGCCTGGCAGACGAGCTGAAAGAGTTCTACTGCAGATTCGATAGACAATATCCTGATCCCATCCCCCACAGCTCCACCAAACCTGCTGCAGTCTCCCTCCCTTCCCTCCCCCAGCCCATCAGGTGCTCACGCCTCTTCAACTATATCACCTTCCCCTCCCCCACCAGCAACGACCCTCTCTATTCTGGAGAGAGACGTTAACCGGCTCTTTAGAAGAGTAAAGCCCCGTAAGGCAGCCGGTCCGGACTCCGTCTCCCCTCACACCCTGAAGCATTGTGCTGACCAGCTGTCTCCGGTGTTCACTGACATCTTCAACACCTCCCTGGAGACATGCCACGTACCAGCCTGCTTCAAGGCCTCCACCATCATCCCTGTCCCCAAGAAGCCCAGGATCACAGGACTCAATGACTACAGGCCCGTCGCCCTGACCTCTGTAGTCATGAAGTCTTTTGAACGGCTAGTCCTGACCCACCTGAAGTCCCTCACCGACCCCCTCCTGGACCCCCTGCAGTTCGCCTACAGAGCCAACAGGTCTGTGGACGACGCTGTCAACATGGCCCTCCACTACATCCTCCAGCATCTGGACTCCCCAGGAACCTACGCCAGGATCCTGTTTGTGGACTTCAGCTCTGCCTTCAACACTATCATCCCGTCTCTGCTGCAGGACAAACTCTCCCAGCTGCACGTGCACGACTCCACCTGCAAGTGGATCACAGACTTCCTGTCAGACAGGAAGCAGCACGTGAAGCTGGGGAAACATGTCTCAGCCTCTTGGACCATCAGCACCGGTTCCCCCCAAGGCTGCGTTCTCTCCCCTCTGCTCTTCTCCCTGTACACCAACAGCCACCAGTCCGTCAAGCTCCTGAAGTTTGTGGATGACACCACCCTCATTGGACTAATCTCTGGTGGGGACGAGTCCGCCTACAGGTGGAGTCTGACCATCTGGTGTCGTGGTGCAGCCAGAACAACCTGGAGCTCAACGCTCTAAAGACAGTGGAGATGGTTGTGGATTTCCGGCGGAACAGAGCCCCACCCTCCCCCATCACCCTGTGTGACTCCCCCGTCACTATTGTGGATTGCTTCCGTTTCCTGGGCTCCATCATCACCCAGGACCTCAAGTGGGAGCTGAACATCAGCTCCATCACCAAGAAGGCTCAGCAGAGGTTGTTCTTCCTGAGGCAGCTGAAGAAATTTAACCTGCCAAAGACGATGATGGTCCACTTCCATCACTTAGCATAGTGTACTTTATGCTTGATATTTTTCTTTTTAACTTTTTAATATTTAAAATTTTTTAACTTGATTCCCTTGTTTTATACTAACCCATAGCCTTAGCCTTATTCTACTAACCCATTGCATTAGCATTTCATTCCACTTTATTTTATTACTTGTGCACTGTTGTCTTGTCTGTCTACTGTCGCGCACTAACCGCCAAGACAAATTCCTTGTATGTTTGACATATTTTGGCTAATAAATGTTTCCTGATTCCTGATTCCTATGGGTGTTTCCTTCCTCATCTGCCTCAGGGGGTAGAAATGCATGATCAACTTTCCAACTGCTGTTACAGAGCCACTTCCTCAGCTTTAATGTACTAAAAAGTCTTGTCCCGAACAGGTCTTTGGGCAGGAAGACTACTCACATTGATCTCTTCCAGGACGTCTTGTAGCTCGTGCGACTCTGCTCCTGTCAGAGCTGCTCCCATGTCGCTGAGGTAGATGGGATTATCAACAACTCTTTGACCTGCCTGCATCATCTGGAGGACCGATTCTCTGGGAAACACACACACTTTTTAATTCTCATGAGCTCAATTAATAGAAGGAATGTAGTTCGTCGCTTACTGCTAAACTTAGGTGCTGCCTTTATGAATCACATCAGAAGTCAACAGATTGTGGGCACTAAGACAATTCATTCCGCTAGCAGACTTGTGAAGTAATCGGCAGGGGAAAAGCTCAGAGTGTGAACGAAGAAATGTGTAGGTCCGTAGAGCCTACAGAGGGTACTTGAGGTGAGAGAATTTTGCAAAACAAAGCTCACTTCAGGTTCACCTTTCACTTTTTCTGTGGCAAACATTTCAGATACTTAATGTTCTTTTAAACATGTTTTGTGTTTAAAAGTACCTAGTGGTCCAATGCTGTATAGTGTGGTTAACGTAACTCACCACCTCCACCAAACTAAGCACCAAGTTCCATCCATCATTATATCATCAATAAGTAGAAAACCAGTAGATTCATAATCAATATTTTGCATAGAATCGCAGGTCTAACCTGATCTCGAGTCATGTAGTGATCAGTTAAACAAAACATAATGAAGAAGATGTAGCTTAACAGTTCAATTTAAGGTGTCTCAAACAGATGTAAACACTATAATATAACATATTATATTATGGGTTGATGAAATCCAGCTTTCTGATTGGTTGAGAGGGAGTCACGGGGGGTGCATTATTGAGTGATGATGTACAATTGCTGTTCAGTGACCCGAGCTTTCCATATCACTGCGCTGGGTGATGCAAGTTTTTGCACCCGGACAATTAAGGTGGACGTCATGAGCGATGTGAATGAATGAGATGCAGCGCGATCTTGCAAGGGGACCCAATGCTGTTTACATGCACGTACGGAGACTATTTTTCTCTACACTACTGAAATGTGATACATAACGTTTGGTGGCTAATACTATTTTGTGCTGAAAGGCAGCTATTTACTTACTATTTATAATTTCGCTGGTAACCGTATTATAAAAGCGAAGGTGCTTGGGATATTTAGCTTTCAGGGGTGTTTATGCTAAAATTGCTTTCTAATTGGATTGTTGAGTAATGGTAGGAAAAATGGTCTTGCTAGAGCCCCCTTTTGATTATTCCCCCTATTGGGTTTCAGGTAGCTGCTGATGGCGATGGCGCGTCTGGCCTACAACACCCACAAACGTTTACATTATTGGACGATGGTACAGCCTCTCGTACCGAATTGCTTTATTGTAGTAAACATCAAAGAAAACTAGTGGTGCAGGTTTTTTATATTTGTATAATTTCTAAAATTTCTAAATTGCATTCCGAATGTTGATGCAGACCTATAGCCTGAGCCTTCAAGATGAATTAAAGCCGCATTGGTCGGGCTGTCGCACATGAACGCATGTCCAAAGTGCCTATCTGACTGAGTGAGGCTGCCGTGCATTTCTGTGACCATCAGAGGCATCACGTTTAGACGCTGTTTACGGTGTACCAGGTCATTTCTGGTGCAGTCGTAAGTCTTGAATGTTTGTGTATATGTAAGCCGGTAAAGATGGGGAAAAAAAAGAAGTGTGAGTTTGTGTGAACTGCTGTCACGTTTTGTAACACGACAAACTTTAGATTAGACAGACTAATTAAATCCAGGTCTCAAAACCAACTGCTTGTGCAGGCAGCTCAGCTGAATGATTCCAAGCAGGAAGAGAAATGACAGCCTGTACGCAGGCTGGTGTGTACCAACAAACCAACAATGTTGAAAAACAAAATAAAAAATAAAAACTTTGAGAGAAATACATTGAGCCAAACTGAGTTCATATGTGTGTAATCTATAATACGAATCGACGATTGATTTGATTTAATAAACTTCACGTCACATTCATTACTTTATATTACAGTCTGGCTCTAGAGCAAATACAAATAATGCCCTGCACTATTAGTAAAAATGTCATGTACCAGCACAATGTGAAAACCACTCCAGGACTTGTTTTCCTGCCCGCCTCAGCGTCCAAGAGGCGGGCAGGAAAACAAGTCTGCAGCCGACCCCTCTAACCCCGGACAAAGACTCTTTGAGCCCCTTCCCTCAGGCAGGAGGCCGAGGCCAAGAGCTCCCGTCACAGAAAGTTTTTCCCGTCAGCAGTTGGTCTCTTACACCAAGTGACCCAAATACTGGAACATTTTCACAGTTGTTCCTCTCACCATGGAAAAATATGGACATAACGTACCCATTAGTTAAGTTAAGATATTGTTAATTCTTGCTTGTTTATCTTATTCTTATATTGCACCAAGTCAAATTCCTCTATGTGTAACATATGTGGCAATAAATGGCTTCTGATTCTGATAATAATAATAATAATAATAATAAACACTAGAACTACCACTACATGGTTGGCCTCTAATGAACAAATTGTGACAGGTGACTGACCAACGTGGCAGGACTGACCTGTAGAGCGGGTTCAGGGCAATGATGTCCCTGATGGTCTTAACTATCTCTGCTGTCAGTGCCTGAAAAAAAAAACATTCCAGAGATTTAAGCTTTTAATAAGTTCAAGTAAGAGCATCTATTTGCTCAAATCTGCAACAAAATGAGAAATTGACTTAAGTGACTTTAAGACATTTAACATCGTAGTTTTCATTACATATAATGTGCATGTTTGTACCTTGACCTCCTCTGTGACCGTGAACTGTTCATGTTGAATATTGTGCACTTCTACCATCAGGACGTTGGAGGATGGCACAGGCTGAAGTTCTGGACTCAGGTCTGCTTCTGAAATCTAACCAACAAAAACTCCTCATAAACCCCAAATACTTAATCTCCCACCTCTAATGAACATACAATATAGTTCTTTGGATAATTTAACTGTTTGCCTCTAGATAAAAAGTAATTTCATTTATTCACTTTAAATTTTAGTTGTAACAGTAAAATGGACATGAAAAGCACACCTCATCAATGTCGGATGACAAACTTGGTTGCAGAGATAGATACCACCAGGTGAGACGGCTGTTGTGGTCCTTCGTGGAGTTTATCCAGGTTAGAGCCCTGGATAAACTCTGGTCTGTTTCAAGGTCAAACTCTCGGCCCAGTAGGTAGTACCGCAGACTTTCCAGAGTCCATTTGATTGTCAGGCCTTCTTTTTCAACTACAGAGTACCTGGTCTCCCGGGCGAGCAACTTGCGCCTTAGGTACAGGACCGGTTGGTCTCCCTGTGCGAGAACCGCACTAAATAGACCAAGAAGTCCGTACTTTGACGCACTGGCGGGGATCATAGCACGGCCTTTAACCTTCTGAAGGCCTCTTCACATTCTTTCGTCCAGACAACGATTGCATCCTTAAGCTTTCCCAAGACTTCCCTAAGCTGTTGGATGTGTTCCTCCCAGGTGCTGCTGAGAATTACCACATCGTCAAGGTAGATGCACTGCAGTCTTCACAATCTTGGAGGACCTTATCCATTAGTCTTTGGAAGGTAGCTAGAGCTCCATGCAGTCCAAACGGCATCACGGTGAAGTGAAACAGTCTAGCCGGTATGCGGAAGGCTGTTAAGGGTCTGCTTGCGGCCTCCAGAGGCACTTCCAGGGTCGTGATATACACAGCCGACCCAATTTTCTCCAGTAGCTCATCAATCCTGGCATTGGATAGGCATCAAACTCTGAGATGGAGTTAAGCTTCCGGAAGTCAATGCAGATGCGTAGGGAACCGCCTTTCACGAGGAAAACTGGACTACACCACTATGAAATTGATGGATCCTACTACCTCCAACTCCAACATGGCCTTGACCTCTTCTCGCAGCTTGTTTACCAGTTGCTGTGGGATGCGGTAAGGTCGTTGCGCATTGGTCGCCCATCCTTCAGCCGAATGACATGCTCCATGACTGTTGTTTTGCCCAGACGTGCAGTGAACAGTGCAAGTACCTCCTGAAAGACTGAGAACTGTTGGCGCTTGTTCAGAGGTACGGTGGACAAGCCCTGGTAGCTGTACCGGTTAATGCCTCCTCTCAAAGATCTTCCTCCTCTTCCACGTCCGCCGCCTTCACAAAGAATGAGGTTTCTGCTGGCTGGATGGATGGAGCGTTACTCCAGTCCTTCACATCACTACTCTGTACTTGTCATAGCGACTCTTTACTTGTTGTATGAACTCACGTCCGACCACCAAACGGAGTCGTGTTTTGGTACTAAATAGCATCCGTAGGCGCAGACAGCTCTGTGAATTTCACCGACTTCTACAGGTACTGCATCTGGATGACTGCCGCTTTCAGCAGTACATGGTGCTAGCCTTTAGCCCGTTTGAGAGCTGATTGGCTCGGATCGGGCACCGGACTTCACCGCCTTCACATCATACTTACCTACATGCTGAGGGAACTGTCCCATCGAGAGACACCGTATGCTCAAGCACAACCCAACGGCTCTTTTAAGAGCGATTCGACTTTGTATGTAATCCTGTGGCGCAAATCGCTGAAAACGCATTCAGAGTGAACGTAGCATAAGAGTGGTTCAAAACCCCTGATGTTCAGCAGCCAACCGAGCACAGCCACTTTGCGAGTGACAGCGAGATCCTCTTTGTGGCAGTGGCAAGTGGGTGGCATCAAACCTGAGAGCCCCACCCCCTACACGGAACCCGCCGGTCCAAACCTAAAATTAGCCTCTGTAATAAGAAGACGGGGGCTCACGTGTCTCAAATAAAATAAAATAAAATAAAATATTTACAGCAGCTGACCTGTCGTACAAATAACAGTTGTTTCTGGGAAAAATTGGCTCCTCCCACCCAGCGTGCCGTTGTGACGCCGACTGATTTACTGGCGATTGCCGCTGCCTGCCACAAAGTTGCCACCCACTTGCCACTGCCACAAGGAGGATCTCGGCCCTACTGCACTTTGCCTAGCCAGAGCTACAATGGAATGGTTAAGATCAGAGCATGTTAATGTTCTAAAATGGCTGAGTCCAATTGAGAATTTATGGCAAGATTTGAAAATTGCCGTTCACAGACGGTCTCCATCCAATCTGACTGAACTTCAGCTTTTTGGCCAAGAAGATGAACATTTCCATCTCTAGATGTGCAAAACTGTTAGAGACATATCCCAAAAGGCTTGCAGCTGTGATAGCTGTACAGAGTACATAAACTTTCATTGTTATGCAGACGATATTCAATTATATTTATTGACCAAGCCGGACAAAACCCTGTCTTAAAAGACTTTAAATCCTGGTTATTTCGTGGTTTTTCTGTTTTTTTGATTATGCACTGTGTAGTGTAGAGAACATGTTCTGACGTTGAATTAAATCCTGTTAAATTTTTTGATTTGTATTTTTCTTATTATTAAATTATTATTATGTTCAAGGAGCAACCTGTGGACTTTCTGAAGTATTTTTGCAATGTGAATTTGCAGTTCTGTTTTAGAATAAAGGGTTGGAAATTAAAGCTCTTTTTTATCTGATTCATCGATTATTCAAAGAAATAATCGACCGATTAATCCATTATTAAAATAATCGTTAGTTGCAGCCCTATGTGAAATGTATTTCACTCTGGCCATCCAGATAGAGGGATCCTCCTCTATTCCTCACCCTTAGGCCTCTTCCTTCCTTCAACTTTCCTAAATGTTTTTCTGTGTAATTCTTTAGAGCTACATACTGAAACCATGTGTAGAAGGCAACAGATGTGACATGTATGGTTGATCTTACAGACCTTGTCCTCAATCTGCTCCGTCAGAGAAGCCGGTTGGTCCTTACGGCTGCGCTTGGCTTTGCGTCTCGATGGAGCTTTTGGTTGCAACTCGGACTCTAACCACCCTGTGGACGTTGACGCCTCATCAGGTTCCATCTCCAGCTTCCTTGTGATGCGGATCCTGTAAAACCAGATTGTAGCAGTGTTACGGGTGTGTACCGCGTTCTCAATCTCTCTCTCCAGGTAACTGTCTTTCCAGACTGTTGTTTGTCTACACAATGGAAAAGAAACAGTGTGCCATGGGGGGTAAAGCACACAGACACCACTTTTTCTTTTACCCAAAAAAAGCAACAGTAACTCTAACCTGCGGTGTCCCATGACGATCATCCTCAGCTTGTCTCCCAGGTCCTGCATCTCATGAATTTGAACAAAGGTCCCAGTAGAATAGATGGCGTCTAGAGACTCCACCACATCTGACTCATCACTGCAGATGGAAACATTTATTACTGCCAAACTACAGACGTTGATAGTATGCTTTTTGAAAGTGTCACCCAAGCGCTTTTGGCTCAAAGCTCCCCAACCTAGTCTGTTGTGAAGAAATCGTAGTTTATTAAAAAACATCCTGCACTGGTTTGATTATTTGCCGTTTCATGCCATGTTTACCGCAGCACAGCTCGCTCAGAGCGTTCAATGTCGATAAGGTAAAACGTCAATTCATTTTATTAATATTTGTTTCAATCACAGAATGAAGCCTGCCATATTTGGGACAAGAATCGCAACCTTAAATTGCTTGCACAAAACTCTTGATCAGCACTCGGCATTTGTTTATTGTTGTCGTTCATTTAAACCGCTATGCTCATTAAGGCTCATTTAATTATTATTGTGTAGGTAATATGTTGTTAAATATGTTTAAACTTAAATAAATTACCTATACAAGTAGTTTTGTCTCGTATTAATTTGTCCTGTTATAGACGTGCCTAATGCGCAGCCAGATATTCAAATATATTGGAATTTTTTCAAAGCGAATATTCAAACGTCATTTTTGAGTAATTTTGACAACCCAAGCTTACACTCACAAAAACTACTTTTTCTTGTGCATATTACACCAAAATGAATTGCAATAAACTTATTGTAATTGTCAGACCATTTCATGATACTAATTGCATAATGACAATATAATAGCATATTATTGCAAGTACGCTCTTTCAAAGAATGTTTCATTCTTCATAATCGGAAATGTGAAAAAATATATCCTAAATAAAACAAATACAGCTTTGTAAAAGTTCGCTCTCACTCTCACTCACTCAACCGGTTACAATGGTTGGGGAAACACCGGCTAGAAACACCAAGCTCAATGTAGAGCGTGGTGTATACGTAGCTCTTCTTCTCAGACCTGTATCACCCTGACCATAAATGCTTAAAGCACATGAGACTTACAGATCATCTTTCTTCAGGAAGACTCCAGCATACGGCTGAGCAAGACGAACCTTCCTCCTCAACAGCTCCATTAGCACCTTGTTCTTTACCTGAAGCAAGAGAGACATTACACACTATCAGCACTTACCAAAGACATTTCGCCATTGTATTTATTAAATAAAGAACCAATTGGAGTTAGGACACATTGCCAATGTAGAAGTAGATGTGGTGACGAATGTCCCCCATCCCTAGAGTCTGAATAATAATAATGCAATGGTCCAGAATGGACAGGCAACAGTCTTGTTGAGGCTGGTGCATGTTTCTGCGTCTGCGTCGTTGCGTCGACGCACTCGTTTCAATTCATGGTTCTAAAAGTCTTGCGTATATTGCAGAGCTTTTCACCGCCAGAACAACAGGTGGAGTAACTTTGTCGAAGACGACCTAGAGAGTCACGTCTTTGTTTGTGGAAGTCGTTGGTTTGTCTATTTATCATAGACTTTGTCGTCCACAACTTTGTTCCCCTCGACCGGCAAACCGACGTTTGTGGAGATCTCACTCCATGAATCAGAGGCCATCCGCGCGTCCTTATAGTCCGCCAATGACGGCTTGTACAAGTGGCCACATTTACGGATTTCTTCCGACAAAAGTTCTTCAATCTGATTCGTTCTCTCGTAAACATTCTTTGTTTTAATAATGGCGGTATTGTGCTATGAAAACGTAAATGTGAGACTCTGTAAAGGGCGTAGTTAGCAGACCAAGCCTTGCGGGCTGCAGGAGGCTTGCGTAGCTTTTGACGCAAGCCTAGAAAAATGGATCGACGCACCCAAGGAGGTGTAAAAAGGCACGCAAGGGACACGCAAGGGGGTCTTGCGTCTGCGTTGCTCGGAAAACGCAGAAGCATAAACTAGGCTTTAATCCTAAAAACGTATGTAATTCTAATTTGCAGATATTTTAAATTGCTGCCATAAATATCCTTTCTCTACTGTAAGCGTTGGTATTTAAAGTAACTATGTGTATAATTTAACTCTGAGCTGAAATAACCCTAGTGACATCACTGTGACATGTGTCCATCAGTCTCAGTCATTGTTTTTGCATCGAAGACAGAAAGGCTCTTTTTGTAAATGACAGTCCATATCCAACTACTTACATCAAAATCACTACTTCATAACGGTGTGTCGTCTCAGTGGAATGTCCTTCAATGGGGTTTAATGAGAATATGTTCCAGCAGTCTACAGAGCGTCTTGGTGCCTTGCAGTTTTGTTTACTTGAGAGCTAAAAAGCACCCGGGGAATCTTAGACAGCAAGATCTGAAGCAGATCCAGCTAAAAACCCCAGTGCACTTGAAGCCGACACACCAAGCTCTCCCTGCACAGATAATAAACGTGTTGCGGTGTGGTTGCATCATCTGTGTGTCCTTGAAGGCCATGAGACCATACTCACCTCTATGATCTTGATGAAGCGGGGAAACACTGGGTTCCTGCTCACAGCGATCAACGGCACATTAGGAAACTCTTCCGGGACCATCATGGGGGTAAGAGCAGTCATCTGGGGTCCATATGGAACTCCCCCATCCCCGCTGGACTCTTCTCCCCCGGAACCTGCGCTGTCCCCGCCGTCCTCCCCCGAGAAACCCGCGCCACCTACCCGGTTCACGAACATCCTGTCCTGAAGCAGACAGGGTCGAGAAGTGGGCGTGAGGAAATTGGTTTGGCCACGGAGAAAGACTCCTGCCCGTGTCCATCGGTAACGTGTGGCGGTCAGCCTGCAGCCCGCTGTCATCGCTGTGCTCAACGGAACGCTGGAGAAGGAGCGTGGAGGCTGGAGCCGGCTCGGAACCAAGGTGTCGGTCAAGAAGAGCCGGTTGCCGCTCCTGAACACCCCGGACTTGATTTGTTTTACAGCGAGGGCTGAATTTCGGTGCAGTTGTTTAACAGCAAGGATCATCTTGTCGCAGGTCGCCATTTCTGGAGCGTCCTCTTTTAAGAGCATCTACTTCCGTCCGCGTTTGATGACGTATCCGGAGAGACTCCACGCAGAAAGGCCACTGGGCGGAGTGGAACCAGGACCACAGCCACACCACCGTAACGTCATGTTTTTAAGTTCACATAAAACGCTAGAAGAAACTGCTCTTAGTGCTAACGTTACCCCCCTCCCCCACCCCCCATACAGCCCCTAACCCAGAGTCTCACCTGAACCCCCCCTGGGTCCATGTACTGCTTCTTATGAACATCAATGTACCTACACACATTTATAACAAACACACAACGAGCAGTTCACGTTACCGCGAGCCGCTGCGCTGTTAACGGCAGCTCGTCTGTAGTTTTGGGTGAAAAGTCACTTTATTGACTAACTCTCACACTTTAGAGGTTGACACTGTGATAGTTTATACTTTTTATTATTGTAGCCGAGTGGTTCTGGTGTGCTTATACCTTGTGTCACTAACAAAAGAAACAACCCGGGGCTCCAGTTCTGTGCCAAACCGGCCGCTACTTTATTTTTCATCTTTTTCCCAACACCCCCAGTTGAACACCAACTCAACTTCCTCTCCTTCCATCTCCCCCTTCACAACCAAAGCCCCCACACCGGAGCACCTGTGCAACAATAGCTTACATACCTCCCCACCCCCATAAAGAAACGTCCCCGTCTAAACTAAATTTCAAATGTCACACACATAAAAAAAAAACAGCAACATGTCTTCATAACACACCGTTAAACAGTAAATAACATCATACACACTTAATCCCCCCACTGCAGATCCTCCCGAAAACATGCCCCACTAATCCCAATAGACACCAGAAAGTGCTGATCCCCACAAGTGTTTGGCTACATGTCGAATAAGGCATGTGCAGCTACCGTGACGAAAACATGTCAGCTCTTTTAAGATAAAGCTTAAAACTTTCCTCTTTGATTTTGCTTATAGTTAGGGCTGGCTCAGGTTAGCCCGGACCAGCCCTTAGTTAAGCTGCTTTAGGCTTAGACTGCCGGGGGACTTCTTAGGACACATCGAGCTCCTCTCTCGCGCTCTCATTTTTACAATAATCCACGTTTTATTAATGCACATTAACAATTCAGTGGCGTAGCTTTTGACGCAAGTCTAGAAAAATTGGTCGACGCACGCAAGGACCGTGGGCGAGGGAGCAAACGTAAAAGTACTATTAGTTTTCTTAAAGAACACAGGTTGTATTGGAGCATATGGTACATGGGTTGTATATGTGAAGGTCAATGTGTGTGAGGTATTTTTCTAATGATATATTTTTTATACTATGTATTTAATTCGTTTGTTGGTTTACTTTGTTTTGGGCTGATCAGACTGGGTCTCACTCCGGGGCAGAAGGTGGCAGTAATGCACCGATAAGCTCGTAGAAGCAGAAGAAGAAGTCAGCGGAAGTCGCGGCACGCGAGCAGTCAGCGCTGTCCCCCGTGCCGGATCCCTTCCCTCGTTTATCTGCACACTTCAAAGGTTAGTAAGCAGCTCAGCTGATGTGAGGAATGTAGAACTGGAGTTAGGTGATGGTTTAACCACAGACTGTAAACAAGAGAGAACTCAGTAACATACATGGCACCTTTGCCATCTGGTAAACTGCATGTTATTAACAGGGCTCTCAAATGTCACGCATTTCTGTCTCTTGTCACGCACTCACGCCACACATCCAATTCCTCACGCCAAGAAATCGGACTCCGGTCCGCGCCGTGTTCCCCCGTCGGTCCATCCCGACAAAATGTCACTCCCAAGTTTTCTTGAAACTTGAGAGCCCTGCATTGATTGCATGTGAAATACAACATGTGCAATTATACAGCACGTACGTTACAGTATATAATGCCGCGGAGAAAGGACTGTTAACGAGGGAAATATGCTCAGATTATCTGTGATACCGCACTATGTTTAATATCAAACATACAATAAGATTGATCTTCATCATCATAACAAAAGCAACCAGTAGCACTAGTTGGAATCGAAGCGCTATTCAATCCGCCCATAGAATATATATATGTGTGTATATATATATATATGTGTGTGTATATATATGTGTGTGTGTATATATATGTGTGTGTGTATATATATGTGTGTATATATATACATATAGTATATATATATATATATATATATACATATAGTATATATACATGTTTGTATCAGATTTTGTGGGTCTAAGGATGCAAGAAGTAAAGGTATATATCCACACATGCATATGTGTAACATCTCAAGTGTGATTCAATTACTTTATATTGATACAAATGAAAACCCTCTGGCTCTTTCTCAAACACTCACTCCACAGTAACAGTTAATACATTTACAAAGTAGTTGCATCTTGTAATCTTTGCAGCTTTACTTTTTTAAGTCAGAACATTGTTTTGAAATATTTAATGGAAGGAATTGGGATAAGCCATTTACGGAGCACAGATGTATACGCATATAATAACAGCCTGTCTGTCTGTGTAGCAGTATGACCAGTGTTGAACAAATTGCAGCAGTAGGACAGGTTCTGACCGATCCAGGAATAGACCTGACCCGGCGGTTCAGAGCCTTATTCACCTTGAAGAACCTGGGAGGTAATGTATGTGTGTGTATGTGTGTGTGTGTGTGTGTGTGTGTAACGCATATTCGTAGATGTATTTCTTTGCGGATCGCACTACATTTGTTTGATGAAGATGATCACATGCGTGTAAGTTTGTGTTTAAAAAAATACATTATCTAAAATACACGCTTTCTAAAGTGATTTCCTGTTAATTTATGAAATTTAGTTTTAATCTAGACTAATGGGGTTTTTTTAATGTGAGATTATTTTTTTAATCGTGTGTGTGTATATCTTGTTAATGTACTGAATGTGAACTGATGAATGCTTTACCATGGTCTAGGTGCTGAAGCTATAGAATGGATCAGTAAAGCCTTCACAGATGAGTCTGCCCTGCTGAAACACGAGTTGGCTTACTGCCTTGGACAGATGCAAGACAGACATGCCATACCCACTTTAACAGCAGTTCTCCGAGATACACAGCAGGAGCCAATGGTCAGGCATGAAGCAGGTAAGAATGCTTGTGCTCATAAACTGGGATCGGCCAAGAGACCAATCACTTCCAAACCACAACTCCACCAGACAAACACACCTACTTTTATTTGAGAACTACAAGCAACAGTATATGCGCCTGTTGAGCGCTTTGACTTTTTTCTTTGGTTAGGAGAGGCTCTGGGAGCAATTGGGGATGCTGTGGTTCTGGACCTACTAAAAGAATACAGTCAGGACCCTGTCATTGAGGTAGGAACACAACACGGCACAGCACAGCCTGTACCTGCTCCACGGCTGGTAGATGCAGAGAGCACTTTATCACATACTCATTAACTGCATAAGTAAATATGCAAGACTTTACGTTACATGTTACGTTATTGCTTTTTATACTATGATCGTATTGATTAAATGTAGTAAATGAAAACCAATTAACCTCCCGGAAACAATTTGACGTACACGTGTAACCAAAAAGATTAGTTGGTGCCAAACTCTGATTGGTAGTGAAACAATCAAAAGAAACAATCTGATGAAAGCTTAAATATTTTAGACACCAGGATTGAATTCCACTGTGGCAACTTTGAAAGAAACCCTCCTTGTATTGATCCGGGCCGTTTCACCTCCCGGAAACAATTTGACGTACACGTGTAACCAAAAAGATTAGTTGGTGCCAAACTCTGATTGGTAGTGAAACAATCAAAAGAAACAATCTGATGAAAGCTTAAATATTTTAGACACCAGGGTTGAATTCCACTGTGGCAACTTTGAAAGAAACCCTCCTTGTATTGATCCGGGCCGTTTCCATTGTAAGTACAGTAGGAGGTCCACACAAAGCCTGTACTGATCTATGAAGCATTTGAGGAAGTGGATTTCGCTCTCCCCAAATTGTGTCCTGGTTTGCAGTACAGAATGTATTTATTTTACAACACGGTCAGTATTTAGTGTTTTCCCAAGGTTTACAGGTGAGTATGGATGGACCTACATTTTCTGACACGCAATCTCTGTCAGCAAGTGGGAGTGTGCACGTGTCGCCCCCACCACCTGTATAATGGTATGGTAAACACACATTACATTACAGATAATTTAGCAGACTTACATTACACTTTAAAGTTTTGCCCAGGGAGCAAATAGGGGTTGGGTGTCTTGCTCAGGGACAGTTCCACTTGAGACATGGGGCAGCCGGGACTCGAACCACCAACCTTGCGGTTCCCAGCACACCCGCTCTACCCCCTGCGCCACAACAACCCCATGTATTAATTTGTTATTGGTTAAATTATTTTTAAAAAATGCAGCATGTCGAAGCGATTCCAGAGAATCATACAGAGGTCTTTGATAATAGATTGTCATTGACACTTAGAGTCGGGCAATTGGTGCGGTCATAGTTCTGAACATTGTGGACAGGTTGCTCACAACTTACCTGACACGATTGGATATTTTAGTGCAGTATAAACCGATTATAACTGCAGTTGTACAAATGAAGTCTTCATGACAATTTGAACTGAAGTTCTTTGTGTGTGCTAACTAAAATGTTGGTGACATTCATTTTTGAATAAAATTGAATATAATATATCGCAGCACCAAAAATAGTCACGCTCATTTCCATATACCATTCGATAAGTCAATATATTGACATAGAAATTGAGAGAATACGACTGTGGTTTGGTAGATGATGATGTTTTCCATTGCTCTTTTCCCTCTTCACAAACAGCAGGTAGTAGAAGAGATCAATTAGTAGGTTCATGTTGGCTCACTGCCATTTCATGACAGTAATGTAATAACATAATAGCCTATAAAAAAACGGCGTAGTAGAGGGTAAGCCCAAGTAAACACAGTGCTCTAAAATGTTTTGAGTGATAAATGATCAATTTTCAGATAAACTGTTAAAATGTGGGGTAACAATGTGGGTTAACTATTATTCACTTATGTATTTATAATTAATTACATAATAACTATAAAGTGCATTTCTTACAGGAAATGCTGAAACAAAAGCTGAAATAAATTTCAGTAAATGAAAGATATAAAAAAAAAGGGAAATAGCCTTTGTGGGGAGTGTCAATCATTAACATAAGTTATGTAACCGTGATGTGTGGGGTGTTGTCAGCAGAAACCAAAGCAGAACAAAAACACAACAGCCACAAGACCATGTGCCCAGGGGGGAACTTAAGCACCACTGGAGGAGGGCTTTTTTTATCTTCTAGCAGCTCTGACATACAGGGACAAATGAGCGGCAGATATACACCTCTACATCAGAAATCACCCGTGTGGTAGTAACTTAGTTTAAGTATTGGTTGTTTGTGTCAAATGTGCAGACCAAACTTTTGTTATTTAAATCTCATGTCCCTGCCTTCCCGCAGGTGGCAGAGACGTGTCAGCTGGCTGTTCGGCGGTTGGAGTGGCTGCAGACTGCAGGAGTTAAGGAGTTGGACGGAAGTGGAAGTACAGATCAGAACCCCTACCAATCTGTAGACCCAGCCCCTCCAGCTGTGACGAAGAGCGTGTCAGAGCTTCGCTCAATCCTGCTGGATGAGCATCTGCCACTCTTTGAACGTTATCGGGCAATGTTTGCCTTGCGTAATCTGGGCACAGAGATGGCTGTGCTGGCACTGGGAGACGGTAGGATACGCTTTACTGTTTCCTACTGGCATCAGCACATCTGTCTATACATCTGTTTACTTCTGGACATTTATATGTCGAACTCGGTTTAAGCTTCCTCGATGCGGATTGAAACATAATGAGTCTGGGAAACTGTTTAAATATCAATCTGGGAAACACATTTAGAGAGAGTTTAGTTTGTTAACGGTAACAATTAATCCCATCCCCATATTGAGGAACCCAATGTCAGTATTAGAACTGGTGGACGAAGGACGAGGGAGATAACGACTGACTGGATAGTAGAGATTGGAATCTAGCCACCTCAGGATTCCATTACTTTGGATTCAGAGGACTAAATTAGGGTTTTTTTCCTGTGGCGCTGTGAACAACAAAGGACAAAGAATGTCACATGTGGACAGACTGTAAAGCCCTCTAAAAGAAATTTGTGATTTTCGAGCTACACAAAATGAATTTGGTTGGGATTATATAACCATTGAACATTTTTGATACATTTAAAAAAAAAAAAGAAGCTGCATATTTGCAAAGATTCATTATTCAAAAATAGATAACCTCCATTACTCCTTTGCAGCATCCTCGTAGTAAAAACAGTCTTCCACATGTTCGGAGTCATTTCACATAACAATATTCAATCATGAATAAATGATGTACTTATTTTATAACCAATCATGTTAAATGGAAAACAAAATAACAACAAAAATAAACACTGTGAAACATTTGGTAAAATTCTACATACAGATTTGATGTGCAGGTACGAGGCCTTGCATTTATAGTTTCTTTTTCTTTTTCTTTTTTTTGTCCCCAGGTCTGCAGTGCTCGAGTGCTCTATTCCGTCATGAGATTGGCTATGTCCTGGGTCAGATACAGCATCCCGCTGCGGTCCCAGCCCTCTGTGCAGCTCTGGAGCGTTCTGGTGAGAACCCTATGGTCCGACATGAGGCGGCAGAGGCACTTGGTTCCATCGGCAAAGAGGAGTGTCTGGCTGTGCTGCAACAGTACCTTGGAGACGGAGAACGTATTGTTAAGGAAAGCTGCGAGGTCGCTCTAGATATGCTGGAGTACGAAAACACTGAGCAGTTCCAGTATGCAGATGGACTAGTCAGCTTAAAGGGCTGAGAGTAGTACTGACATTCTTATTCAAATAACAGCAGGAGGTTTGAAGCAGCTGCCATTTCATGTGTCCCTTTCCTTTGCAAGGTGTTGCCACAGTTGCAGCGGTCTAACTTTGTTAGGAGTACAGTACGAGAGCTTGTCAAATGTCAGTTCCACTCGACATAGAACTCATACAAGCCAGGGTTTCTGTGTTGTGGAAGTATGTTGGGCAGTACACATTCCTCATTGTAGGAATAGTTCATTCCAAACTGAATGCGTATTGCAGTAATAAATAATATGGAACTGTTGTAAAACGTACTTCTAGATTACTTCACAACATGGGTTTTATGTAAATCTTGTATCCAACTGTGTACTATATGGAAATTAAAAAGCTCCTGCTGTATAAATTTGTTTTATCGTCAATCCCTTTTATTTCACGAGTCTTATTGCTCAACTTTGCCGAGCAGCTGTACTGTAGATCTGTACATAGCAAGGATTTTTCTCCCTTGAGTAAATATTGCCACACTTGAAGTCACAGGCTAAACGGAATATAACTGTGGATGGGATCTAAGTATCAAAGCGAAATGGTTACAAACTCATTTTAACAATTTTATATTTATACTAAGAGAAGAAGATATTAAAGAATATAACTGAATGGTTTAAACCGTTAGTTTAAGGGATATCTCGAGGTGTTTGCAGTGAGCTCGCGAGCCTAGCAACCGTCCTGTCACAGTAACCATAGCAACTGGTAACGTTTGGCTCTACACATCCGCCGTTCCCCGTACACTGTAACCACGTGAAGTACGATGGACGCAAAGCAGGACGAAAGTGCGGGCAAACTACAATCAGCGCGCTCGTTGAAGGCTTTAATGATGACTAACAGCCCGCAAAGCAACACCAACCTGTAAGTGATGTTTATTGTTCGCGTCAACAGGTGTGCTGCTAGCACACGGCGGTGTTAGCACTGGTATAATTCCTGCTTGGTTACAATTCATTCCGTCATCACGGAATTGCTTCCAAATCTGCGCAGTTTTTAGCTCGACTTACGTGCAATTAAGCAATAAGGCACGAAAGGCTGTTGCCGGTGTTACGTCCCCACTGGTTTGCGTAGACGTGCGTGTTTGTGTCCCCCAGCAGCAGATTGGTTGTCTGCCTCTGTCACCTGATTCGTCACACATTCGCAAACCTATTGCTGAAAATGGTCAAAATGCATCACATATCCATTGCAGGGATTACGATTGTATAAGTGAGCACTAAAGTTCAATAACTTTACTGTTTTGGATTCTAGCATAACCAAAGTCGGAACTTCTGCGTCTGCGTCTTTACGCACCGTCGTGTCGACGCACTCGTTTCAATTCATGGTTCTAAAAGTCTTGCGTGTGTTGCAGAGCAATTCACCTCCAGAACAACAGGCGGAGTAACGTGTTTTGTCGAAGACGACCTAGAGAGTCACGTCTTTGTGTGTGGCTATGTTCAAAGTCACTTAAATCCCATTTCTTTCCCATTCTAATGCTCTGTTTGAACTTCAGGACGTTGTCTTGACCACGTCTACATGGCTAAATGCCATGTGATAAGTGCCAAGCAATTAAACAGGTGTTCCCACCAAAGTGGCTGGAAGTAGAGTTTCACTTGCACTTGTTTGAACACATCAATGATAGTAGCAGACTTTAACTAATGACTACTGGGACAAATATTTCCAGGAGAAGCATTTAGTTAATAAGATTGTGCCTTCATGAAAGGGCTTCTTAACCAATGTTCTGGTTTCTGGAAATTAAAAAGGATCCGGTGATCCTGGTCGTGAAACAAATTGTGGCAATGTCACTACACTGCATTAGAATTAAGTTATTTAAAATTGTGCAAAAGCAAACTTTATTAAAGATGACATATTGTAAAAATTCCTCTTTTTTAGTGCTTCTGCACGTTACTTAAGCTATCTAGCATTTCTACCGACCCAGAAACTCTGGGAAAAAACAACTCCCACGATTTGTTATGGTTCTTGTAAGTCAGAAATGTCATGCTTGAGTGACTGAGAATGAACCTCCTTAACATTATGTCGTCACTATGAAATGGAGGTTTTTCTTACATGGCCTTTGGGCATCCTTGGACTGCACAGAATGGGATGTTTTCAGGACTGCTACCAACAGTTTGGATGAGTTCACAGAGGCAGTGTCCCCCACTGACTGACTCTGGCAGCCCTCTCCACCGGTCCCCCCGACCCTTCACACTCCACATGTACATACACATACACTTGTCACTTTCTGCTCGCTGGTGCACTTTATTTTTAACTTTTATTTTTAAGTCAAATTCCTTGTACGTCTGACATATTTTGGTAATAAATGTTCCTGATTCCTGAAGCAAATAAAGCCCTCAAGATGCGCTGTAGTCGTCTGCACTGATCTGCACAGAGGAGAAAGGGGGGAGCCGACTAATTAGCATTTAAAGGAACAAGCACTCAAAACAGGTCACAAGGGCTATTTTAGGGTTAGGTTAGAGGGTGCTGTTTTAAATGATCCTTGTGGTCTTTTGTGGACATTTCATTAAGACCCCAAGCAACCATATCAACTTGTGGTAAAATGGGCATACGGTGGGTCCTTTAAAATAAATATTGTAATGGAACAAGAACAAGCCCATGGACAGATGAAGTGATTTATGTGATGCCAACCTTTGTAACAGTGGTGTTATTGAATATTATTTTAATATTCAAAATTATTATTAATAATGACTCAAAAGCAATGCATTCAGAAAATAAAATGTGTAGTATAACAAGTGCCAGCTTATGGACCTATGGAGTGACTTTGATGATGCTGGAATCCATAACTAAAGTTATTGAATATGAATTGCAATTAATTAAAAACTATTAAAAGTATTTAACTATAACACAAACAGATCTTGATTCCCTACACCTGAGGCATTTAAAAAACAAAACCCCTTAAACTTTCTAGCATAGACAAGGACTTCATCAAGAGATCTTACAATAATACGCTTTTATAAAAGCCACAGCAGTGTCAAACACATTCAACAGTCATCACTTTTTGGAAAAATACAAATAATGAAAGTACCATATGAAATCTGATTTATTAAAGAAAATGTAAACATATTCAATGACAAAACACATTTGAAGTAATTCAATTACTGTACAATACAATCAGAACCTGTAAATACTGAACCTGTTCTCAATTATCTGCAACTTAATAAACACAGTTTGTAAAAGAAAAAGTCTGGAACTCCATGTTTAGGGAACTGAACAGAGCACAATTTAAAAAGGGAGCAGGTGGTGGGAGGTGGAGCAGCAGGTTTTGCGAGGTCCACCTTGTTGCCTTGTTCAGTCTGATGAAAATGGTCCAATTTTTCCACCCTGAATTACAAATCGAATTTCGGATTTCTTGACAATATCTTTATGTTGAATGTGCTAAATAAGTACACTTGATGCAATGTGATTATATGATGTGAGTAATGGGCGGATTTAGAGTCAACTGAAAAAGTAATAAATACTGTAGTATACTACAAGTTCAGACAGTAGCGTGCTGTTAAAAATGTTTTCTTCTAAGGCGTAAATGTTTGCTGTATTTGGTATTACCTGTATTGGTATACTGTACATTACATTACAGGTCATTTAGCAGACGCTTTTATCCAAAGCGACTTACATTACACTCTAAACACATGGCTTTTTCACATTTTTGCCTGGGGAGCAATTAGGGGTTAGGTGTCTTGCTCAGGGACACTTCGACATGGAACATGGGGCAGCCTGGACTCAAACCACCAACCTTGTGCTTCCCAGCACACCTTCTCTAACCCCTGCGCCACAACAACCCCCTGTATTCAACTGTATTTACAAAGAACAGTGTATTACTGTCGCTAATTTATTGTATTTGTTACAGTGTAGTCAGGGCCATTCTTATACTCACATGGAGGAGTGAGTGGTTGCATTCCGTCCAATTGCTTTAAATATGCACTTGGAGTGGGCAGAAGACTAGAAAAGCACTGTTAGAAAAATTCTCACTGGACGCCGGCATAAAATGTTCAAAAGAGGACATTTAATGGTTCCAAACAGGTGATTTACACTTTAGTAAAGTGTAAATGATTGCAGTAAATCTCTGCAATGTATTTTTCTAAAATAATCAACAGATTCTCAAACACACAGGAAGTCTTCACTGATGTATTTCTTTAATGTTCCAGTTATGACCACCTCACCTTGTTGCTGATGAAGGTGATGGATGAGCATCCACATGATGCAGTGGATGTCATTGAGGATATAAGCCACGATGTAAAGCTGACGTTCTCTGAAGACAAGCAAAATCTCCTGCGAGACCTTCCAGAGACTACAGCTGCTGAGCTGTTAGCCGAGCAGCAGCGCCTGCTGTTTTCTCGGCCAGAAGAAGATGAACAGGAGGAGCAACTGGTACTGCCAACATGCTCCTACACTATGACATTGTCTTGATTTGAAAGGGTAAATAACAAATAGGCAATAGGGATTACCAGTGTTATTAGTAGTATTACATTACAAGTATTACATGTAGAGTGAAAGTATTTAAAAGCAGTCAAAATGCGTTTCCTCACGAGTGTGGCTGGCGCCCCGCTTAGAGATTGGGTGAAAAGCTCAGTCATCTGTAAGGAGCTCGAACTAGAGCCGCTGCTCCTTTGCGTGGTTAGGAGTTGAGGTGGTGTGGGAAACTGGTAAGAATGCCCCCTAGAAGCCTTCGTAGGGAGGTTTTTCAGGCAGGGCCAGCCTGGAAGAGGCCCCGGGGAAGACCCTAGGACGCCACACTGGCCTTGAACGCCTCTGGGATCCCCCAGTCAGAGCTGGTAGAGGTGGCCCAGGAAAGGGAAGTTTAGGGTACTTTTATATCTAAGAAACAGCACTTTTGTATTAATTTGAACCCAAACAACATTTGTTTCCGCAACCTAATAAGTTTCCTGTGAAAATGTATGTTTATTTTGACTGTATCAATGATCCTGACCGGCTAAAGGTTAGTTGCTGCAGCCCAATTACACTTCTTTCGGTGTCTCCCATTGATTGATTCAAAACTAGTCAATTTTCCTTTCCTGGTTTGGATATCATGAGCATCTCAAGTACATGAAAGAACCACTTGCATCCATGCAGTGATGCTCCAATTAGATCAAACCCTTGCAAAGGTTGTCACTTTGCACTTTGCATGGGGGACCTTTGCACTCTGAGCAGTTTGGTTCTGAGGCACTGCGGAGGCTGTAGTTTCCATTACATTACATGTCATTTAGCTGACGCTTTTATCCAAAGCGACTTACAATAAGTGCATTCAACCATAGGGTACAAACTCAGAAGAACAAGAAACAAGAAAGTGCAATTTCCTCAAATAAGCCAATTTACAATTTGCTATAGATGAGTGGCGTTACAAGTACAATGTAAGTGCTACAGTTAGTGTTTTAGTGGAGGTAGAGTGTGAAGAGGTGTGTCTTTAGTTTGCTGCAGAAGATGTGAAGGCTCTCTGCGGTCCTGGTGTCTTCAGAGAGCTCGTTCCACCATTTCGGACTCATAGTTCAGCTTACCTGTGGCTTTCTAATTGTGTTTTTCTATTTGCCTGAGAAAGGTGTTCCTCCCCCCTCTCTCTTCTGTTCACAGAAAGCTGATGTTTTTCCAGTCTTTGCTGTTTCACTGATTCCTGCAACTGTCGCCCATAAATGGATGAGCAACCATTATAATGTTTGCCTGCTAGACTTAAATATATATTTGAAAAATAGTTTTGGGATATTACACATATGGAAACCACAGCTGATTTTTAACAATTCAAATATTCATTGGTTTTCATCAGATGGAAACACTTCACCCTAATGTGAGAGAGGTCGGCTTCTACTTGGAGCAGGCTGGGGTAGGCCTGGGCAGAGAGGAGATGCAGAGGATTTTCCTCGCACTGAAACAGCTTGTTGAGTCACAGGCACTGCTGGGCTGCCGACTGTGGGGAAAAATTCTTGGAACAGAGAGCAGCTATATTGTTGCTGAAGCCCAGTACATAGAGGGGGAAGAAGAGAAGAACTCTGAAGAAGTAGCTGAGGAAGAAGAGGAGAGAGAAGCAGAGAATGAGGTGAGGAGGTGGAAGTACTAAATCTATGTGGAGGGATTAGCTGGCTCATTACATACCTGCAAAATTGACGCGTTTTGGTGGAATTTGTTTTTTTTTAGATCAAAATATATCATTCACGTGAATAGTGTAGATCTGAACAGTGTTTTTTAGGAGGGAGGGGGGCAACTGGTTGGCCAGTATTTCTGCAATTGGAGTGAGACAAGGAGAAAAGGTGATGTCCCTAACATGTGACGTGTCAAGTCTTGACCAATTAGCGCTGAGATATCTACAGTGTCAGCGTCATCAACTTTTCATCCTTTCACTCCCAATCAAAGTTACCGCCGATACTGGATTATTATTATTACTGTACGTGCTTGGGCGCAATCCATGATTTTAATTAAACCAGTTTAGACTTTTGGACAGAACAATTAAAAGGCGGTAGTTATAAAAGCTTGAGGGCTCATCAGACGTGGATTTAGTGTGGTGGCCAAACATGGTTTAACTCAATGTGAAGTTGAGTTAAGAAAATCAATCTGCACCAAGCATAATTTGTATGATAGATTATTCTAATTTGGCTCACTTTTTAGATTACACTCCATTTCACACCACAAAGAAACATATCAACATATCATATTTTTCAAGTGAAGAAGGGAAATTAACATTGTTTATTTTCCTGGTCTTGTGGTGGCTTTGCTTTCAGATGGATCCCCTTCCTCGTTCAACCTATAAACCCCTACCGGCAGTGCCAAAGGAAGCCCTTGGAACAGGCGCAAACACGTTTGTGTATTATGTGTGCAAAGAGCCTGGTCATTCTTGGGTAAAGCTCCCTTCAGTCAGTCCAGCACAAATTACTGTTGCTCGCCTGATCTATAAATTCTTCACCGGGAGGCTTGACAGCCCCGTTGTCAGCTACCCGCCTTTCCCCGGGAATGAAGCCAACTACCTGAGAGCACAGATTGCTCGGATCTCTGCTGGCACACAGGTCAGCCCCAGGGGCTTCTTTCGGGCTCGAGAGGAGGAAGGTGATGAGGACGAGGTAGTGCAGGACAGCATTGAAGTGAATCCTGACTTTGAGGGCATTCCCGTTTCTGAGATGGCGTCTTTCTCCAACTGGGTGCATCATGTTCAGCACATTCTCCAGCAGGTACAAGTCTGATCCAAGCCGGTGCGTCGACCACTTTCTCAACTGATATGCCTATTTTATCAGTGAATATGAACTTGTTTAGGGCCGCTGTACTTGGGTAAACCTGGCTGCGAAAAGTGGAGAAGACTCTAATGAGGAAGGAGAGGCTGAAGAGAAGGAAGAGCCTGATGAACCTGAGCCAGAAGTTGGACCCCGTCTGTTAGATTCCCTCTCCAAAGATTCAGGTCAGTGGTTAAATTTGGACAATTTTATCTCAAACCAGTTATTTGTTATGAATTCATTACAGCATGATTTGGTGGAGGCAAATCTCTTTAATATTTGTGTCCATCAGAAATGTTCAACATTCCTCCCTGGACCTTCAAGGTGTCCTCCACACTCACCTTCCAGCATGCAGTAGCTGTTCAACGTTCTAACCTTTGGCCAGGAGCATATGCATACGCTTGTGGAAAGTAAGAGGAAAAAAATCGGAATAATATGACTTTTGACGTTTGATTCCTCCTATTATCCTAATCACATAACAACTATTTGCTGTCTCTTAATTTAGGAAGTTTGAGAACATATATGTGGGATGGGGTCTGAAGTATGCGGGGGAAGGTTACAGCCCACCGGTACCCCCGCTACCACAGACACAATATCCACAAATGACAGAGGCCCTAGACCCATCACTGGAGGAGGAGCAGGTGCTTGAAGAAGCTTTGGAAGAGCAGCGCGCTGTCCAGAAGCAGATGGAAGACTTAGACGATGAGGATGAGGAGGATGATGATGATTAAGAAAACAGTCAACAGTAATTTGTTATACATGTGTTTTTGTACTGTTTGATATTCATAAAAAGCAGTACATGGACCCTGGGGGAGAATGATGGAGTTAAGTTATAACTAAGAGCAGTTTGTCCTCATGCCTTATGTGTATTTAGAAACACCTACGTCATGTAGCTTAAGCCATTTAAACTTTATACTTGATATTATACATTCGATGTGTACCCATAGTTTGGAAATGTGCTGTTAGAATGATGGAAGTGGAGGTAACGAACCGTTCTGGCTCACTACTGCTCTTTGTGTTGGTGAGGAGCAACCCATATGTAAGCAGACTGGTTCTGCAGGTCATGGGCCACCTCCAAATTCTGCCAAAGAGAAGAGCCCTCATTCCCTGAACCCAGCCTTCTTCCTGTGGCCTAACGACTTCTAGAACTGCCTGGAATGCTTTAAACATAATGGTAAATTAACAAATATACACTCAATCTTTGTGATACAAACTTCTCCTGATGAACAGCCATTTGCAGAAAACACAGCGGAGCTTTGCTCTAGGCCTCACATCGTTCTCAACCTTCTCATTTATGTATACAAATTAAAATTAAGATTTAAAAAATGAGGAAATCAGATTGGAGAAATTGTATTTTTACTCCACCAAACCATGCAGGTTTCCTGTGATGTGTGTAGTGTGCCACCTAAACATTGAATTACTTCCCAGATGCTGCCATTAGTAGACTCTTTGGCCACAATATTTCCATTTCACACATTCCCTAAAATCCCTACGGCAGCAAAAACGATTGAAACATTTTATTAAAGTTTACATTTAATAACTGAAATAAAACAACACAAAACATAAAAACACAAACATACAAGGATGGCAAACTTAATGTAGTTATAGGTAAAAATTGTATATTTGAATTGAAAGACTTGAAAAATTCTCCATGATCACTGGAATCCAGCACTCAGAAAGGTGTAACATCTATCTTAAGTAGAAGATAGATCTGTAAACCAACAGTGCACAAATTAAAACAGGAATAGAAGTGAATTTAACACAGCAGGTCAGTCACAGATTAGTACATTAGGAATATCCAACTGGATTGGAATAGATACTCTGATGTCATGACTTCTTCACGCAGAGAAATAAGCAGAAGCTACAGAGGGCTTGGTTTGCTGACCGAACTCTATAAAGAAAAGAATGCACGTGTCATCAAAGGACATATGGGGTCATGGGGTCGCCATGCTAACGTCCAAAATGTGTTGCTGTAAAGCAGTTATTGTGAAGCTCTAAATGAGGAGCACTTTACCTTTGTGATACACACTAGATGACAGGCCGTAGACGGGGATGCTATCATCTCTCTTCTCAAAGTACTTAGAGTCCAGACCTGCAGGGTCTCCGCTGAGGACGACAACAACACAATGCAGGTGACTCAAACATGGCTGACATTATGAACCAGGGAATAAGAAAACAGTCTACTTCTGTATGTATTGTAAAGGATAAACGAAGAATACACAAACATGTGTCTGATGGTTTGCAGCACTGATCTCTGATCCGCAGGAGATGGGGCACGTTTCCCTGTCTGAGAGAAAAGTGCATCATTCATTCAGTTGCTGGTTTTGGAGCAATGTGCTCATTTGAAGTACAGAGTACCTTCAGTACTGCTGCTGTGGATGGAAGGGAAGGTCTGTCCACACGTTCAGGAGACGTCCTGGAGAGCTGCTTCTCATTGAGCTGCTTGTTGAGCCAATTTATAACTGGAGTAAAAGAACAAAAAAAAAGTGACAAGGCGTTTTTATCTTTTAAAAAAAAGGTATTGCAATGCCTACAATAGTTTGTAAAGAAGAATCACAGGATTACTTATCTTCCCTTTGCAGTCAATATTTACCACAATCTCATTGTTGGATCCCCGTTGCCATTAATGTTTCTTAATAATCGTATTGAAATCAAGTTGTATCAATGCCAGTAACTTAGTTTTCAAACCAGATCCTAACAACAAATAGCTGGAAGCCAAGTAGTCCAGTATGTAAGCACTGCCATATGTCATTATTCATCGTTTAAGTGTCTTGCCAAGGACAACAGGCAGCCCAGTAGAGCCAGCTCCTCGGATTGAAGGACAATACTCTCCGCTCACGCACAGAGGGTGGACTTTTCAGTCGGAGACATCTTGCGATAAACAGTCAACAAAAATATTTGTGTAATTGCTGGATTTTGAATAAGGGAGAATATGTTAAAAACACAGGGTTTTATACCACGTTTCTTCCACATGTCTGATCTTATCGGATGGCTCAGCCAAAGTACAACGCTTTAAAACTTTATTTTTGTTGTCACATCCACGAACTGTGAGCTTCCTCACCATTCTCATTCGTCTTCAACACCTCTCTGCTTTCGTTTAGCTTCTGCACCGTTGTCTCCAACTGCTCCTTTAGTTTTAAAACCTTTAAAAGAAAATTCCAGTTGATATCAAAATGCATCTTCCATGTTAATAGAACACCTGGCCTGCAAACGGATGTTCCTTCAGTAAAGTTGGTTTGATGTGAAGGACAAGGCATGTGTACAGATGAACACCACTTCAACAAATGAATGCAAAGACAGGGGGCATCATTATGAAACAAATATACAACCCTTTTGCTTTCAGATGAAGTGACGAGTGACTTACAAGGACACACATTAAAGACAACATAATGTCAATCGGGAAGAACTTTACAATATAAAGTATTGATGAAGTTCGCTGGTGATTACTGAAGTTGTGACCAATACGACTGATAAAATGAATTTTACAAAAGTCTTTTTTTCAGACCAACATGTACATTTTTCTAATAATCCTGGTAAGAAACCTAATTGAAAAGGATCAGCGTTGTAACTCCTGGTTGCTTTTTGGCCTCTGCGCTGAAAACGGCCCCATGGTAAAAAGTGCAATAACTGTTGTTACTACTTTGTCCATCTAGATGTTTTTTCTGTGGCGATAAAGGGGAACTGGCTCAGTTTTGCACCAGACGTGGTGATGCCCTGGTTGAAAGATGAAGAAAGCTACATGAGAAACGCAGACATACCTGCTCGTCTGTGGTGACCAGACGCTGCTGGGTGCTCTGTAAATCCTTCTCAACACTCTCAAGTTTTCCTGATGTGTCTTGCAGGAGCTTCTCTTGTGACACAGTTACAGAGTTTTTCACTTTTATTTTTCCAACGAGACCTCGAACCTCTCCCTGCAGCTTCTTGATGATACCGTTAGCCTGGTTTCAGAAGGAATGGAAGGTAGTAAGTAGGACACCAGGAAGGGTTGGAAAGACACATGAGGTACAGTTTGTATGCACAGTGACACGGATGAGGATGTGTTCATTAGTGGGGTTAACCCATAGCAAACCTTGATCAGCTCCTCAGACAGTGATCTAACTGTTGCCTCAAGTTTTTTAATCTGAAGTTCTTTACTCTCAGCATTTTCTTCCATTGAATCCTAAAAAAAGAAAAACATAGAAGTTAGATAGATAAAAACAGAATTAGACACGATCATTTTAACTGTATGTGGACAGAGAATCCACACACATTGATGGAATGAAGGAAAATAGAAACAACGAATAAAGCCTAAAACAACATACCTTCTAAAATATGTTTTGCAGCATATTATTGGGTTATAGTTATTAATGCATTAATGAGTTACTGCTGCAGCTGGTCAATATATATAATATATTTCATATAATACTTTACATAGGCCTGTATGATATACAGGAAAGTACAATGTGTCGTAATAATGTTCATGGTTTCGGAACATTGAAGGGAGCTTAAAGTCACTCGAGCATTCAATAAGGAGGCGACTCAAGGAAGAGAGCTGAATGTTGCAATGAAAGTAAAATGAAAAATATATCTATCGTAACCTCTCCTCTCTCAACTATCCCACTCGCTCCACACGTCTAGCACCTCGTCACAGGAGGCCTCGGGAACTGCCAGTCAGCTACTCGCAAGGCAGACCTCATCTCCGGCTTTGCTATCCAGCAGTCGCTTGACTTCCTCACTCTCACTGAGACCTGGATCACCCCAGAGAACACATCCACTCCCAGCAGCGCCCTCCTCCGCCTTCTCCTTCAGCCACACACTAGGGCTGTCAAAATTGCTCAAAAAGGACGTTCGAATATTTGCTTTAAAAAAAGACAGATAGTCGAATATCAGATATTCAAATATATTCGAATATCTTGTTGCGCATTAGGCGCGTCAATAACAGGACAAATATATACAACGAGACATAACTACTTGTAAACACGTAATTTATTTACTTTTACACTTATTCAAAAACATATTACATGCACAAAAATACGTAAATTAACTGGCCACAACCGCAGATCTCTCGCTCGCTCGCACACACGCACTTGCTCTCTCTCGCACCGTCGCACTCTCTGCGCAAAGCGGTATAAATGAACGACATATTGACACATTGAATATAGAATATTCGTTGACAGCCCTAGCACACAACCAGGCCCACTGGTAGGGGTGATGGCACAGGTCTACTCATTTCACTCAAATAGATTTTTTCTCTTTACCCTCTTCCACCATCCAGCCCACTGTCTTTAATTCCATGCTGTAACAGTTACTCACCCGGTACAATTAACTATGATTGTCCTTTACCGTCCACCAGGCTCCTTGGGTCATTTCTTGGAAGAACTGGACATTCTCCTGTCTAATTTCCCTGAAAATGTCCCTCCACTCATCCTCCTGTGTGACTTCAACATCCAGACAGAGAAGTCATCTGACCTCTTACACCTACTTTCTTCCTTCGCTCTGTCACTCAGTCCCTCTCCTCCTACTCACAAAGCCGGCAATCACCTTGACTACATCTTCACTAGAAACTGCTCTACCAAGAACCTCTCTGTAACTCCACTTCATGTGTCTGACCACTTCTTCATCTCTTACTCTCTCCCACTCTCTATAACTAACGACCCCCCCATTGACTGACTCTGTACATGTTTGTCGCAACATTCGCTCCCTCTCTCCCTCCTCCCTGGCATCCTCTGTTCTATCAGCTCTCCCTTCAACTTTCTCCGCCCAACTCTTTCCTCCTCTCTCGATTCTCTCTGTCCTCTTACAACATGATGGGCCTGCAAATCCACTCCGGCTCCGTGGCAGTGCGTGCAGTGAGAGCCACCATGAGAGCATCGGAAATAGCGTAAATATGAACAACCTGACGACCTGCTTACGTTTCAATCTCTTCTCTCCGCCTTTTCTGCTTCTATCTCTGCTGCCAAAAGCTCTTTCTACCAATCCAGAATCAAATCTTCATTTTCTAACCCCAAAAAACTCTTTTCGATCTTCTCCAACCTCCTCGAACCCCCTAGTCCTCCTCCACCCTTCTTCCGGGTGACTTTGTCAACTATTTTACCAAGAAAATAGCTGACATACGCTCGTCTTTCTCAAACCCACCTCCTACTACTTGTGTCCCACTGACTTCACCTCTATCACCCTCACTTTCCTCTTTCACCCCCCTGTCTAACCAAATTCTTACCCTAGTAACCTCTGCCCGTCCGACCACCTGCCCTCTTGACCCCATTCCATCACATCTTCTACAATCTATCGCTCCTGACCTCCTTCTTTCCTCACCTGTCTCATCAATAATGCTCTGTTATCCGGCTGTTTTCCCAATTCTCTGAAGGAGGCAAGAGTTAACCCTCTCCTGAAGAAACCTACCCTCAACCCTTCTGAAGAAAACAACTACAGACCGGTCGCTCTTCTTCCCTTTTTGTCCAAAACCCTTTGTGCGATCTTTCTTTCTTTGTGCAGGCTTCAAGACAGGCCATTCCATAGAGACTGCTCTCCTTGCTGTCTCAGAGAAACTCCACACTGCTAGAGCCGCCTCTCTCTCCTCATCCTTCTGGACTTCTCCGCTGCATTTGACACAGTCAACCACCAGATCCTTATTTCCTCTTGGTGTCACAAGCTCTGCTCTCTCCCTTGTCATACCTTGACGGCCGCACCTACCGGGTAACCTGGAGAGGATCTGTGTCGGAACCTTGTTCTCTTACTACTGGAGTTCCTCAGGGTTCCGTCCTCGGTCCCCTCCTCTTCTAGCTCTACACTAACTCTCTCGGCTCTGTCCTGTAGATACACACTCTACAACATCAGGAGAATACGTCTTCTCACTCAGAAGGCAGCACAGGTACTGATTCAGGCTCTTGTCATCTCCCGTCTGGACTACTGTAACTCTCTCCTGCAGGTCTTCCTGCTACCGCCATTCAACCTCTGCAGCTCATCCAGAATGCAGCAGCTCCACTGGTCTTTAACCTTCCTAAGTTCTCCCACACTACTCCACTCCTCCGCTCTGTTCACTGGCTACCGGTGGCTCATCCAGTTCTAAACATTGGTGCTCACCTACCATGCTGTGAACGGATCGGGTCCAGCTTACATCCAGGACATGGTCAAACCCGACATCCCGACCCGCACTCTCCGCTCTGCATCTGATAAACTGCTTGTTCCTCCTCACTGAGAGCAAAACACTTCTACAAGACTCTTGCTGTCCTGCTCCTAAATGGTGGAACGAGCTCTCTGATGACATCCGGACCACAGAGAGCCTTCACATCTTCCGCCGCAAACAAAAGACACACCTCTTAAGACTCTACCTTGACTAAAAGACTAACAAATTGTAGCACTTAAATTTGTACTTTTAATGGCACCTATCTATAGAAAGTTGTAAATTGGCTTATTTGATGAAATCGCACTTTCTTGTTTCTTGTTCTTCTCAGTTTGTATCCTTATGGTTGAATGCACTTATTGTAAATCGCTTTGGATAAAAGCGTCAGCTAAATAACATGTAATGTATCATCGTGAAAAACTGAGCTGTTTGATCTACTCTAGTGGTGAAGGTGCTTTATTTGAAAATGATCACATTGGAACAACAGAGTAATCATGTGTTTAGGATGAGATAATCTGGGTGACGTGTGTGTGCGTTTGTTTGTTCCGTTTATCTGGACAGATCTGATACCTGCCTGCCCTCTCCAGGGGTTGCCTCTAGACAATAGCTTCATAATTCTAGTTTCATACGATGTACCCAGTCACAAACATGTAGGATATCAGGGCGTAGGTGACTGCTGAAGCCACGTCTTCACAGAGAGCCGGCTACATGGTTCATCAGCAGGGCAGAGTACTGTGGTGGACCGGAGGAGGGAGACTTGTGTGCATCAATACCTGCTGCTCCAATACAGTCAAAGGCCATTTTTCCTTTCATGTTAAGGTGTGCTAGATTATCTACCCAGACGTTGATGTCAATTTAAAACATTGTATCTTCTATGAATGCAGATACAATGTCTGTAGCCAGACTGACAGAGAGTCACAGCTCTGTCGAGCCGTGTATTCCTTTGGACCTCACTAGTAACGACTTCATGAACTTCTTCAATGATAAGATTCTGACTATCAAAGAGAAAATTGATGGTCTCCTGCCTTCAACCAGTGCCGACCTGTCCTCCGATGTAGGAACCTTGGATGCAGCAGTGGGCCCTGATGCCTGTTTGGATGCCTTCTCTTCCATCAACCTTGATCAACTGACTTCTTTATTTTCAAAGTCTAAATCTTCTAATTGTCTCTTGGATCCGATTCCGACCAAGCTGCTTAAGGAAGTTTTTCCTTTAGTTCGCACATCCTTATTAGATATTATGAATCTGTCTTTGTTGACAGGACATGTACCACAGTCCTTCAAGGTAGCTGTAATTAAACCTCTTCTTAAGAAACCTACTCTTGCTCCAGAGGTGTTGGCTAACTACAGACCTATCTCTAATCTTCCCTTCCTCTCTAAGATCCTTGAGAAATCCGTCGCAAATCAATTATGTGACTTTCTACAAAACAATGCTTTGTTCGAGGATTTCCAGTCAGGATTTCGAGTGCATCACAGTACAGAAACCGCACTGGTGAAAATTACGAATGATCTTCTACTTGCATCGGACCAAGGACTCATCTCTTTTCTTGTCTTGCTGGACCTCAGTGCCGCATTTGATACCATAGACCATTGTATCCTGTTGCAGAGACTAGAACATTTAATTGGTATCAAAGGAATTGCACTCAGCTGGTTTAAATCCTACTTATCGGATCGATCCCAGTTTGTGCTTGTAAACGGTGAATCCTCAAAGACCACCAATGTTGGTCACGGAGTCCCACAAGGTTCTGTACTTGGACCAATTTTATTTACCCTCTATGGGCTTCCTTTGGGCGATCTTTTCAGGAAACACCGCATAAACTTCCATTGTTATGCAGACGATACTCAACTGCATCTGTCGATCAAGCCAGAAGAGACGGACCAGCTAGTTAGACTTCAAGAATGTCTTGGAGACATCAAAACTTGACCGGCAACTTCCTGATGCTAAACTCAGAAAAAGCGGTTATCCTGATAGGCCCAGAGCGCCTTCGAAGCCAGCTGTCACGTGATACAGTTTTTATGGATGGAATTGCTCTGGTACCCAGCAGCACCGTCAGGAATCTGGGAGTTCTCTTCGACCAGGATATGACCTTCAACTCGCATATAAAGAAGACTTCAAGGACCGCCTATTTTCATCTACGTAACATATAAAAAATCAGGAACTTCCTGTCTCAAAGTGATGCAGAAAAATTAGTTCATGCGTTTGTGTCACTTCCAGACTGGACTACTGTAATTCTTTGTTATCAGGCTGCTCTTGTAAATCTCTTAAGCCTCTCCAGTTGATTCAGAATGCTGCAGCACGTGTATTAACAAGAACTAAGAAAAGGGATCATATCACTCCTGTATTAACTTCTCTGCACTGGCTCCCTGTTAAATCAAGAATAGATTTTAAGGTACTTCTTCTCACCTACAAGGCACTTGCTGGTGAGGCACCATCGTATTTTAAAGAGCTTGTAACACCTTATTGCCCTACAAGGCAGCTGCGCTCCATAGATGCTGGGTTACTTGTTGTTCCTATGGTTTTAAAAAGTAGGATGGCGGCCAGAGCCTTCAGTTATCAAGATCCTCTTTTGTGAGCTTGTGTCAGCTTCCACTTTCAGTCCGGGGGGCAGATTCGGTCAGCTCTTTTAAAGTAAAACTTAAAACTTTCGTCTTTGATTTTGCCTATAGTTAGGGCTAGCTCAGGTTAGCCCGGACCAGCCCTTAGTTAAGCTGCTATAGGCTTAGACTGCCGGGGGACTTCTTAGGACACACCGAGCTCCTCTCTCACGCTCTCGTTCTACCATGATTCACGTTTTATTAATGCACATGACTAATTCAGCTTCTTTCCGGGAGTTTTTTTTGTGCTTTCTCCCCTAGCAGGTCTCCGTAGATCGTAGTTCCTTGTGGACCCTGGTCCTGACACCTGCCGTGGCCCTGCTGACGCCTGCTGCTGCCATCGTCATCATCATCATTATTATTTTAGATATCAATCATATTACTGTACTCGTAAACCAACATTACCCTCTCCTAAAGTCTCTGTGCTCTCCCTCCCCACAGGCTTCTGTAGATGGTGGTTCTATCTGATGGTGGTTGCCCCTGCAGTGGTCCTGGCTTACTACTCACAATTACTTGAATCATTTCTGTCATAGGAATTGCATGTATTATACATTGTTCATTCTGTACACATGGCATCCATTGTAGTCTGTCCATTCCGGGAGTGGGATCCCTCCTCTGACGTTCTCCCCAAGGTTTCATCCCTTTTTTCCCTCTTGGAAGGGTTTTTTCATTTTTTGGGGAGTTTTTCCTGTGCCGATATGTGGGTTTCGGGACAGAGGATGTTGTACGTGTACAGACTGTAAAGCCCTCTGAGGCTAATTTGTAATTTTCGATTTTGGGCTATACAAAATAAAATGAATTTAATTAAATTGAATGCAGCCTAAACCTAAACGTGGGATTAAACCAGGATCCGCCCCACGCTGTCTGCCAGGACTTGTGATGGAGAGATTCGGGACAGCTGGCCACTTCCATCATACCTGCCCCATGCTGGGGAAGTTTGGGCTAACATTTCCTTTGCAGATAAATTAAATTACTAAAGCTCTTGTATGCGTTATTTAACATTAGCTCAGATAAATGGCAGTATGTTTTCCTGCCACATTTATATATTAGAATTCTCATAATAATTCCCATTAATAAAGTATCCATTTTGTTAATAGATTTTTACAAATTGCTACGTTGTAGACCAGGAGCATGATAGCTCCTAAAAGTGACGTAGATGAGGTTGATATTAGTCTGAGGGTTACTTTTAGCTGCTCGTTTGTCTTTTCCAGTGATGCTCATACCTTCTGCTGCTGAGTAGCTTCCAGCACCTCCTTTGAGCGATGCATGAGCTGATCCTTATCTTTGATCTCCTGTTCCAGAACAGCCACTCTCATCTGGAGCTGGCTCACCGAGCGTTCCTTGTCATGGACGTCTGTGTCCAGAGAGCTGTTCTCCCTCCTGAGAGACAGGATCTGCTGCTTGGAACGCTGGCACTCCTACACACAACAGCAGGAAATATATTCTTCTTATAATCTGGGTTATCTACAGAGGTGCACCAAATAACACTACAACATGAAACAATGTTTTTAGCGTACCTCCTCTGCACCCGCTAGTTTGATCTTTAGGTCTCTGATGACGGACTCGTTCTTGTATTTCCGCTCCGTCAGTTCTCTGCTGGAGGTCTCCAGCTCGGCCAATCTGCTGTGGAGCTGCTGGCTGCTCTCTCTGTGAGAACTCTCCAGCTCCTGACGGAGCAACTCAGTCTGCTGCTGAAGTCTGCTCTGTAACTAAACACACATTATAAATGTGAATGTTTATAATACAACTGCTATCGCTGTTTCACAACTATTAAATCACAATACTTCTAATAGTATGTGCTCATGGTCACATTGGTTAATCCAACAGCCCATTGTTCTAAACACATAAATGAGTGTGGTGCCAGAAAACATTAAATACACCATATTTGGCAGAGCTATAGAACTTTGAGAAAGACCAACGCATCCCAGCTAAAAAGACGTGGGTTCTTCTAATAGGTCAGTGTCCTCTAATGATGCTTGTCATTGTCTAATCCAGTGGTACGCAAACTTTTCCTGTCAGGGCTCCCAATCTCACACCTTCCCCGAACAAAAAAGAAAAAATTATGTTGTTCCTGCTTTGTTTTTAATTCATTGCATCATAATATACAAACTCTGCAAAATAAAATGTGTTTATTTTTATATATATATATATATTATATATATATATATATATATAAATAAAATAAGCACATATCACTTTACTTTTCCACTTAACAGTTTTATTACATTTTGTAAACATCCTTTCAATTAAAATTATTTCAGATATTAAAATAGAAGCTAGAAACAGTATATATCCACATTTAACATTTCTTTCTGTGTTTCTTACCTCTGCAGCCTTCTCCCTCTCTGATTGTAACTCATGACAATGACGGCTGGAAAGCGAGCTGGTCTGACTTGTCCACTCTGAACGCAGTTTGTCCAACTCCTTTGTCTTCTCGGACAGCGTCTGTGAGAAATACACGGATTATGAAAGAAAAAGTTTATTTTTCAACCCAATACTGGTGGGCCGCGAAGGTATTGGAGGTGCGCCGCGAGAGGTCATTTACAATAAATGAATAAAATATATTTAATGTTTTAATTTTGAAAAGTTTGAAATTAATATAAAAATATGTCAGTAGGTCAAGTAAATAAAGTAAAAAACATACATTGTCGGTTAATACATTTTTAATCGGTTAAATTCTTAAGGTCATTTAATCATCCCTAGTTTATGTTTTGATCAGAGTTGTGATTAAAGGTTTGGGTGGGCCGCAACAGATTTTCAGATTTCAAATTGGGCCGCGGCATTCTTGAGTTTGGGAACCGCTGCATTAGATTCTTTATTGCGTATAATTTAACCAGTTAATTCGAAAATATGAGATATTATTCAATGGAACCTTTTGGATTTGACAGTCAGTTATTGACTCCATTCATCCATCAATAGATCTTTTAGCAACTTCCATTTATAGGAGACTAATTCATAGCGTATTGGACATTATTGTGGTGTTCCTGACCTTTGCAGGAGGAAATACTCTCCAACTGGACCTCGCTAGATTATAATGGATTACCTCTGTTGTACAATATATTTATTCTAGCGTCCGGAAGAATAACCGGAAGGTACATTAACTACATTAGAATAATGTGTTGCATTAATCTCGGCCACATTAATTGCATAGATGTGTTAGCATTTATGTTAGCCATAGGGGGTGTTAATTTCTAAAGCCTTGCATTAAGACATACATCACTTTATTTAAGACGCTGCACTACTTGGCTGTGTTGTGCCAGTGAATAAAGTTTGAAAAAAACATTTATAGCAAACCAATGGTCATGAGGATACTCATTTAACGTTACATGAAATTTGCACGAGGAGGAGGGTCCATGTCGCTAAATACCCAACTAAGATCGCTTTGTGCCGTTCTGACAAAGGAATCTGCCACCGGCCACCGACCACACAAACTGCAGTTCTGAAAAAGGAACCTTCTACCCACCACTTTTTGCACCCGGCGTCACTCTGATTTGTGTTATCTGCAGGTGCATTGCGGAGAAAACCAATAGGGTGTCTGGATGGTATATGTTTAAACTTCTCATCCAACCACAATCAAATTCACTCTATCCTGATGGAGCGATTTATCTGGATAGGTTTTCTTTTGTGTGTGTTTTTGGATGACGATAAGCTGGAATGAAAACAAGCCAAAACGAAATAGGAGTAACGAGGCTAATTCTAAAATGTAAGGAGTAGAAAGCACAGTTATTTGCATGAAAATGTAACGAGTAGAAGTAAAAAGTTGTCTAAAAAATAAATACTCCAGTAAAGTATAGATACCTAAAATTTCTACTTAAGTAAGGTAGTAACAAAGTACAAACACAGTGTTTGTACTTTGTTACTCGACACCACTGGTCGCCAGTAGGTGGCACTATGACTTTGATTAAACATTCCACTTTACATGTCTTCAGGCCCGGAGTCTCAAACATGTGTAAATTGGAAAGGATCGGATTATGTGGAGGAGAGTTACAACATTAACTTTATTTGTTCTTGGCGAAGGATCAACTTTGCAGATGCTCCCACTCGCTGCGGTTGATCCAATTCTTACAATATTCACAGTGAAGCATTATCAAGGTCTTGGTCTCTGCGAACAACTTTTGAGAAGGATCAGACTAACCTGCAGGGTGTAAAGTGAAAAACATTCAACTTCCCGTTTCCACCAGGTGGCACTATGACTAAGGTTAAAAATGATCACATGGCTGTCTAGAGGGTAATATGGAAGCCCATTTCCACCAAAAAAGGAGGGTTAGAAAGACAAAATGATGACTTGGTTGGTGACTACGGTCACACAAGTGTCTTTTGTGTTTAACAACGTCTCGCTGACCAGCTATTAAACCAGGAAGTCTGAATCTGTGGCTAACTTTAACAAACAAACAGCACAGCAAACTGCAGCTTGCAGTCACGGCACGTCAGGCGTGGTGTCTCTAAAAAAAACGAGATAAGGTCGCTGGTCTCTTTTGACAAGAAGTCGCCAAGAGGGTTTGGAAAGTCAATGTACCAAACAACGAAGGAGCCTGCGCATATCTTCATTTTTTCGACTTTCTAACCCTTCTTTTGTTTTGTGGCCGGAAATGGGCTTCCATAGGGTAAGGAGGTCATGCTATATGAGAAATATGGAGCAGATTAGATAAATGCTCTGCACGCGTATAGTTTAATCTTTTTTCTGACAAAATGCAATTTTTTAAAAATTAAAAAATGGCCAAATTTGAAAAGAATCAAGTTTAATCTCTGGGAGGAGTTTGGTCTTTTAAAAATGTTTTTTCTTTAGACAAACAATATTAAACAATAAGATATCAACCATTCTCAAAAAACGTCAGTGAGCCTTATAATCCGGAGCGCCTCATATTTCAGGCATGAAAACGGGTCAAGGGTGAAAAAGGTGAGAAGGATATTATCCCTCTAGGGCAGGGGTTTTCAAATGGTTTTGTCCCAGAGATTTCTTCGAGTCATTCGTTGACGGGGGAGGGGGGTAGCGGTAGCTAAATCATTTTCCACTGGAGCTTTAGCTAGCTGGCCAACGTGGCGTTCTCTCCTGCTGTGTTAAATGACTAAATTCATCAAGCTGTAGCTAACGTTAGCTAAGTCTATGTCAACAAAGCTCCTGGGTAACTTAACTTAGATATACCAGAAAATATTAAAACCATCACTCAACCTGTTCGCAATTCACTGAATCTCGCGCTCCCTTCTGACACGCGCACCTGTTCGCAGTTCACTGAATATGAATACCCCCCCCCCAAAGAACTCATCGAATATACACGATTCACGTAGGTCACCTATTCTGGTTTCAAAACGGCGAATTTCACCGAAAGGTGAGGGATTTTCATGCCTGATATATGGATCAATTGGTTAATTGGTTGATCCATACTGGTTGTACACAGCGCTCAAGGCGCTCTGCCAAACATGCCAAAGCTCGGTCTCCGACGGCGAGATGCTGAGCGGGCGCTCAAGCGCGTGACATATGGAGCTTGTTTCAGGGCGCGTCGGAAACAGAGCTGTCGTTCTTGCCGAGCATTTAATGAGATTAAAGAGCGAGAGACGGCGTCCTTTTCTCTACAGTAGCTGAACCATCTTAACAGGGGAAAATAAGTTATTCTAAAAGGGGCCCTTGGCAGGCAGCGTCGCTGGAGAGCAGCCGAAGATTTAAGGCGTGGATGGCGAGCAGACGCACCTCGCAGCATCGATCGGACCCTGAAAGCAGTCTCCACCTCCCCCCGCCCCGACGTCAAACGTTTGCAGTATCTTATGCGCCTTATAATCCGGTGCGCCCTATATATGAAAAATGTTCTAAAATATGTCATTCATTGAAGGTGCGCCTTATTGTGCGGAAAATACGGTAAGCATAAATGACTTTTTCCAATTGAATTCCATTTTAACAAAACAAACGGTTTTAATATTATGTAAAAGTTTCATTAGTGTTTCTAGGAGTAAAATAAATAAATGAGTAGATCAAAGCAAACCTGTTGGGCATAACTCAGCTGCCTGGACAGATCCTCGTCGGTCTTCTGAAGCTTTACCTCCAGGGCCTGTTTCTCTGCCTGAAACATTTAGAAAAAGGACAAAAGGGCTTGAGTTACATGACAAATATTATGGGTACTTTAATTAGATGATTTCACTGAAACAATTACTATTTTGTAAAAATAAGTAACCCTAAGCAAACCTCCACAAAACAAAGTGTTTCCATGAATGAGCCAACCTTGAGAGAGCAGAGACACACTGCCAGATAGTCTTTAATGTCTTTATCAGAGCCGTGAACAAGCCTCAAAGACAAGTGGTTGAGGTGTTTGAATGCATTGGTCTCTACAACACTGAGGTTAGCAGGGCCTTCAACCACCAGAGACTGACTGGACAAGTGCAGGAGAAACCTGTGGAAAAAGAAGACAGTCATGTAGAGTTTATGGTTGTTTCACTGGACACCTCCAATATTTTGTCCAGCCCCACTGATAAAACGTCAAAACAACCACATGAATGATAAATTGTCTAGGATTATGCAACAAAAGTCAATCAAGGCTTTTTGATGTAAGAGAAAATGAATTGCAGGAAAGTATTAGGACATACAAATCCTTACAAAATGTGAACTGGTTTATTCAGTAGAACAGTGTGATGTTGTGTGGGGAGTTTTCTTCCTACCTTGGAGTGTCTGACTTTTGCTCGGAATAGCAGAGATTAAGCAGGTCGATAAACTTCTGAGGAAATGATGCAAAGTCTATCAGGAGCCCTTGTTGGACTTTCAAGCTACACAAACAATAGGGGGGAAAAATGTTTAAAACATTAAAGAAAGTTGAAGAAATGATCACGACAGCCGTTCAAAGAGTTCAAACAATGATCATTGTAATTGAATGAGTTCTACCATTACCTTTGGAAATCATCTTCTGATATAGAGAGGTTGAAAAGAAAATATGGATCAGTATCATCGGTTAGTCTCACTAGAAGATCCTAGAAACAAACAAAAACAACCGCAAGTTAAGTGAGCTAAAAAGGGTTCAAATGAAAACTTAAGTGTTGAGGGGTTTTTTCCAATTAGAGGACTTCCAAAAATTATGGAAAAGACAATAGCTAATGTTATGCAGACCTGCTACTCACCCTTTTGTGTACTGGACTGTTTGTCAAATGAAGCTCAATGGTGACACGAATGTTAGCTTTCCTGTAAAAGGAGGAAGTAAAAACTGACAAAACTGCTTCAAATCTAATCTAATGATGTAACTTTAAACACCCATCCATCCACCATTCTGCGTAACTCGTTATATACACACATGTAACTTATGTATGTATATATAAACACATTAAAAGAGGTCTTGCTGATTTGCCTCCGAATCTATATTATTATATTTATGACGTTAGGTGACGTCAGCTGGCTTTGGTTACAATAGGCGTCTTACCTCTCCTCGCAGTCCCCGCAGCGCACGCTCACTTGTAAGCACTTGCTGAAGAGTTCCTCCATGTTGTCTTCGACCTAAACAAGTCTTCGCTGGGGAGTAAGCGGCTCGTTAATAACCTGGTTAGGTCTGAGACGCGTTGGCTTCCATTACAAAGACCCTTCACTCGTCAGTTGTCATTCGTGGAGGATTTTTGTTTTCGCGCTTTTCGGCCGCCAATGAATCGCCCTGGAAACAGAACGTGATTGAACTTCCTCTTCTTCTTGAGCTTTATGGCACGTTTGTAAACATCCGGCCTCTTACCGCCGCCTAGTGACCGGCAGTGGAACAAACTGGATCATACGGAGTGCGGGAGAACGATATATATATATATATATATATATATATATTTTATTAATATTTTAAATAATAATACAGTATTTTAAATAATTAGGCAAAATATCTTAATGGATCAGATCAAAGTTGTTATACAGTAGTCACATCTTTCTAAAGAAGATGAAGAGGACCAGCTGTAGTTTGTGTTGCTGATGAACTGCTGGATTACACTGACGGAATGGAAGAAGAACATAAAACGTTACTGAGGTGAACATTTAATTCAGTGGGTGTTGTATTACATCACACTCCATTAGCTTTATAATGGTTTCATAAAGTAAGAGGAGGTTGGATACAGTAACAACAATTAAACAGTTAATATTTTACTGGAGCGGTCTACATTTCAAATACACACCTACCGTTTGTCGTCTTGTTGCTCTAACATCAATATGCCGATTAAGTTTGGTAGTGCTCGTACAGTTAAATGCACAAATATAAATAATCTATTAATACAATTTAAAATGTACCTAAATCTCATCTGTGTCTGTTTTTATTTTCCTCTGTCGCTGGTCAGTGTTGCATATTGCTGAGGTGAAATGCATTCTGGGATATTTGGCTTCCACATGAACGGACAAGACAGCTCCCATGCAAACCCGGTAAAATGGGCGGGGCGAGACACGTTCTCGGCGAGATGCGGTCTTTACAATTGGAACAGTACTCGGACTGATGACGTTTCAGGAGTCCACAAGAACCCAAGTACACAACAATGCATATTGAGAAAGGGCCTCAATCACAGCAGGTAAATACACAGCAAATGGCTGTACACCCTTATTTGTCCGTCAAAGTTTGTTTTTTTAATTAGTGGTGTAATTAGTGGAGAAAAAATACTGAAGACACATGACGGATAGAATGTGCCAGGATCCGGGTCTCTCTCTCTCTTCCCCTCTGCCATATACATTCACTGACACACTCATTTGCCCATTAGTCTCACCTTAGCGCTCACACCCACTTCTCACATAGCCTTCCCATCCACCTGCCGCTCATTTCAATCAGTGCCCGCGCCGTTTGCTGTTACACCTGTTTCTCGTCATGTCTAATCACCCTGTCTATATCTTGCATCTGTTCCCTTTGTGTCTTGTCGGATTATTCTTGTGAGTCAAGCCCTTTGCCTAGCTGGTCTCCTAGAGAATGCATTTTGTTCTATGTTTTGCCATCGAGCTCAGCTCGCTGTTTCTGTTGAACATTAAAACCCTTATTTTGTGACCTCCCTCTGGGCGTGGATCTTTGCCGCCCGATACCGTGACAGAACGTGACAGAATAATCCGACCACACGCTATGGATCCAGCGAGGGAGGAATCCATTGCCACTGCCGTAGAGTTCCAGGGAGCTATGCTGGGTCGACACCATGAGGAATTGTCGGCAGCCAGGCAGGCCGTTGAGAGTCTGGCCGCTCAGGTGAACGACCTGTCTATGCGCCTCACCCAGACCCGTTCCGAGTCTCCATTAACACTCTCTCACTCGTCGTCTCCGGAGCCTCGCATCAATAACCCCCCGTGTTACGCTGGAGAGCCGGCGGAATGCAGAGCATTCCTGACGCAGTGTGAGGTGGCCTTCTCTCTGCAACCGCGAACATATGCTGAAGACCAAGCCCGCATTGCCTACGTGATTTCCTTACTAACCGGGCGCGCCCGTGAATGGGGAACCTCAGTTTGGGAGGCTGGAGGTCCCTGCTGCAGACGCTTCCTCCTCTTCAAGGAGGAGATGATGAAGGTATTTGACCAGTCAGTCTTTGGACGCGAGGCATCGCGTCTCTTGACCACCATTCGTCAGGGAAAGAGGTCCGTTGCCGACTTCGCTATAGAGTTCCGAACTCTTTCCACTACCAGCGAATGGAACGAACCCGCCTTGGTGGCCCGTTTTTTAGAGGGGTTGAACATAGAACTCAAGGAGGATATTTACGCTCGTGGGTCACCAGCCGAGCTCGACACGCTGTTCGAGCTGGCAATCCGCCTCGATCGGTGCTTTCAACAACGGCGACGAGCCCGCACTGCTGCCCCGACACCCTGAGAGTCATTTCCCCCTTTTGCTCCCGAACCTGAACCCATGCAGCTGGGTGGCATCCGCCTTCGGCCGGAGGAGAAACAACGCCGCCTCTCTAACAGACTGTGCCTTTACTGCGGTGCGGCGGGCCACTTTGCCGCTTCCTGTCCGGCAAAAGACAGAGCTCGCCAGTAGACAGGAGTACTGGCGAGCGCGGCGGTGTCTTCATCCTCACCCAGATCCCGCACCACTCTCCCCGCCGTTCTTCGGTGGGCTGGCTCATCTGCCTCCTGTCCGGCGCTGATTGACTCGGGGGCGGAGGGAAACTTCCTAGACGAGAGATGGGCGCGGGAACACAACATTCCCCTGGTGGATTTAGAAAAACGCACCACCATATTTTCCCTGGATGGTGGAACTCTAGCTGAGGTCCATCAGGTCACCAGTCCGGTGAGGCTGACTGTCTCCGGGAACCACCAAGAGACTATTTATTTTTCATTTTTCGTTCCCCCTATTCCCCCATTGTCTTAGGGCACCCCTGCCTTGTCCAGCATAATCCCCATATTAACTGGGTCAGGAGTACTATTTTGTCTTGGACTCTTTCGTGTCATGGTAACTGCCTAGTGTCTGCTATCCCTGCCGTGTCTTCTGTCTCTGTGTTTCAGGAGGAGGCCAGTGATCTGACTGGCGTACCGGAGGAGTACCATGACTTGCGGGCGGTTTTCAGCCGTTCCCGGGCCGTCTCCCTGCCGCCTCACCGCCCTTGCGACTGTAGCATTGACCTCCTCCCTGGCACCACGCCCCCCCGCGGTAGACTAATATTCCCTCTCATCACCCGAACGAGAAGCGTTAGAGAAATATCTCTCCGAGTCGCTGGAGGCTGGAAATATTGTTCCATCCTCTTCTCCTGCTGGTGCGGGGTTCTTCTTCGTGGAGAAGAAGGACGGGTCGTTGCGTCCTTGTATTGATTATCAGGGGTTAAACGACATAACGGTCAAGAATCGCTATCCCTTGCCCCTTATGTCGTCAGGGTTCGAGATCCTACAGGGCGCTAGATTCTTCACTAAGTTGGATCTGCGTAATGCGTACCATCTAGTTCGTATCAAACAGGGGGATGAGTGGAAGACCGCGTTCAATACCCATATTGGTCACTTTGAATACCGGGTCCTTCCCTTCAGATTGGCCAACGCCCCCGCCGTGTTTTAGGCACTGGTAAATGACGTCCTGCGCGACATGTTAAACATCTTCGTATTTGTTTATCTGGACCTCTTGCCCTGTCTGCGCGCAAACTAAATCAAGCAACGCTCCGCCGGCGGGTCTTCTCAGACCTCTTCCCATTCCATTGCGCCCGTGGTCACACATTAGTGAGACCGTTAGGCTTCGCTACCGATCTCCCTCCATCCGCCGGCAACACAGTTATCCTGACGGTTGTCGATCGTTTTTCTAAGGCGGCCCATTTCATTCCACTTCCCAAATTACCGTCCGCCCGTGAGACCGCGCAGGTTATGGTCGATCATGTGTTTAAGATTCACGGTCTTCCCTCGGACATTGTGTCTGACAGAGGTCCCCAATTTGCCTCTCTGTTTTGGAGGGAGTTCTGTCGACTGATTGGGGCTTCCCCCAGTCTGTCGTCAGGATTCCACCCGCAGACCAATGGGCAAGCTGAGCGGACCAACCAGATTCTCGGGCGCATGTTACGCAGTTTGATCTCTCAGACCCCGGCGTCCTGGGAAACATGAACTGAATTTGTCGTGTGTGAAACATAGTTTGGAATAAATGTCATCATCATAGTCAATGGGGTGATGTCTCTGTATTTGTGTTCCCTTTATCTGTACAGGGCCCTGTTCCTCGTACGTGGTTCAACTAAATCGATCAAATGTCCGATTATCCAGCTCAAATTAACGATCACGTCCGAAACCAGGATTTGTAACAGTATAACGGCAAATAAACTTTGCCGTTAGAGGGTCTTTTTTCCCCGCTGACGAGCAAGAGATGATCATGAACACATATGATGAGCTATGTTCATTTGAATCATTTCTGTCAGATGAATTTAATGTATTATACATATTTTACGTTGTTAATTCTGTACGTCCATCGCAGTCTCTCCGTCCTAGGGAGGATAGTCTTCGGTCTCTCTAAAGGTTTCTTCCCTTTATTCTCCCCATCAAATACTTTTTCATTGTTTGGGGAGTTTTTCCTGTGCCGATGTGAGGGTTTCTGGACAGAGGATGTCACATGTCTACAGACTGTAAAGACCCATGAGGCTAATTTGCGATATTGTGCGATATAAAATGAAATAAATCATATAATCATGGCAAAAACTGACAGCGCCCCCCTGCGAGACTACAAGCCCGACAAAGTATCACACACAAGTTAACGTTATGCGTGTTTGTAAAATGTAACGCCTCATTTAAGTGCCTCGTCACTCTAATCAATCAGATTATATTTATTTAAATGTGTCTGCTGGCAGGAGGCTTCATGGATGATCATCATTCAATGAGAATAATTGTTTATTAAGCGACAAATAAACCAACAGAACTTTACGAAGAGCACGACGCGCAGCGGCTTTCCCGATGTTCTCTGCATCGCAACACTACAGATAGGACAGTACGGGAGATAGTGTGTGAGACATGAGTGTGTGAGAGTATGAGAGACAGTATGTGAGACAGTCCGCGGGACAGTGGACGCTCGGCTGCAGTGTGTGGTGTTCATCACGTAACGGGCAAATCTTGTAAATAAATGATTCCTTGTCCTCAGCATCTGTAGCGCTCGTACAGGACGTCATGGCGGCTAAACGGGTCTTTGTGATCTCGGAGAAGTCTCTTCCTATAAAACGTTAATTTAACTGATGTCGCTCCTTCATAAATGAGGAAGTGAGCGGACCTTTTTTTCCGTGGGAGTCTCGAACTAATCCAGGAGCTCAGATGAACCTGCGCCAGAGCAGGTTCAAGTTTTTCTATGTGTTGCTGTGGTGATTTAGCCAAACCTGCTTCGGGGAACCGAAAAACCTGATCTACGTCATCTCATCCTGAAAATGATCCGGCGAACTCAGCCACGTACGAGGAACGGGGCCCAGGTGTGTTACCTGCCTGCACTTTGAAGCTCTGCTGCCAGTGACTGTTAAAGGCTGCGGGTTCACCGATACACACTAGCAATAGAATATAAGGTTTATATTGTGTTACTAATTCAAGATATAGGGGACAGCGGGACTGATGGTCACACTTTCTACTATGGCGTGAATTGCTAATCATCAAAACATCTTTCAACATCCCTACATTAAATTCAAGCTGTTGCCTCTAGACGTGTATCCCTCCCATTTACCAACGTATTGTAACAAGAGTTATTGCTATTCCAATGGGAAAATCTTAAGAAGGAACTAAATTAGAAAGTTGCTGTTAGGGTGGATGAGGACAGGATCCAAAAGCAGAACCGGGGACAAAGTCTTGTGGTCAACAAACAAAAATCTTTATTTCTTAAGGGGCTCGTGAGGAGAAGGTCGCGAGTGCAGGATCCGGAGCGAAGGCTGCGTAAGCGTGCTGGTGTGTGGCGTAGAGTCGCGTCGATGAGAAGTAATGATCCGACGAGGAGGCCTGGGAGACAGCGGGCTATAATTCGTGTCAGATTGCTGATTGGCCACAGGTGCGGGTAGTGAGAGCACTCCTCTTGGTCGCCCCGCCCAGCCTGAAAACACAGCAGCGCCAGCCAGCACCCAGGATCAAAATATACAACACTAAATAAAGGCCCAAAAAAATCATAATCACCACAGTACCCCCCTCTCAGCGAACGCCTCCTGGCGTTCTACCGGGTTTGCCAGGGTTAGCCTCATAGAAATCCCGGAGGAGCGTCGGGTCCAGGATCAAACTGCGGGAGATCCAGGAGCGCTCCTCAGGAGCGTATCCCTCCCAATCCACCAGGTACTGGAAACCTCGCCCTCGGGGCCTGACGTCCAGTATCCTGGAGACCGTATAAGCGGGGTGATCATCGATGAGCCGGGGGGGCGGAGGGGGAATGGCCGGAGGGCTGAGGTCACTGGTGGAGACAGGCTTAAGGAGGGAAACATGGAAAGTGGGATGTATCTTCATCGAATCAGGGAGGATTAGACTGACAGAGGAAGCGTTAATTATTCTCGAGATGGTGAAAGGCCCCACATAACGGGACGCCAGCTTACGTGACTCCGTTTGAAGTGGAAGGTCCCGGGAAGATAGCCACACCTTCTGGCCGACCTCATACTCAGGGGCGGGGGAGCGATGTCGGTCTGCCAGCCGTTTGTTGTTCTCGGCAGAGCGAGTGAGTGCCGCCTTCACATTACTCCAAACCTCCCGAATCCTCCGAGGATGCTCGTCTACTGAAGAGACTGCCACCTCCTCCTCCTGGGCTGGGAATAATGGGGGTTGAAAACCGTAGCAAGCCATGAATGGCGACATACCTGTAGCGGAGCAAGAGAGGGAGTTGTGCGCATACTCAATCCAGGGCAGGAAAGAGCTCCAGGAGACAGGGTGATGAGCGGTCGCGTAGTGCTGCTTCCAGATCCTGATTAGCCCGCTCTGTCTGGCCGTTCGTCTGGGGATGGTAGCCAGAGGAGAGACTGGCTGCTGCGCCCACGGCCTTACAGAAAGCGCTCCACACACGGGAAGCAAATTGCGGTCCACGATCTGACACTATATCTACCGGAATCCCGTGGAGCTTAAACACATGATTGGTTAGAAGCTTAGCGGTTTCCAAGGCAGAGGGTAATTTGGGGAGGGGAACATAATGCACAGCCTTGGAGAAACGATCAATGATGGTGAGTATGACTGTGTTACCTTCGGATGGGGGTAACCCGGTGACGAAATCCACGGCAATATGTGACCAACGGCGACTGGGAATAGGTAAAGGACGCAGCAGACCAGCAGGACGACGATGGGAAGCTTTGCTCCTGGCACAGACAGAGCAGGCAGCCACAAACTCACAAACATCCTTCGCCATCCCCGGCCACCAGAAGCGATGGCGGAGAAAGATAAGGGTACGGTGGGCTCCCGGATGACACGTCAATTTAGACGAATGCCCCCACTGAAGGACCTGTGACCGGACTGCAGGTGGGACGAACAAACGAGCAGGAGGACCTCCGCCAGGATCTGGGACAACCTCTTGGGCCTCCTTGACCACTGACTCGATCTCCCACGATGCTGCCCCCACCACACAGGTGGAGGGAATGATGGGATCTGTATCCTGGGGACTAGAGGGTGAGTAGATTCGTGAGAGTGAGTCCGGTTTCCCCATTACGGCTTCCGGGACGACGGACCTGAGACAGTGAGCGTGACACGAGACGCTCCAACAGGAAATGGACGATTCTTTTCAGTCGAGGAGGGGGTTGTGCAGTTTAAGCCAGGGTATGCCAAGGACAGCTGGTGACAGGGGGGAGGGTATCACATACAACTGTATTGTCTCACTATGGTTGCCAGAAATAGTGAGAGAGATAGCAGTGCGATGTGTAACCTTGGAAATTAACCGGCCATCCAGTGCATGGACAGATTTGGGGACTTCTAAGAGCTCGAGAGGGATGTTTGTCTGTGCGGCAAAGTTCTCATCAATGAAATTGTCATCCGAACCCGAATCGATAAATACATGTAGGGGGTAGGACTGGGTGTTGCTCCGGAGCGTAGCCGGAAAAGACATCCGGCCCGGAGAGCGAGACGACGAGGTGTTGCTCACCAGAGTGCTCTCCGTCACTGATGAGCTAGATCTTTTGGCGGAGCCCGGCAGGTCGCAGCATAATGGCCCGCGAGCCCACAGTATAGGCAGAGTCTTAGTTGCATCCGTCGCTGGCGTTCAGAGGGGGATAGGCGAGCTCGACCAAGCTGCATGGGTTCTTCAGAGGGAGGTTGGGGGGCAGAGGGCCTGGCAGGACTCCAAGATGGGGAGGCAGGGACGCACGTGGGTGCAGGGACACTAAACCTGAGGCCTGCGGATGGGACTGGCTTACGGGTCCGTTGGGCTCGTTCTCTCCTCCGTTCCTGGAGACGATTGTCTAGCCTGATAGCTAAAGCAATCAATTGCTCGAGGGAGGTAGAGTCATCTCGAGAGGCCAGCTCGTCCTTTAGCTCCTCAGACAGATTCCTGGAGAACAGGGTCATTAGTGCTGGCTCATCCCATCCACATTCTGCCGCCAAAATCCGGAATTCGATGGAAAAGTCTGCTACTGATCCAGACCCTTGTCTTAACAAAAATAGCCGATTCATGGCCTCTAGCCCTTAAACGGGGTGATCGATAACTTTACGTAGCTCCGTTGAAAAAATAAGGAAGGAACTCAAAACTGCCGAGTGGCTAGTCCATAACGCAGTGGCCCACTGGGCTGCTTTACCTCTCAAAAAATTAACGCAGAAAGCTATCTTAGCCTTGTCGGTAGAGTAACTAGCGGGCTGAAGATCAAAAACTAAAGTACAATTTAACAAAAATCTACTGCATGAACCTGGTTCACCAGCATAAGGTTCCGGAGTGGGAACCCAGGGTTCCTCACTGGTGGGGATGTACTGGAGCTGGGAGCCGACAACTGAGCAAGTGCAGAAGTTAGCTGCACGCTCTGGGAAAGGGAGTGCAAGGTTTCCATAACTCCACCCAACAGCTGATCGTGTTTACCAATCAGGATTCCATGTGAGCTGAGGGCGTCCTGGAGGGCATCTGGGTTCGCTGGATCCATCTTTTCGGGTTGGATCATTCTGTTAGGGTGGATGAGGACAGGATCCAAAAGCAGAACCGGGGACAAAGTCTTGTGGTCAACAAACAAAAATCTTTATTTCTTAAGGGGCTCGTGAGGAGAAGGTCGCGAGTGCAGGATCCGGAGCGAAGGCTGCGTAAGCGTGCTGGTGTGTGGCGTAGAGTCGCGTCGATGAGAAGTAATGATCCGACGAGGAGGCCTGGGAGACAGCAGGCTATAATTCGTGTCAGATTGCTGATTGGCCACAGGTGCGGGTAGTGAGAGCACTCCTCTTGGTCGCCCCGCCCAGCCTGAAAACACAGCAGCGCCAGCCAGCACCCAGGATCAAAATATACAACACTAAATAAAGGCCCAAAAAATCATAATCACCACAGTTGCCTTGCATTGATAGTTACATACCTTATTACTTCTTAACACAAAATGAGAAGGGAACAAGGACAGGAAACACATCTTTGGGCCAGAAAAAAGAAGAGCAGAACAAATATGCCTCACAATAAAAGCCTACTTAATTAGGCTTAACCGATTCACTATCTGCACACTCGTCCCGAGCAGAGCTTGTGCCCACTGGTTGCAAATGCAACACTTTAAACGCACAAAGCCCTTTCACCTCGACTTTAACAGTCTTACTCCAGAGAATACTCTCTCCTATTTCATACCAACATTTGAGAAAAAGCACCCGTGAGCAGGGCTGTAGTGGAGGGTAAACGCACGTAAACGCCGTTTACGCACCTCTGGAATTTTGGAAATAGCGTTTACGCACCTATAAATAGCATTTACGCACCTCTAAGTGGCGTTTACGCACCTCAAAGTTCCCTGCGCCTTGTATTCTTCCGGTGGAATAATCCGAAATAAACTTGGTGTAATTTTAAAACAGCTAAGACTACGTTTCCTATTGTTGAACATATAAACGCCGTAGTCTGAATCATTTTCATCTGTGCTGTATTACGGTCTGTGACCATCCAATCAGTGCCTTGCGGCTGCAGCAGCGACACCAATCAGGATCCAGGAGGTGTGTAAACACACGTTGTGGATCAGCCTAGTGGTCCCCTACCTTTTTTACCTCACGGACCGGTATTGTCATGTAAGACAATATTTTGCGGACCGGTCGAGACGGTAAAAGGACAAGAAGAAGAAGAAGAAGAAGCAAAACGCCTGGTGACGCGTAGATTAGAAAACAAGTCAGTTCTCAATGTGAAAAAAACATGCTGTATAGGCTATTTATGATGACATAGGTAGTACATGAGTGTTCTTATGTTGTTATGTTGTATTTTTTCAGGCAGTGATAGGACAGGCAATGATGCAGAGAGCACAGGGAGAGGAGAAACACTAGGTCGAATAGAGAGAGAAGCACAGAGGAGCCATGAACGTGTTCTGGGGTTCATGGCACAGAGCAAGGCAGGACCTGACGTGGAGGACAAGGAGGCCCTCTGGGCACTACTGTAAAAAGGAGACTCTATGTAGATAGTTCTTAATCTGCAACTGTGTTGTTGTGTTGTGCTGACATACTTTCTTTACTGTTTTCTTAAATTTAATAAACTACAAACTACTAACACATTTATTCATTGTCATTGATTGTATATGACTTTTACTGATAACATAATGGAATATAGCCAGGAAAGCCTTACAGAGTCGCAACGATTTGTGTTGTGTTGCTTTGCATCGCGTCGAGGTCTGTATGATCACAAAATTCAGTTTACCCACCTCTAATTTTACCACTACAGCACTGCCCGTGAGATATAATGAATTTGACAACCAACTCCGCTTTTCGCTACGATGTCACTACAGATACTCTTGTAGAGTCATTTTGCATGTTGTTAGGTTCAGCAAGTTGTGTATCTATGTTAGCCGCCATTGCTAACTGTTACTTACTGGTTTGATGAGGTCTCTCTTGGTAAAATCATGTTAAGTTGTTGCACCTTGCATGAAAAGGACTCAACAGATCCATCAGGTTTTGGGGCTGACTTGAGGTGCCGTGGAAGCAGATTTGTGAGCTGAGCTTCACTCCCTGGCCTGTCTGAACTAACGCTGGCTACATTATTTGACATCAAGTATTCTTTGTCAGTTTCCACTCTAACATAAACTTCTCTTGGTTTCGGATGTATTCCCATCTTAAATCTTGCACTTTTCATTTTGTACCATTGTGTAGATATTCAGAGATCAGAATTGTGAAGATGACATTGTATTGCGGTAATTGTATTTAGTTTCCCGGTGAGACACATTATCCGGAAGAGACTAAATTTCATCTACAGTATGTTTGTCGTGGTGAAAAGCAGCACAAAAAATAGTGTAGGCAGAAATTGTGAGAGCTAGGATGGTAGAGGTTTAACAGTGATGCATCAAGTTGTACCATATAAAACACTACTGTCAATCTGCTTAGAAAGTGTCAGCACTTACAGCTGATTTTTTTTCTTCTGATTTTCTCTAGCTTGTATGGTCTCTTTATGCAGTTATATACAAGGAATCATAAAACCAGTTAGTACATCAATGCCAGTGACGTTCAGTCTGGGTAGGCAGGGAAGGCAAAATTCAATCATACATTTAATAAACTTGTACTTGTATTTTGGCTGTTTATTCGTGTCATTTATAGATGCAATATGTGTGTTATTCCAATTGTTTAGACATTACAATGACACATGTAGCAGTCACGGATAATCAAATTGAAAGAAGTGGTAGAATAAGCAGTGCTTTTACTGTACATTCATTGCGGACAACAAGCGGAAAACCCATGTTGCACATGCGCACTTTGATCGTGTATTCTTTAAGACGTACATTCAAAGGCACAACTTTCGTACATGTGTCATGCCGGTAATCATCTACATTACGTATTAAACATAAAAGGTGCGTGAGAGAGTAGTACACGGTACGTCATTGACCACGTGTGTGTGCCGTGCTCGTGCATAACGCTTAATGTTTTGACAAGTTGGCCTATTAGGTAATCTAACTTTCATAACGCAGTTTATTTTAAAAAGATATTTTGAAAATAAAATAAAAATCATAAGAATATTATCTAAATATAATAAATGACACAAACAAAGCAAAAATGGAAGGCATGACAGCATACAGTAATTTCAGATCAACAGGCCTATGTTGGCTTCCATTGTTGATGTGAACAGGTGCTCACTTATCGGCGTATCCTGGTTTATATATCTTTCATGTCAAGTGTTGGTTATTTTTGTGAGTATCACCACACAAAGACTGCAACGCTGCTCAACTTCCATCGTTATACGAACATAGTCTTTTCAAAATCAGCTTCAGTCTTCATAGGACAATCAGCTATGTTAAGAAGATTGTGAAATACTTAAATATGGTCAACAAACGGTCAGATTTGTGTGTCTTACTAACGTCTATTCCTTGACATCTGTGGAAAACGTCACACGGTTAAGGAAAGATGGTTAGGAGAATTCAACAGGAGTTAAGAAACGACAACCATGTGTTTAGGGGATCTGGCATCCACTTTCACTAGGCTACGTAATTATGATGGCTGGGAGACACATGTTATTGACGTATGTCTGAAGCGGCAATTTCTCCATAGATGGACTACAAAGACGCATCTTAGATGCCTTCATCTACATGTTGTTACAGTGCTGAGTAATGTAGACGCCATAAGACAACCAGGTTCCAAGTATTGCTTTATTAACAAGGCAGCAACATAAATGCAGAATGATGAACAGAATAGGCCGTCTTTATTTGGCTCGAATAGATAAAAAAACTCAAAATCGCTCAATTAGGAGGAAAACACAAAAACTACAAACAGGCTCGATGAACTGAATCCATAAACTGAAACTAGAATTTTCTATAATGGTAACGGGGCGATGCAAGCCCCATTATTAATGGACATGGCTGAAATCCGGTCATCATAGTCGACAAGCCGAAGTTGTATTAGGGCGCTCGCTCCTTTTGCTTGACGCACGCTACCGATCTTGAATCTAGAATCGATTGCTCTTCCTTGGGTTCCCGGATGTTCCACGAATTTTTTTGCATTGAATTTTTTTGCATTGAATTTTTGCATTGAATTTTTTTGCATTGAATTTTTGCATTGCATTTTTTTGCATTGAATTTTTGCATTGAATTTTTTGCGGTTGAATTATTTGCGGTTGAATTTTTTGCAGTTGAATATTTTAACGTTGAAAAACATTCAGATACATAATTTCAATGCAGAAATATTCAGTGCTAGAAATTCAATCACTTTTTTCTTTCAAAATCCGATGACACAGATTTACTTCCATAATCGTGCATTTGCTGCAGAAATGATTGTCTAATTGTGTTAGAAAAAAACCTGTTGTGTTAAGCGTAATTCGGGGTGAACATTTCCTGTTTCCAATTCTCTTTTAATTGAAGTTGAGCTTTGATATTTTGACTTTATTCTTTCTCTACTGTCAGATATTTTGTATCGTACATTGTGCTCTGTCTGTGTTTTATTGTCTCGCTGCTTTTTAAGAGCTTGTTAAGCACTTCGGTGAACCGAGTTTTTTTTAAAACGTGCTATATAAATAAAATTCAACTTGAACTTGAACTTAAATTGAATACTCACCAGTCTCCTCATCGAACCTGGAATATATTTGAATATTCCCCTATATTCTGTATATATGAGGCTGAGACATGATCGGGGGGGGGGGGGGGTTACACCAACAGGGACATGAAGAAATGTAATCTGATTGATTAGAGTGACGAGGCAATCAGGAAACATTTATTGCCATAATATGTCAGACATACAAGGAATTTGACTTGGCGGTTGGTGTGTAACAGCAGACAGTACGACAATGGACGACAAGACAACAGTGCACAAGGATAAAAAAATTATATAATGCTATGGGTTAGTACTATAAGGCTATGGGTTAGTTTAAAATAAAAGTTAAAGTTAAAAATTAAAAAATAAAGTGCACCAGCGAACAGGAAGTGACGAGTGAAAAGTGACAAGTGAAAGTGACATGTGCAGTGAGAAAGAAAGTGACCGGTGGAATGTCAGAGTCAGTCAGTGGGGGACCGGGCTCTGTTGATGAGCCCGACTGCCGACGGGAAGAAACTTTTTGCGTGGTGGGAGGTCTTAGTCCTGATGGACCTCAGCCTCCTGCCAGATGGAAGGGGCACAAACAGGTTTTGTCTGGGGTGAAAGGAGTCGGCTACGATCTTTTTAGCTCGCTTCAGGGTCCTAGAAGCGAACAAGTCCTGCAGGGACGGCAGATTGCAGCCGATCACCCTCTCTGCAGAGCGGATGACACGCTGAAGCCTGCCCTTGTCCTTGGCTGTGGCTGCAGCAAACCAGACGGTGATGGAGGAGCAGAGGATGGACTCCTTGATGGCCATGTAGAAGTGCACCATCATCGTCATCATCACAGGTTGAATTTCTTCAGCTGTCTCAGGAAGAACAACCTCTGCTGAGCCTTCTTGGTGATTGAGCTGATGTTCAGCTCCCACTTGAGGTCCTAGGTGATGCTGGAGCCCAGGAAACGGAAGGAATCCACAATAGTGACGGGGGAGTCACAGAGGGTGATGGGGGAGGGTGGGGCTCTGTTCCTCCTGAAATCCACAACCATCTCCACTGTCTTTAGAGCGTTGAGCTCCAGGTTGTTCTGGCTGCACCACGACACCAGATGGTCAGACTCCCACCTGTAGGCGGACTCATCCCCACCAGAGATCAGTCCAATGAAGGTGGTGTCATCCGCAAACTTCAGGAGCTTGACGGACTGGTGACTGGAGGTGCAGCTGTTGGTGTACAGGGAGAAGAGCAGAGGGGAAAGAACGCAGCTTTGGGGGGAACCGGTACTGATGGTCCCGGAGGCTGAGACATGTTTCCCCAGCTTCACGTGTTGCTTCCTGTCAGACAGGAAGTCTGTGATCCACTTGCAGGTGGAGTCGGGCACGTGCAGCTGAGAGTTTGTCCTGCAGCAGAGACGGGATTATCGTGTTGAAGGCAGAGCTGAAGTCCACAAACAGGATCCTGGCGTAGGTTCCTGGGGCGTCCAGATGCTGGAGGATGTAGTGGAGGGCCATGTTGACAGCATCGTCCACAGACCTGTTGGCTCTGTAGGCGAACTGCAGGCGGTCCAGGAGGGAGTCAGTGAGGGTCTTCAGGTAGGACAGGACTAGCCGTTCAAAAGACTTCATGACTACAGAGGTCAGGGCGACGGGCCAGTACTCATTGAGTCCTGTGATGATGATGGTGGAGGCCTTGAAGAAGGCTGGTACGTGGCATGTCTTCAAGGAGGTGTTTAAGATTTCAGTGAACACCGGTCAGCACAATGCTTCAGGGTGCGGGGAGTGACGCAGTCCGGGCCGGCTGCCTTACGGGGGTTTTGTCTTTTAAAGAGCCAGAATAGAGAGGGTCGTTGCTGGTGGGGGAGGGGAAGGTGCAGTTTAGCATCTCCCACCGCCTTGCTAAACTTGGATTTTGACTCTGTATACAGGTCTTTGTCCCCACTCCTAAATGCCCGATCCTTCTGCAGACGTAGTTTTCTGAGGTTCTAGCTTGTAGTCCTCGCAGGGGGGCAGTGTCAGTTTTTGCCATGATTATTTGATTCCATTCATTTTATTTTCTATAGCACAAAATCAAAGGGCTTTACAGTCATGTGACATCCCCTGTTCCGAAACCCTTACATCGGCACAGGAAAAACTCCCCCAAAAAGGAAAAAGCATTCGATGGGGAGAAAAAAGGGAAGAAACCTTTAGAGCAGGGGTCTTCAACGTTTTTCAGGCCACGGCCCTCCAAACTGATGGCGAGATGGCGCAGGGATCCCCTATTCTATGGAGTTTGGTATGGTGGGTATGGGTTGAAAAAAAACAACTTGTCTTATCAACCAAAAATTTCGCGACCCCCCTGCAGTACCTTCGCGGACCTGTTGAAGACCTCTGCTAGAGAGACAGAGGAGGATCCCTCCCCCGGGGATGGAGAGACGCCGATGGATGTACAAAATGAACAACGTAAAAGATGAATAATAGGCCTACGTTAAATTCATACGACAGAAATGATTCAAATACACATTTTAACTCCTTATATCTCCTGCTCGAGAAAAAAAGACACTCCGGTTTTGAGTTTATTTGCCGTTACGATGTAAAAAAAATCCTGGTTTCGGTGATCGACTCTTCCGCCTTCTAACGTAGGACGTGCACATGAACAAACAAGAGGTTTGTTGGCTGAGTTGTGGTATATCTGGTTTATTCATGGTACATGCGATTATCATGATGGCTGATCTAGTTCAAACAAACGAGACAGTTTGAGCGCGGATCAGCCTTTGAGGAACCGAGATAGCTTGACATCGATCATCCTGTTAATTTTAGCTGAATAATGGGACATTTGATCAACTTAGTTGAACCACGTATGAGTGGCCAGGGCCCAGGAACTTAACAAGAGAGATATTGCTGCAATGACACTGACACTGAGGGCGAAGACAAACTGGCACAGAGATACAGTAACATGGAGATTAAATACACTAGGGAGGTTTAGGTAATTAAACACAGGTCGCAGGGCGGGATAGACAATCACTGATGAAACCAACGTACAGTGCATCCGGAAAGTATTCACAGCGCTTCACTTTTTCCACATTTTGTTATGTTACAGCCTTATTCCAAAATGGATTAAATTAATTATTTTCCTCAACATTCACACAACAACCCATAATGACAAAGTGAAAACAGTTTTTTGCAAATTTTTGCAAATCTTCGACACAACTCTGTGAATGTCCTTGAGTGGCCCAGCCAGAGCCGTGACTTGAACCCCATTGAACATCTCTGGAGAGATCTGAAAATGGCTCTGCACCGACGCTCCCCATCCAACCTGATGGAACTTGAGAGGTTCTGCAAAGAAGAATGGGAGAAACTGCCCAGAAATAGGTGTGCCACGCTTGTGGAATCATACCTAAGAAGACTTGAGGCTGTAATTGCTGTCAAAGGTGCTTCAACAAAGTATTGAGCAAAGGCTGTGAATACTTATGTACATGTTATGTTTTCGTTCTTTATTTTTAACAGATTTGCAAAACAGTTTTCACTTTGTCATTATGGGTTGTTGTGTGTAGAATGTTGAGGAAAATAATGAATTTAATCCATTTTGGAATAAGGCTGTAACATAACAAAATATGGAAAAAGTGAAGCGCTGTGAATACTGCACTGTATATCCTTTCATTACCTTTCCTTCCTTGGCTCTGGAAAAGTCACAGGGTTAAAAAAGATGTGGAAGAGAAAGCATAACGAGCTAGGAAAAGACAGCTGTGGTGTTTTGAGGATCTGACTACACCAAACCAAATAGTTATGATGCAATATCCTGTGCCTCAAACCGGCCTTGCTGGATCATATTTCATGTCGTTCCTGTAACATCAATGCAGCCTCTTGGTGCAGGTAAGTCTCCATTCATCATACAAGCTGATATGAACAATCAAGAGGTTGTTGTGAGAGTTGTGGTATATCTGGTTTATTCATGGTACATTCTTTTGCATAGGGAAATATACTCATTTCCGGAAATGAACTCATCAGCAGTTACTGCAATATGATTACAATGATATCTTATCAAAGATATTAAGATCCCCCACAGCATAATGACCTTAGGTCAGATAATGGTTCTGACAGCTGTCACTCAAACAATGGGCCGATCAAACTAGAAGAGAATGTCCAACCTTGAGCAGACAGTTGTCACTCCATGAGTGTTTCTCAAAGTCAAGGACCAAGTTCTTTGCTCTGAGGCATTTCAAGCATGTGTGTATCCTCCGCACTTCTAAAATACCTGCAGAAGCTCCACCAAAATCGGTTTCTAAACATTTGAGGCATAACATTCCCAATTCAATGCTGGATCTTCCCTCACAGTACCAAACAAAAGTTTGGACATACCTTTTCATTCAAATGAATCAGAAGGGGTGTCCAAACTGTTGACTAGTGCTGTATATTAAATCTAAAGGGCGTAAGTTAAAAGCTAGATCTACTCTTACCATTTCAGCGTGCTATTATGAGGACGGCAACAATAGCAACCAAAATAAATCCTTTAGTGTGCCAAGTGGCTTTCTGAATGCAAAAATTTGATCTTGCTATAAACCTTTGTAGGACCTGACTTGACAGGGCCACACCTATCAAGGAAAGACCCTTGACTTTGAGAACTACCTTGTGACTTTAGTTTAGATGGTCATTTCTAAATGCAGTTGAGGAGGAACCATTTACATCATGCAAATAAAGGTTGATTTCTGACATTAGCTTCACCTGAAAACATTCAAAGGACAAAGTACTTAAAGCTCTTGTCAAAGTTGCTACAAACTACATCCAGGCCAGAGCAGCAGTCTTTTCCACAGCAAACATCTCAGTCCAGGCCAGGCTTTAATACTATCTCTATCAATCTAAAACTTTATCATATTGGTATACCAAGTCATGTATTATTATGTGATGGCCATCCGGTGTCAATTAAAAGTGTGTTGCAGGTTAAGTGGTACAGTTAAACAAGGAAGTTGTTTTTGAGAAATGGCCCAAGGTAAATACACTATGAGGTACTCAGAAATGTATATAAACTGAAGGGCTTTTCCTCACCCTTGTCTATTGATTTGAGGTATTGATTACAAAATATTTATTGTTGGTCTTTTATAGTACTGAGATGTGCAGTTCATGTGAAAGGTCTGTGTTCGTGGACTGTGGCAAGCAATAATTGATGAAATCTGTTCATACCTATGCTCTCTCTGATCTAAGGCATATAAATCTGGAATCAAGCAAAGCAGTCCTTTACTAAAATATCACAAAAGCTATGAGAAATATGACACTGGATTTAAAAGGTTCTCTCCAGCACATTGAGTGTACATATGCTAAAGTAATGTACCGGCACATACAGAAAAGAATCAACATGGCATCTCCAACAGGAAATTTGTAGCACTTTCAGTAACTAAGATATGTCTTTAAAGTCAGAACTACACAAAAGGTTTTGACGGGCAATTAAAAAAATACAACTCCGTTAAGAAATATCAGAAAGAAACATATATATTGGAGTTACAAGGTTTCGAGGCAACAATAGCAGTAGGGTACTCTGTTGAATGACATTTGTAGTTTATAGAAAAAAGAGCCCTGTGTGAAAACATGCCCCAATCCCTTGTAATTGTTTGGACACCCCTTTCCACCACACAGCATTCAGCTTCAAATCCGATCGACTGTGGTTGCTGAGCTAACCAAACAAGAACCCCCTATAGTTCTGTTACAAATGGCTTACAACGCCAACCGTAACAAAACAGTTCCATGGGTTGAAGTTGTCATTGTGATATGATGCATCTTAACAAGAGCTGTACACAAACCTGGTTGGTCTCTGCTAACAGCATTTACATTACATTAAATTACAGGTCAGGCTGACGCTTTTATCCAAAGCCACTTACATTGCTCTTTTAACCCATGGCTTTTTTTTTAACATTTTGCCCAGGGAGCAATTAGGGGTTAGGCGTCTTGCTCAGGGACACTTTGAAATGGGACATGGAGCAGCCGGGGCTCGAACCACCAACCTTGCGGTTCCCACCACACCCTCTCTACCCCTGCGCCACGTCGACCCCTAATTAAGTTTGTATTATGGAGAAAAGACAAATGTAGAAGGAAGCTCAGCCAACAATTTGAATTCCTAGAGTTTATATTCCCATAAAGGTAGAACCTGCCATCCGGGCAAAACTACAATCACGTCATCTTAGCAGCTTCAACTGAGTTAAACACAACATCATCTAGTGGATGTGCTATTAACACTGGAGATACGAACAACTGCATGGAACATACAGGTATTTCCTCCATAAAAGTGTGGTGGTAAGAGTAAACTGTAAGGTACTCGTAATCGTCAGTAGTCCCCAAATAGACAGGGTGAAATTAAGAAGGGCTAATGAATGAATGTATAATAATGTCAATCAACAGCTAGTAAATAGTTCAAGGTTGTAAAGAAGATTAGAATGACCCTGTATGCAGTGATTTGTTCCTACTGATATTTACTTAACAAATTGTTGCAGAAGAACTCAAACGCTGAAACAATGCTGGATCAAAAGCTAAATAGTACATAATGGCTAAACACATTACTGCATCTTTATGTGCATCATTATTAGCTGCAATGCCAATGCTGGTATTGTTTCACCTTGGACTCAATCAGGAGTTCCTGAGAGGAGGAGCACTTTCCCTGCAGTTTATTTCTGTGCAGTCACAACTTAACACTCAAGATGTTTAGGAATTAGTTTAGGAAGATTATAAATGCCAATAGCAATTGCATTCCAATTTCCTGGCTCCCTGTCCCCAGAATTTATCTTAAAATGCAAGTAACAAAAAAGTATGACGCAACAATGTATCATATAATTACTATTATGTGTGCAATGAGCTTTTCATGTAGATAGTTCTACCTGTCTCTACAGGTCTACTGTCCTAACACTAACAACGGCTCCCAGTAAAAGATCTTTCAATGTGATATTGGAGCACAAGTCCAATACTAGAGAATAAAGCTTTTCCAACTGTCAAAATATGTTTTGTGAAAAGGCCCGATGAGATCTGTGTGCTGAACAAGAGCTAAAGCATATAGGGGTTTAGGTCTGTCAACATGATCCAACATAAGTGAAGAAACATGAATCCTAGTCTGTTTCCTTCAACTCTTTGGGTTGTCTATGGCTTGTTACCTCAGGACCTGCACAGTACAGTCTTGAGGCCAGGGCTAGTGATGAGCACCAGACCCAAGACTGAAGTGTGTACAGGACCAACATATATTGCAAAGCACTCCATAGTAAGTAAGAGGAAACTAGAAGTCAAATGATAGGCACTGTCATTCTCAGTCCATGGTGTCTCCATGCTAGTCAATTCAAATAGAGCAGAGAAAGTGATGGTGTGATGTCCTATGAACCTGAGAGCTCATTACTTGCCCTAAACTGATGTGTACTATTCTCTAAACAAGTTCAGTTTTGTGATGAAAAGTCATTCTAACCTCACTACACTTTTGAATTGAGGTCTCCTGAACACACTAAAGTCGATAATTGTTAATTCCTCCAATTTTCCCTCTCACAAGAGTTAACTGTAATTGTCACATTCAAAGTGGAGCATCTTCTCACCAGCAGTGTCCACAGTCGCCGAGACCTGCAACGGTACTTCACCTGGTCAAGAGTGTGCTTGATATACTTTAGAGGCATGGCCTTACTGTATGTCTTGTGCAATTTTGCTTGTGGCTGGTGCTTCCCTTATAATAATTATATGTCTCTTCAGTTCATCTTGTAACATGGAATGAAGAAACATCCCGCGCAGCTCACACAACCTCCCAACTTGGTGGATTTTTCTTTAATTCAGCACGATGCTGTCATGAATAGAAACACTTGACTCACTAAGGAATAAAAATAAAGTGGATTCAAACTTTATAACCTGCTGAAGAAGAATCAAACTTCTCCTTAACGTCAGGACGCATTCAAACCTCATCTCTTCAAGTCCAGCGTTATAATTTACATACCCTAATTTGTCTTTAATTAGGGTATAAGGGGAACCTCAGACCAAATGAAGCAGTGATGAGATTCTCAAAGTACAATGTCTTCAGTAATCTCGGCCATCACCCACAAAGCCACTGCACCATAAGCTTCATAATATACATAACCTTTGCAATTGGGGGTGATTTAAATGCATGGCGATGTTTATCTTTTATGTTGCGTGACATATTATTCTGTTCACCTCATTAAATGTGTTTGTCCAGTTTTTTCAAGTGGCATGGACATGAGTTTCACGGCCTCCATACCAGGTGTTACCGATTTCACAGCCTTGGCTTTACCACCCTTTTCATATAATTCTCAAGACTTTACTTTCATAGAAAAACTGAGACAAATTTTTATGTCAAGTGTACATCTTTAGAGATAGCGTCTTCATGTGGTCATTTGCATTTAATTTGCCAGAGAACTGCAAGTCCAATTATACCAAAGACCTTTTTGATACCATTGAGCAGTACAATGGTATCAGGTCTGATACCATTGTACTGCTCACATTCAAAGCCCCAATAGAATTATAAAAAAGGTCATCGGCACCACATCGGGGTCTATCACTTATTGACCTAAATCCAATCCAATGTCCAATCAATGTTTTGAGGATTATTTTCATGATCGTGCCACCGTAGTGGAGGTATGCATGTGTCTCTTTTCTACTACAATCATTCATCATCCCTCACATGGCTAAACTTTACAAGCAGCCTACCGTCTATCTTACCCATAAAAAATGCTCCCCTGCTCTGCAGCTGGGTCACCACCTAAAGAAAATCTAAATAAATTCTATACATCCTTTTTAAGACATAAGCCTATGTTTCATTAATTTGTGGTTAAAACTATTAGGCTACCAACAACATGGTAACTTTAAAAATGAAAACTGAATGACCTAAAAGTTAAGTTGAGTAAGAATATTATGTGCATGCATTTATATAATAAACTCAAAGTCATCTATCACAATTCCTCACATGTGTAAAGTTATGCAATCTAAGAGACGGTTCTCGTGGCCAGAACTGGGTAGTCAAGAAGCTGTCTTGGACTTTTAAAACTTTTTCTGAAGTAAATACTAACACTGTGTTTATTACTGAATATTAAAACAGGATTTGAACAATTAGGGAATACTTAACCAGCAGACTTGAGGCTTTTTCTAAAGTGCTATTTTAGGATACAAGGTAGCCAAACTGTACCCCCAATAGTGTTTCATTCACAACACATTGGCTTCCTCCTTGAAAAGGCAAAACTCATCCAGTTCATTTTCAACAGCGTGTCACACACAGCAATGTTGTCAATGTCCACAAACAACTAAGAGCGATCTCCTTAACTTAAAACAGTTGAACTACTGAACGAACAGCTTGGAGATAAAATCCCCACCTGATCGTCATCACCCCCACTTACAGGAACAGTTCAGGATCTTTTGGTGCCATCATGCTTTTCTAGTTGTACCAAACACATAAATGTTTCCAGGTAATTTCTAACCTTAAGTCTAGCTCTGCTCTAATGGGGATGGTACCCTTGTCATATGATCAAAGTATGGAACTTGAAATACAGAATCTGGAGGGAAGATCATAATGTCATCCTAGAACCCAGATATGGATTTAGATATAAATATGTGACGACTTGTGTTCAGCAAACCAAAGATCTATACTTGTCACTACTCTACAGCCGACTCATCGGCAGATGAAATCTTTGAGGTGTGTAATTGAATGGACAAAAGTAGTGAATGGATCTTGAGATAATAGGCTCAGAATTATCTGCTGTGTTTAACATCAATTAAATCACAGAGATGTTATCTACGTTAGTTACTGATAGGCAGGTGGCTCTGTGTATGGTAGCTCCATATGAATGGGTACCAGAGAATGAGCGTGGTCCTGAAGCTAATGGAAGCTATCTTTGAGCTTGCAGTTAAGAGGCTGCCTCGGTGTACCTACTACACTGGTTAATGTCAAGCAATCATGCAGCTAATTTTAGTGTTGTTTTGTACACGCTACTATCTTTATCATGAAAAGTATATCATTTCTCCAGAATGTATTATTGTTCTTTAACTAAAGGGCAAGGCACCTGATGTGTTTGAAGAAATATCGTGCATAATAGAAGTTTAAGACAGGCCAATTCTCAAAATCTAAAGAAATAAACAGCCCTGCAATCCACTGTCTATGTAGAAAAGGAAAGGGGAGTAGGGCAAAAACTGTTCCTGCTTCGATAGATATCTTTCACCTGCAATGACCAATTATTTTCCCAGAGGGAAGTTGTTGAATAAATCCAGTATATCCACTGACAACGCTGCACTACTCTTCAATGGATGTACATCAAGTCCAGCTGACACTGGACTGACTGACTGGTAAGAAGTGGTGCAATTCAATTTTGGTTGGGGCCTTTTCTGGCAGATAGAGGGCACCTGTGGGACCATTCCTGTAAAACAAGTACAATAAAAATATACTTACTTCTCCCTTACTGTTTCGATAGGAAAAGCAAGCGACCAAATAAACGATTATGATGTCTTGCAGAACCACTCCGGCGGCCAAATTCATGTGAATAACGCAAATTGGCTTGCACTTAAACACCTAAACACCTTTCAACATCCTTGGGCGACACGTTTTAAATGACTGCTTTTTATTTGCAGAGCATCAGATATTGAAGTATGGAAAACATTATTAAATATTGTAACCTACAATTTTAATTAATAATCAGTGTTTCATCTCCAAAGTGATGGTGGAAGGGTAGACTTTAACTGACAAATATCAATATCGCTATATTTAAACCATTCATTTCTTTCTTTTACATTCAGATTTTTGACGACGACACATACACTGAGTCGTTGCTATCCACTGAGTTAACATGCAGCATGGAAGCTTTTAAGCTATAAAATATCAAACATTATTAAGCTTTGCAACGCCAGAATATATTGCCGTGCCTCACTAAAGCAGTCATTATCGTAATATTGTGTCACGATATTACAGAGAAAGGAAACTCGTGCTAATAGCTGATTGATTTGTGTTAAACCCTAAAGGTTGATCTGAAAACCAATCATACCACTGCAGCTAAGCTGTCCTTGTGTTCATCTGAACCCCAACACAAACACTACTGCAGTAGACTGGTCAGGTCAGTTGGCTTCTAAACCATTCTCTAGCTGGACGAAAAGCTTTAAGTCGTTCAGAGCCTTAAGCACCGGCATTTTACAAAATGAACAACCCACAGTTTTAACCGTCACATAATCTCAAACCAAATCTAGAGATCCTCCCCAACCGAGCAGCGATGAGGGTGTAAATGTAGTAACCATAGCACAGCCCGTCGTGGGTACCTGAGTACCAGTGGGCCTCACGCACTAGTGTTCAACTGTAGCACTGTGTGATGTGTTTGAGCAGGCTGGAATATTACTTTTCTATTCCATCGTTACTCTTTGTTTAAATATCCTGTTTATCATAAATCAGTCTCAAACACATACGCTTAACGAAGCAACATAATGGTTTTAGGCTCATTGTCAATGAAAAAGACAAAGCATCAGTCTTTTAGTGAGACAATTGCTCATTTTCAATGCTAAATTGTCTTTTGATGTATCCATAACATTACAAAGTGTGAATAATAAACATTACAACAGAAGGATATCTCTTTTTGGTGGGTTCAGAAAAAAGGGAGGCTTGTTTGCATATATATTATTAGCAGCAACGGGTGGGGAGAGGGACATTCTGGGTGTTGAGGGTGTATGAAGTTGTTTGGAGGAGTCCTTATGCTGCATTTACTGTGTAGAGACCCAGGGTACAACGCTAAAGCCTGACATCCATTCCAGGAACACGGACCTCATCCCGGGAACATAATTAGGATACAGGTATTTTAGGATGTGGTTTGTTGAGGCCTGATTCTGGTCCACTGAACTCCCAACTCCATCCAGTGGTCATTTGTGAGAAATATTTATGGCATAGTTCACTCTGTGTTTTGAACACGGCTGAGTCTTTCATCCAGGATGTCTCTTCTGGGTACATACAAATATACCACACTGTATATTTATATATATATGTACGACCACATGTTATACTTCTACAAAGATGAATATATTTTTCCTCTGGTAATGTCATGACAGCATCGTTTCCTTTCCTCCAAGACATTGCTGCAATCACCTTTCCTCCACAGTTCACTCAGTTGCCCAGATACCAGGACTGGAATGAGACAGAGAAACAAGATTAGACATGTTTAACTTCAGCCTGCATTTCTTCACACACACGTGTATATATAATCTAACATTGCTAATAAACAAATTGTAAATTGTGAACCCTAAAAAAACATGCTTGCTTTGAGTCTAATCCCCCTCAGAGATGAGCCTTTGCTGCTCACGTTTTCAGAGTCAAGCTCGAGAGCAAATCCAAGCCGAATGAGAGATGGTTTAGAACTGAATCCGGGGGTTGATGCTCACCCTCAACCGAACATGTACTAATCCATGAGGGCAATGATCAAATCTCATTTATTACAAGAACCATATTGGAACCTCTGTCAAACCTAAATACAGATCCAAGCTCAACCTGAGAAGGAATCAGGTCTGCAACCCTTTTTTGAAAAGATTTGTAGTGGAAAGAAGGCTCATTGCGGCAGCTAATACTGATATTGGAGTAATTAATGCCAAAAGGCACAGTAAATCATCACACGCTCAGAATATATCCACATCAGCAGCGCTCATGACGTGGGTCCAGTAACGGAAACAAAAAAAAACTCCTTGCCATGCCTAAATCAGTCTTCGGCATTCCTCTCAATGATACACTCGGTAGAATCCGGCAGCCAGTTGCCACATAAGGCGTCATTGCAACCTTTCAGGTGCAGTAAAAAGTGCTTGCTCTGTGTCTTGCTTAGATTACTTTGTATTGAATTGAATTAGAAAAAGCATGACTGGTGGTAGAATTTATAATATGTGTGATGTTCGGTAGTAGACTAATGTCTGTATTACTAATTAAACATATTGTATATGTTGTACATCATTCATTACTATACACATGATATCTATTTTACTCTGTCCACCTTGGGAGGAGCGCCTCAACTTAGACGTCCTTCCTAGGGCTTCTTTCTTTTATTTTAGTTTTTTTTTGTTCAGTCACTGTGAAGATTGGAGGGCTCTGTGGTTAACTTTGTGATTTTGGGCCATACAAAATGAGTTAAATTTTATGTTTATGATATTAGACATGCTATATAATATGATTAGTTTGTGCTAGATATTAGAGATTAGATGATATATTGCATGCCATATTATGTTTAAGAAGCTTAAGGGCAAAAATATAATCCTTGAATGTATTGTATTATGATTGAGGTTAAGATTGAGTTAAGGAAGTGAGGGATTCCATGTTCGGTCACATGGATGGAGCCAGATTGGATGGAGCCAGATTGGATGGAGACAGATTAGCCTATACTGATCCTCCAAGTTCTGTCTTTCCGAACCAACTTGTATGTGTAAAAGGTATTAAGTATCTCCGGTAAACTTTCTTTGCGGTTTGGCTTCGTCGAACGACAGGATTAAGGATTCAGGCTCTCCAGCTTCAACAGTTTGCAAGATCCCCAATCAATTTATGCAATTTCCAGCATGACAACAACCCAAAACACACAGCCAGGGCAACGAAGGAGTGGCTCAGTGAGAAGCATCTCAAGGTCCTGGAGTGGCCTAGCCAGTCTCCAGACCTGAACTAATAGGAAAATCTTTGGAGGGAGCTGAAAGTCTGTGCTGCCCAGCGACGGCCCCGAAACCTGAAGGATCTGGAGATGGTCTGTGTGGAGGAGTGGGCCAAGATCCCTGCTGCAGTGTTTGCAAACCTGGTCAAGAACTACCGGAAACGTATTATGTCTGTAATTGCAAACAAAGGTTTCTGTACCAACTATTAAGTTCGGCTTTTCTGATTAATCAAATTATTACGTCATGCAATAAACTGCAAAAAATATATTTTTAAATCATACAATGTGATTTTCTGGATTTGTTTTAGATTCCGTCAGTTCAGATTCACAGTTGAGTACCTATGATAAAGATTAGACTCCTAAGTGGGAAAACTTGCAAAATCGGCAGTGTATCAAATACTTGTTCTCCCCACTGTATGTCTGTATGTTTCCATGCTAAGAGAAACCACTGTGCAAATGTTCTGGGGATGAAGTATTTGGCTCAATAGGGGACTTGGTTCAAGACATCAACTGCTGACGAGAAACTGTTTCGATGAAGGAAGGTCTTGGTCCTGATGGACCGCAGCCTCCTGTCAGAGGGAAGGGGCTCAAGAGTCTGTGTCCGGGATGAGAGGGGTCTGCTACAATCTTTCCTGCCTGCCTCAGAGTCCTGGACGGACAGCAGATTGCTGCCGATCATCCTCTCTGCAGAGCAGATGACACGATTCACCCCCACACATACACACACTCCTCATTCTTCACATACATCAACAAATGTATTTGATGTTTGGATATTAGGACATCATGAGCAGGAGCAGTTGGCAGTTAACTGTGATTACTTTGTGCATATGTGGTTGTAACCATAATTCAGTGTTTGAACCTAAACCTTCGATCCCTTACTCTTGATAAGTCATTCAGTCATCTATGTTGCTTATCCTTTTAGAGCAGTTGTTCCCAAACTGGAGATTGCAATCCCTAGGGGACGCGGTGGGCTGACAGGGGGGTCACAGCTTCATAGAAGCGAAACTAACATGACGACTTGACATGCGCTGTGTTCGAACCACGCCCCCCAGAGCGGCGCAGGTTACAAGCGGACGAGCGCAGCAAAAAGGCAGAGAGACGGAGAGAAAGAGGTCACTCAGCTAGTTAAGTCGTACTTATCGGATCAATCCCAGATTGTGTTTGTACATGGTGAAAAGACAAGCTTCTGTGCTTGGACTGCTTTGATTTACCCAGTATATGCTTCCTTTAGACAATGTTATCAGAAAACACTGCATGAAGTTCCATTATTATGCAGATGACACTCAATTTTATCTGTCGATCAAGCCAGAAAAGACCGGCTAGCTTGTTAGACTTAAAGAATGTCTTAATGATAAAGGGAAACACTTCGATGACCAGCAACTTTCTGATGTAAAACAGGTTTTCCTGATAGGCCCAGGGCGCCTTTGAATTCAGCTGTTTGGTGATAGATTCTCTGGATAGAATTGCTCCGGTACACAGTAGCAATGTAGAGAATCTCGCGCCCAATCCCAATGTGCACGCTTATGCACTCAGACTTTGAGAAGCGCTCCGGGCTAACTCTGAGGGTTTGGGACTGTCCTATTGTCAAATTAGTGAGTGTTTGAGGCCTCTCAGTCAGAGCTTTTGAGCCCTTTATGAACCCTTTCCGTAAGTCAACATTTGATGCTAACTTAGCCCAAGGGAATTACCCACAAGTCTTTGCAACGTGAGCTTAAAAACAGTAACAAGTGAAAGCACGGGGGCACAAAAAAGGTAAACAAAGAGGACGGCACATGTGTGTTCAGACTGTCATAAATGCATTTCAACAGACTCACACATTTGGCCACAGCTCATCAAGAGCGAGACAGTCCACCTCTCGCCCCGTATAGACCAGTGTAAATCTGGTGACAAATTTCTCAGAGAAAGCAGAACACGTGCTGCACTGAATAGATTTGGATTTGTTTTAACTACCGATTCCAGAATTTTTAGTATGGGTTTGAGATCTGATTCTCTTCTAAATGTAGTTGGAGACTTTCAGACGATCCATACTAACCTGGCTTTGGTTGAGTCCACCTGGGTCTTGGGGAGTGACTCCAACGAAGGAGGTGCGATTGGCAGGGGGTGTCCCAGAGGCCGAGTATGCTGAGGGTGTTTGCGTTACAACATCAGAATCATACTGTCTCTCATGATTCCATGTTGCATGTTAAATTTCGAGAGGCAGTAGTGTACTACAAAAAAAATCTTACCATTTAAATAAGGAGCTACAACATAGCTGTCATTATTATTTTTAGTCAAATTATTATTAATGATGCCATTATTGCTTTTACTATCATTATTTTACTATATCCACTGCGGCTGTCATCAATAGTATTTGCAATTCTTCTGCCATTATTCTGCTAACTACTCTATAGATGAATCATTTCTCTTATATGCATAGAATGTATTGTACCCCTTTTATGTTTGTCATTCTGTACACATGACTATTGTATTTCAGCCCATCCTAATATAGGAATCCCTGTGTTTGACAGTTTCTTCCTTTTTTATTCCACCCCAAACCAGATAAATGGGGTTGAGTTGACCAACTCGATTGCGGTCAAACTCCACTAAGCTGATGTGTTTACACCTGACCTGAGAGGTATTCCAGATGTGCAACTGGATAAATGTCCAACACCTGGTTATATAATAAGTCGAGTATAACATTCCACAAAGGACAGCTACAACACAAGAGCAACGATCTGTTTTTATGGAGCGGCCCAACCAATACTGTAATAGTAGTGGGCTACATACTATATCTACTGCAAGTATTTTCTCTACTCTCTCTCTTTGTTATTGTATATGACTAGTGCTGGGACTGGGAGCAGCTGCACTTTGGTTGTATGATCCATATATGTTATGGTAGGCGTGTTCCTATCCTTTGATACTAAAAAGAATGCATGAAGAATGAAAATTGTGGAAAGGCTGACAAAAGAGTTGAATTTCCTTCCATAGCTGGAAATCAGGTTTTCAATGGGGGTTAATCCTAAAACATATGCCACTAGTTCATTAAAGGCCACCAACGTCACTTACACAGGACGACGTGTTAAACTGACTGAATACTTTTCAGCCATATCTTAGTTGGGGGATTTAAATATTTTGCAACGCTACAGTATGCCTTACACTTAGCCTGTCTGCGTTATCTGAGAGGGAATTAATTTCTTTGCCATACTTCACAGATGCATTCGTGATTATGCCCTAGTACTTGTATGTTTAAATGTTCCTTCTCTAGTAAAACTGTGTTGATTTCTGTGGTCGGGCCTTTAATATCATGGTATTTTTGTGGAGATCTGTTTGTTTCCTATATTCCTATATCCTGTATCCTATATAGAAGCAAGGAACGCAGACGCAAGAGCCCCTTGCGTGTCCCTTGCGTGTCTTTTCACACCTCCTTGCGTGCGTCGACCCATTTTTCTAAAGCTACACAAGCCTCCTGCGCCCGCAAAGCTGCGTGCAATTGGTCTGCTAACTACATCCTTTACGGAGTCTCACATTTCCGGTTTCATAGCACATAGGCGGATGGCCTCTGATTCATGGAGGGAGATCTCCACAAACGTCGGTTTGCCGGTCGAGAGGAAGTTGTGGAGGAAAATATGGGACAAATGTGACCACGATGAAAAGCAGCACGGGGCAATAAAGTCTATGATAAATAAATAAACAAACAAACCAACGACTTCCACACACAAAGACGTGACTCTCTAGGTCGTCTTCGACAAAAACATTACTCCACCTGGTGTTCTGGCGGTAAATTTCTTTGCAACACGCCAAGCCTTTTTGAACCATTAATTCAAACGAGTGCGGAGACGCAGACGCATGGGCCAGCCTTAAGACCCTATCTTAGCTTGGGATTTGTTTTTCAAATGAGTTTTAGGTGGTAGCCAGGCAAAAGGGGAACAGGAAATGGACCACACCAAAAATGCAACATTGTATGATTTATGAGCCTAAACACAATGAATGTACCCTTTCACACCAAAAGCAAATTATTTACGCGAGTAGATTCCATGCAGAGTCAATGCACAGACGCGAATGGTAGCGGAGTAGGCAAATTGTCAATGGGCGGCGTGGAGGACGCGAAAAAGTTAAAGAAGGCCGACGCTGTCGTGCGAAAGCCAATCAGCGTTGAGATGCTCCGCTCGTCATCACCGCCGTCCTGCTGCCAGAGCGTGAATGTACTTTATGAAACCAGTCACCAGAGAGCGACAAGCGCTCCGCAGCTGAGATCCAAAGCCTGTAAGTTGGGGTCTAACCGAGAGACGCTGGCCCTGATTCGACAAGTCATCACACTAGCTACTGGTCAGCCTGAAGTAGCGCTGGAAGCGGCAGTCGTCCAGACGCACTTCCTGGAGGAGTCTGTGAAATTCACTGAGCTGTGTGTGGCGACGGATGATGTCATGATCCCAAACATGACACCGTTTGCGGTTCTGACATTTGCCAATTAAAGCGCAGAATAGTGGTTATTTCTATTGTGGATAGTGGATATGATAACTGTCTTTACAGAAAATTTACTTCGCTTCTGAAAAGGGGCGTAGCTTATGAAGTGAAATAACTAGAACTAATCAGGCGAGTAAACCCGCACGAATAAAGCGCTGCGAAAAATTGTTTCGCTTTTGGTGTGAACGCAGCATTATTGTATAAAGTAATTCTTTGCTGTGAGAATTGGAGCATTTGATCATTTGTTCTAGTCTAAATTGAGCTGTGTTCAGTTTCTCGGAGTGGGGTCCGGTGGGAGTTGGCCTTCGCCAGTGCTACCCCTTGTCACCAATCCTGTTGTGGTATTCGTGGATAGGATATTGAGACATAGTCGTGGGGAGGAGGGTTCACAGATCGGGGTGCTGCAGATCTCATCATTGCTTTTTGCAGATGATGTGGTCCTGGTGGCCTCCAACTCTCACTGGAGCGGTTCGCAGCAGTGTGGAATGGGTGGGATGAGCAGCAATACCTCGACGTATTGCCCACTCCGGGTAGGGAATGAGTCTTTACCACAAGTCAAGGAGTTCAAGTATCTTGGGGCCTTGTTCACGAGTAAGAGGAAGATGGAGTGTGAGTTTGGCCTGAGAATTGGAGCAGCGGGGCGGTATTGCACTCGCTTTACCATACCGTTATGATGAAAAGATAGCAGGCAAACACCGCACATGAAGTGATAATGACATGATTGGTGCGGCGCAAATTACTTTGGCTTTCACAAGACAGCGTCGAGCCAAAAAATCAGTATTGAGATGCTCCGCCCGACATCACCGCCGTCCTGCTGCCAAAGGAATATATTTTATGAAACTGCCACTCCCTGGGAAAGACTGGCGCTCCGCAGCGGAGATTCAACGCCTGTAGTTGATGTCCAACTGAGAGATCCTAGCACAGTTCCTGGAAAGGAAGACGCAGTTCCTGGAGAAGTTGGTAAAATTCACCGAGCTGTGCAGCAACGGATTATTATGAAGACAAGCCACAGAGATAAGCTACGCCCAAATGACGCAAATTAACCCCAAATAATTGGGCGAGTAAACTCGTGCACGTGAAGCCTTCCCTTTTGGTGTGAACGTACCTTTAGAGAAACAAGCCAGTTGAGGGGGTTTGGGTATCTGGTAAAGATGCCCCCTGGGCGCCTCCCTAGGGAAGTTTTCCAGGCACGACCAGCTGGGAAGATACCACAGGGAAGATACAGGACTAGGTGGAGAGATTACATCTCCACACTGGCTTGGGAACGCCTTGGGATCTCCCAGTCAGAGTTGGTAGTCTAGGTATGTGCTATGTGGCCCGGGAAAGGGAAAGGTGGAACACCTGCGACCCGACCCCGGATAAGAAGGGAAGATGAGATGAGAGAAACCTTATGGTGGAAAGACGTATAATGAAAAATAAACTAATTGCATTTACTCATTTGCATTATGGCATAAGTTAGTACACCTGGGGAGCACCGGCGCAAATTTTTCATAGTTGAAAAAATAGAAATATTCAAAGCTGTCTCACAGCGAATGAGGACGTGGTCCGTCTAACAGGTCGTAGGTCCTCAGTGGGTTCTTCGAGCCAAGTAACAATCGTGCACCAGTCAAAGTGTCTTATTTATTTTCATTTCCCAAAATACATCCAGGTATGTAGCCTGTGTCAACCGCTCCCCTCCCACCCCAAAGATGAGCCCAATCAGCGACACAATAATCTGGATACCAGCATTAGAAGGAAAAAGGTTTGGGTGTAAATACCTAATTATCATAATTTACGGAAATTCATTTCATATGTTTGTGTGACGAGTCTACGTTTTATCAGGGACCATGCTATCCAAGAGCATGGATTATTTTTAAATGAAAATGACTGGAACCGGCACCGTCACTGACTTTGGTCCCAGTAGGAGCTTCTAACACCAATGGATATTCCTGACTGCTGCAGACCTGGCATCACATGGAGATCAGTCCCACTTCATCCAAACAGTGTCCTTTTGGTCAGTAATCAGAAACTGTTTCACAATTCATTGGACTATAAGATACTTGATGTGTGAAACCCTGTAAATATTCTTTTACACTCCATTAAATATACCTTGTGTATATTGTGATGAGCGTCCCAAGCCCACATCAGCGTTGCCCTGGAACCTACAAGGAACACCTGCTCACCACTCATCACGAGCTGAGTGGCCACACCTGCAGCTCGTCAGCTCCGCTGCATTTAAGCTGCAGGTTCAGAAGGAACAAGGAGGCCCCCTGGAGAAGACGTAAGGCTAACCCTCTTGTGTGTCATTGTCTCTCTAGTAAGCAGCGAGTGACCCGACGGAACCCCTGGAGCACTGCACCGACTCCCCCACGAGCGGATTCACCACGAGCACCAGGGTCCGCAAAACCTCGCAAGCTGGACCTCTCCTAATTAAACGGTTGTAAATAAACCTTGCCCTCCGGGGACTTCACTTGAGCTGTTGTGCAGTCTGTTCCTTCCACCCCGCCACACTGGTGGAGGATGCGGGCGTACTGAGTGGGAGGAACATCCGGAGGAAAACCTTTTTTTGTTTGTTGTTTTTACAAAACTAAATCTTTCGTTTTTTCGCTCGGCCCCCTAGGCAGCCACTCCTTTCCCGGCGACATGGATGAAGTCATTGCACGCCTAACGGAGATCAGCATGCGCCAGCAACAGATAACTGAACATCTGGCGACGCGACAAGGGCAAACTGAACAAGAGTTAAATGAACTGCGCACGGCTGCTGCACGACATGTCCCACTACCTGATCCCAGAATGAAGGTGACCCAGCTGTTGCCGAAGTTGACAGCTGATGACGATGTGGAATCCTTTCTCCAAATGTTCGAGAATACCGCAACCCAGGAGGGCTGGGACCCTGGTGACTGGGCACGCTTGGTCGCACCCCTCCTCACGGGGGAAGCCCAGCGGGCATACTTCATGCTGCCAACTGAACGGGTAGATGACTACAAGGAGCTAAAAAGGGAGATCCTAGCTCGGCTGGGCCTCTCACCAGTCTGCGCTGCACAGTATTTCCATGACTGGGAGTATAAGCCCCGCCTCCCTGCCCGGGCCCAGGCCGCAGAATTATCGCGTCTCGCGCAGCATTGGCTGCTGGAAGGAGATCCCACAGCCGCCCTTGTGACAGAGCGTGTTGTCGTCGATCGGTTCCTCCGTGCCCTCCCGAGATCCCCTCGTCAAGCCGTCGGTATGCGGAACCCTAGCACGATTACTGAGCTTGTCGAAGCTGTGGAACTGGCGGAGGCTGTCCAACACCAGGGTGCTGGAGAACGAGCTCCGCCGTTTCCCCGGAGGGTGATCCAGGAGCGACGCAGGCCAGAGGGCAACCCGCGGTCTGAAGGCAGGCCGGGGCCTCCTTCTCAAAGAGACGAATCAATGCCCACCGCAGACCCCACACCGGCTCCAAGAACCTGGCTAGCGGGCTGTATCCTACATCAGGATTTGCCAAAAGGGGCGCCGAGGGTGGACGTAGAAGTCGATGGCCGCCCGTTTGCAGCTCTTCTGGATACCGGCAGCGCGGTCAGCTTGATCCAGTCTCATATCCTCTCGCCCCACAGACCAACCAAGGCTACCATCCCGGTCACCTGCGTGCATGGGGACACGCGACATGTTCCAACCAGGAGAGTGACCATCTCCGCTGGCCCTGACTCATGGCCGATGGACGTGGGCCTAGTGAAGGATCTGCCGGTACCCGTCCTTATCGGTAGAGACTGGCCGGGCTTGGATCGCCTGCTGGCCGCGAACGTGCCATTTGCCAGTCCTCGACGGGCCCACCTCCAAAGGCGGCCAGGAAAAAGAACCCGTCATCGTCCCGTCTTGCTGGCCTCCGACAGCGGGAGAGATGGTGAGTCCCCACCCCCTCATTCTAACCTCTACCATGACCTTTTCCAACAGGTGACAGGAGGCGGGTCGTTTGCCAGGGAACAACGGGAAGACGACCGCCTAAAGCACTGCTGGGCTCAGGTGCGCATGGTTGAGGGAAAAGAAACTCAACCGGGGCCCCATCCTCTCCCGCATTTTGTCGTCCAAAACGGCCGGCTCTATTGTGTTGCACAGCGAAGGGGGGAAGAGAAGAAGTTGTTGGTGGTACCCCGAACAAAGACAGAGACGGTCTTCGAGCTGGCACACTCCCATCCCTTGGCGGGCCACCTTGGAGCCAACAACACCATTCAGCGGGTCCGCGACCGATTCCACTGGCCAGGATTGGACGCCGAGGTGAAACGATTCTGCCAGGCCTGCCCCACTTGTCAGAGAACATCTCCACGGACCCCTCCCCCCAGCCCACTGATTCCACTGCCGGTCATTGAGGTACCCTTTGAGCGCATTGGAATGGATCTCGTAGGGCCATTGCCTAAGTCGGCCCGGGGGCATGAACACATCCTCGTCATTGTGGATTACGCCACCCGGTATCCTGAAGCAGTGCCTCTTAGGAAAGCCACGGCCAAGGCCATCGCCAAGGAGCTCTTCCTTCTCTATAGCCGGGTGGGCATCCCCGCCGAAATCCTGACAGACCAGGGAAGCCCTTTCATGTCCCGGCTAATGGCTGACCTGTGCGCCCTCCTTAAAGTGAAACAACTGAGGACCTCTGTCTACCACCCCCAGACAGACGGTCTCGTGGAACGCTTCAACCAGACCCTGAAGCGGATGTTACGGCGGGTTGCAGATGAAGACAAGCGGGACTGGGACCTCATGCTCCCCTACGTGCTCTTCGGAATACGGGAGGTGCCTCAGGCGTCGACAGGCTTCACCCCGTTCGAGCTCTTATTCGGACGCCAGCCCAGAGGCCTCCTGGACGTGGCCAAAGAGGCGTGGGAACATCAGCCGGCCCCCCATCGCTCGGTGGTAGAGCATGTGAAGGAGATGAGGGAAAAGATCGACCGGGTCATGCCGCTAGTCCGGGAACATCTCGTCAAGGCCCAACAGGCGCAGCAACGGTATTACAATCGAGCCGCCCAGCCACGAGAGTTTCAGCCAGGAGACCGGGTCATGGTTCTTGTCCCCAACTCCGCCTGTAAGTTCCTGGCCAGTTGGCAGGGCCCGTACGCCGTCATCGAGAAGGTTGGGCCGGTCACGTATCGTGTCCGACAGCCAGGCCGGCGAAGAACAGAGCAGCTCTACCACATTAATTTGTTGAAGAAATGGGTGGGGACAAGGGACCAGCTCGCCGCCCTCACCACCATCGACTCGCCGGTAGTGGACATGGACGCCCAGCTGTCGGCAGCCCAGAAGTCAGAGCTGCAGCACCTGGTCTCTCAGTTCTCGCATGTGTTCTCCTCCAACCCCGGGCGGACCCAGATCCTCCAACATGAGATCCACACACCACCCGGAGTGGTCGTCAGGCAACGGCCCTACCGAATCCCAGAGGCTCGTCGGAAGGCTATTGAGGAGGAAGTCCAACACATGCTGAAGTTGGAGGTGATTGAACCATCCAAAAGCCCTTGGTCCAGCCCGGTTGTCATGGTACCAAAACCGGATGGCACCCTCCGCTTCTGTAACGACTTCCGGCGCCTAAATGAAGTGTCTGAGTTTGACGGATACCCCATGCCTCGAGTGGATGAGCTCCTTGAACGTCTGGGAAGGGCCCGGTATATCTCCACCCTAGATCTGACCAAAGGGTATTGGCAGGTGCCCCTTTCCGAAACAGCCAAACCCAAGACGGCTTTCACTACCCCCAGTGGACACTGGCAATACCGGACCCTTCCCTTTGGCCTACACGGAGCTCCGGCCACCTTCCAACGGATGATGGACATCTTGTTGAGACCTCACCAGTCCTATGCCGCAGCGTACCTGGATGATGTAGTTATCCACTCCGAGACTTGGGAAGACCACCTAAATCGGTTGCGGAGGGTGCTACTGGAGCTGCGCAAGGCTGGACTCACCGCCAACCCCCGAAAATGCCATCTGGGCCTGTCTGAGGCGAACTATCTGGGTTTCCAGGTGGGAAGAGGAGTCATCAGACCCCAGGAAAAGAAGGTTGAGGCAGTCCGCGCCGCCCCAAGACCCAGTACAAAGTCCCAGGTACGAGCCTTCTTGGGGTTGGCGGGTTATTATCGATGTTTTATACCTAACTTCTCCTCTTTAGCCTCCCCCCTGACAGACCTAACCAGGAAGGGTCAGCCAGAGAAAATCAACTGGACGCCCGAAGCTGAGGAGGCATTGAGAAAAATAAAGATGGCATTGACGGCAGAGCCGGTCCTAAGAGCGCCAGATTTTGGCTGTCCTTTCCTGCTGCAAACGGATGCTTCCGATACAGGACTGGGAGCTGTCCTGTCCCAGATTCAGGAAGATGAGGAGCATCCTGTCTTGTACCTCAGCCGGAAGCTGACCCCGGCCGAAAAAAACTACGCCACGGTGGAGAAGGAAGCTCTGGCCATCAAGTGGGCAGTTCTGGAATTGCGGTATTACCTCCTAGGCAGGCGATTCACTCTCTTTACAGACCATGCGCCCCTCCAGTGGATGGCCCGCGCCAAGGACACGAACGCCAGGGTGACACGGTGGTTCCTGGCACTCCAGGACTTCCACTTTGAAGTCCGGCACCGTTCTGGAGCAGCAAACTCTAATGCGGACGGCCTTTCTCGGATCTGGTCGGCTTTTGTAGGTCTGTCAGGGGTCACTCCCCACCAACCCCGTACATCACCCCTACTAACATCCTATTATTCCACCAGGCCAGGACAACGCTTAGGGGGGGGGAGTGTGATGAGCGTCCCAAGCCCACATCAGCGTTGCCCTGGAACCTACAAGGAACACCTGCTCACCACTCATCACGAGCTGAGTGGCCACACCTGCAGCTCGTCAGCTCCGCTGCATTTAAGCTGCAGGTTCAGAAAGAACAAGGAGGCCCCCTGGAGAAGACGTAAGGCTAAACCCTCTTGTGTGCCCTTGTCTCCCTAGAAAGCAGCGAGTGACCCGGCGGAACCCCTGGAGCACTGCACCGACTCCCCCACGAGCGGATTCACCACGAGCACCAGGGTCCGCAGAACCTCGCAAGCTGGACCTCTCCTAATTAAACGGTTGTAAATAAACCTTGCCCTCCGGGGACTTCACTTGAGCTGTTGTGCAGTCTGTTCCTTCCACCCCGCCACAATATACATGTTTAAGTTTAAACACTACTGTTAATGTTTGTGTTGTTGCTGAAAGCCAAAGTCAGGTGTTAATCACTCATGAAACATGTTGGGGTTTGTATCTTGGGGGTGTTGTAGTCAAATTGTTTGATCTGTTGTTAAAGGGAAGCTGTGTTTTAACCTTCCTTCTAAATCCATCTCTGTTTAAGATTGTCTTTTTATTGGAAAATAACTGCTTTGTTAAACTCTGAAAAAAGTCTCTTTTCTCTTTAAATGCATCATGAGATAAGTTCTTATTGTTTTATAATGAAAACCTGCATTGTGCTCAGTGCTATCTATTAAAATGTACAAAACATTTGCTTGCATTAATATATTTTATTTCCTCTAAGGCTTGACTGCTTCTCCATCAGTATTGTGGTTGTTAAGATTGTAATATCATAATTCCATGAGTTTATAAAAAATCATTTTTATATTTAAACTTGTTGAAGTCATCCAACCGAAGCACTGTGTTACTGAGTGAAGACAGTCTGAATACAAACAAATCAAATTCATTCCATAACCACAGTATGAATACATGTATTATATATATATATATATATATATATATATATTGTGACGACCCCTGCTGTGGAGGCAGCAGCCTTCCAATGGGATTTGGGTTTGGTGATTGAAGGCACCTGGGCCCGGTGCCCTGAGATTAGGAAGCCCCGTGTTCATTCATTCATTCTCTATTCGTTACTGACATTCACATGTCATCTGGAATAGTTGTGGCTTTTTCGTCGTTCTTATGTTAAATAAAGAATATGTTAAACCTCGTAAACCAGTGCAACTCCAATCTTGTCATGGCCCAAAGAGCCAGGTCGTGACAATATATATATATATATATATATATATATATATATATTAATAGTGTAATATAATTCATTTTTATTCCCTATAAAATGAATCCATTCGAATAAAAAGATTTCATGAAAAGACTTATCATCGAATTGGTGGCAGGGATAATCTAAGAGTGTACTATAATTCCAAATCATCCATAGCTACAGTTTATGTGTGGAGAGTTACTGTTTACAACCATAGTAGGTCTGAGTTTGCACTCATTTCTAATGATTATGATGAACTGAGCGGACCACTTGTGGGATCGTGTCAAGAGTGGCTCTGTCATGAGTTTACTATGCTATTACTACTACTACTACTGTTAATACTACAACAATACATAATTGTTAGATTATTACTATTTTGTTAATAATATTAATAATAATAATTAAAGCGACGGATGGGTCCACGCACGTCGGGGGACTGGCCTCACAGCTACAAACACGGCCAAGAATGGCCGCTGCCGTCGGACAAACTTCTCATCAGTGAACGTTAACTGTGTGGAGCAACACCAGGAATGACGCTTTCCAAACTTTATCTTTAACATTATCAGGGTCTAAAGTCTTCTGACAGCACAATGTTAAATTATCATATGAATATCTACAAGGTAAGGAGGTCATGAGAAAGATTAGATAATCTGCTCCATATTTCCGAGATAAAACAACTGCAATGTTAACGGCAAATAGTGGGGGGTTTTCGCTGCTTCGTGCTCACATAGTTCTATATCGTTTCAAGCTTTATACAATATTTAAAGACAACAGTGTCAGGATCACACTGCCCAAATTTTAAAATAATCGGGGAGGAGTTTGGCCTTTTACAACTCCAAAAAGCAATGAAAATAAGCAAAAAATGGAAGAAAATGGCAGATATTGAACGATTAACTGTAGCAGCCCGAAGTGATCAAATATTATTGATTCCTTTAAATGCCATGATTGACTTTTTTGTAGAGCATAATCAACAGCAAAACTGTGCCAAAAATCAAGTCAATCGGTTACAGGGGGAAGACACTGGGCAGTCCTGACATGCATTTCAACTTTTGGGATATAATAAAGCCCCCTAAAAGGCAAAACATCTTAGATAAGAATAATAATTCCTAGAAATACAATAGGCTACGACTAGTTGTTGCGAGGACCCTAATAATTACTTTCATTAAAAAAACAACAACAATAAAGATCAGGGTAATCCACAACATTATATTAGTTTAAAACATGCATTGCTCAGTCTGGAATACATGCCAAATGACAAAAGATGTCTGTTTTGACCACTTACTGGGTGACGTGGATGAGTTTGCTCCATCAGAGGAGGTGCTAGTGGCCTTTGACTCTGCAGCCAGAGTTGCCCTGGGTAAGGAAGATGGAGCGGGAGCCAGGGAGGGTGCATTTCCAGGGGGGGCCAACATCTGAGAGGAAATGTAGTGACTGGGAACTTTTCCTTGGTTGCCTCCATTCAGCTAGAACAATATGACATTCAAAAAAGTCATGTCAAATGTGTTGCAATGCTGCTATACTTTAATGTCCTAGATAATACATCCCAAACATTTTATAATTGATAAGCATAGTTTTCCAGCAGATATGCAACTCACCAAGTTAAACAAAAATGTTTGAGGCGGGTAGACTTCACAGGGAGCGCCACTGTGCATGTCCAATAAACAGAAATCAGTTCATGCTACTGGCTCACATTTGCACTAAGTGGTTGTTTTTGTAGTTGTATCAGGATCAGGAATCAGGAATCAGGAAACATTTATTTACCAAAATATGTCAAACATACAAGGAATTTGTCTTGGCCGTTAGTGCGCGACAGTAGACAGACAAGACAACAGTGCACAAGTAATAAAATAAAGTAGAATGAAATGCTAATGCAATGGGTTAGTAGAATAAGGCTAAGGCTATGGGTTAGTATAAAACAAGGGAATCAAGTTAAAAAAATTTAAATATTAAAAAGTTAAAAAGAAAAATATCAAGCATAAAGTGCACTAACAAACAAGTAACAGACAAGAGACAAAGTGACAAGTGACAAAGTGATGAATTGCAGTTAAAGTGACGTGTGCAGTATGAGGGGGAGTGACCGGTGGAGTGTTATAGTCAGTCAGTGGGGGACCGGCTCTGTTGATGAGCCCGACTGCCGACGGGAAGAAACTGTTCGTGTGGCGGGAGTTTGTAGTCCTGATGGACTATTGAGCTCTCACTAGTTCTATAAATACCAACCTGCAAATGCACTGTTTCCCCAACCATTATATAGGGGGGGGGGGGTGCCTCCCCAGGAAAGTTTTTTTTTTTGTGTTTACAGTTCTCCACTGCTCTCTGCATATCGGCGTTCATCTGTTATTCTAAGCTATTTTTGTCATTTCCAAGGTAGAATCCGTCGAGAAAAAACCTGTTCTACCAGTGAACAAACTCATTCAAGTTTAACATTAACAACATATTTCCGTCAAACTAGAATACCCATTTTCTTTTATTGTTTAAATGGCTCTGTCAAAAACTGGTAGATTGGTGTCTAGATCTGCAGCCAGGTCTAAAGTGCTGTTGATATTACACTCACGGCACCGCAACTTGTTTTTGGTTTATATTCATAACCTGACAAGAATTAAGCGTCTGCGAAGACATACAACTATTTGTGTAGTAATACGCTTGCTAAAGTAGTACTGCAGCTCCTGTGGTATATTCTTTGACTGTTTGTACTCACTGAGCTGGGAGCTTGATTGGCAGGGTCGCAGGCCAATGAGACCAGATCTTTGAGGGCGTCCTGGGCCAGATGAGGGGGATAGCGGATCGCTCCGTGGGGGAAGTAGGATGTGGGTGGGAAATGTATAGATGATGAAGGGTGGGGACTCCGAGACAGACCTGAACAGAGAGAGAACATAGCAAATGGCATTTGGTTCCTGTGTACATGTATGTTTGCGTTACAGGTCCTGACTGGGACCAAGTAGATGGATGGTACTTTTGGCAAAAACATCTTTGTGGGACGGACTTGAGGGGACGGGTGTTGTACACCGAGGATTTTCTCTTTCTGACGCGTGCTCTATGTCCGCTGGTGGGAAGTGAAGAATTCTAAACATTTGAGACTTTTAGATTATTAACATAAATTATCGCTAACGGGTCAACACCCTGGGATCGGCGACCCTTAATCAAACAGTAGATAAACTCAAAATGAATGTTCGCTCATGTCAGTCACACTCAGTGTACAAAAGTTGAAGTTAAATACAGCAAAATGTTAACGCCTTAGAAGAAAATATTTTTTACAGCACGCTACTCTCTAAACTTGCAGTATACTATTCCCTTTTCAGTTGACTCACATCATACAATCACATTGCATTAGTGTCTACTTTTTATCTAGCACATTCAACGTAAAGAAATCCATAGACATTGATCTGTGTACCGCTCTCCTTGTATGTATTGTAGCTTGGTACACAATTCAGCAGTAAGCCAAACTCCATTTAAAAGAATACCGGAGTCAGGATGTAGCGTCCAAGCTCCAGATGCTTTATTGTGCAGCACCGATGTACACGATTCAAATAAGAGTAAAGCTAAAACAGACAAAGGAACACAATGAGCAAGATGTGTATAAAATACACACAACAATTGAACTGTATGTAGCTCCTACGCTTCTGTAGCAGTCATCTGTATAGTGAAATAACAACAAGCTACAGACACAAAATTAACCTTTACCATCGACAAAAGTAATAAGATATTACTTTGTGGTCTATGCCAAACAAATACCCACAGACTATGCACTTTGAAAAATACAGTAAAGTCAGTCCGCACGTTACTTTGCGATAAGCGTATATATTAGAGATTACTCTGAAAAACGTCAACAACAGTTCTCAGAAAGTGACTCTGCTTTGGTTTGGAGAGGCATTAAACACCTCACACACTACAAGCCAAAAAAACCCCAATCCATGAATGACCTCCGCCTGGCAGACGAGCTGAACGAGTTCTACTGCAGATTTGGTAGTCAATGTCCTGACTTCATCACCCACAGCTTCACCAACCTGCCCCAAGACCCCCAGACCCACAAACAGTCGGCCTCATCAACAGAGCCCGGGTCCCCCGCTGACTGACTCTTACATCCCACCAGTCAGTCCCTTCACACTCCACTTTCACATACACTCACAATACAGTGTGTAGAGTATCGCTTGTGCACCTTATTTTCAACTTTTATTTTTAAATTCCTTCTTATCCTTTATTTTTAAATTGTCTCTTCTATATCCCCCTAGCCCATAGCCTTATATTTTATTCTGTAGAGTTAAATCGTAAATAAAAAATGTCATATAATCGTATCTATCTTGTTGTCCATGTCTTACTGCCTGATGCTATGCACCTACCGCCATGTCAAATTCCTCGTATGTCTATCATACGAGGAATACGATACATACATCTTGATGGTATTGTACAGTAATTGAATTACTTCAAATGTTTTTTTTTCCATTGAATGTGTTTGCCTTTGCTTTTATGAATGAATCCGGGTACCAACTTTGCCGCACCCCCCCCCTCCGACCGCACCGTTTGCTGGTCGGACCGTCAGCGCGGCCACCCCCCCGTCGACCCTCGACCGTAATGGTCTGACCCGCGTTTGGTGGAAATGGGCTGCATCTGGCCCACACCTGAAATGAGATGGTGGTGGTGTAGTATATTGATGAGCCAGACCGCGTTCACTTCTCGGCCATCAGACTCTGCCACAACGTACAGCGCATGTGCGCTACAATGACAATATAGAGAAGTGTTCACTGAGGTCCAAAAAGCATTTTGTACTGCTACAACGATATAACTTGATGTAGTCAATATACCACATTATCCCTCTTTTAACTGACAATACATCTCTAACATTCTTGACTAACACAGGAGTATATTCACACGTTTAACGAAACAATAAATGGCCTAAATTAAACAAACGTTTTGCAAAATTGGTCAAGGTGTGTGTGTGTGGTGTTCAGTTTGTCTGTCTGAGCCTGAGCTTAAGGATACAATCCGCTGTACGGGTACAGGCATATATCGCTCGGGTCGTTTAGTCACTCGGTTAGAGCGCCTCAGAACCAAAGGTTCTGGTTGCAGAAGCTCTGGTGTCGTTGAGTTAGTATCTACCACTCCGAGAACCGCAGCCAGCTTCACCATCACCAAGTTCAGCCGGTGACCCGCGGGAGTTATATGTTGTTGTGGTGGCGGCCGTGGTTTGGCTCAGTTGCAGAGGGGACGGAGAAGGGAGTGGTTCCGGGAACGGTGCCGGGGGAGGCATAATTGGCCTCAGCTGAGATTAATCAGTGTGTCTTCTACCTTTAAGTAGGAGAGATCCGGCGACAGCGAAAAAGGCTTGCGAAAGGAACTGGAGGCTCCCGCCTGACGCAACTCGTCATTTTGGGTACAGATTGGCCAGGGTTGGATAAGCTAATGGGGGGCTGCAGGGGGGCATTCCACGGCCGACAGGGTTATGCAAGATGTGTGTTGTGCTCAGCGGTGACGCGGGGGTCGTCCGACACTGCAGACGGGGGGGGCCCCGCGGAGCCTCCCGTAGAGACTCCGCCGGCTCCCGAGTTTCGCTCCATGGAAGATTTTCCACTGGAACAGTCTCGTGACGATACCCTACGCTCAGCCTACGACCAAGTGATACGTATTGATGGTCACCTGGTGCGCCCTGACGCAGCGCAGTCATTTCCGCACTTTTCATTGATTAGGGACAGACTGTATAGAGTGAGTCGTGACACTCGGACGGGGCAGGTCAACACTGAGTTGCTGGTGCCGAAAAGCCGCTGGGAAATGATCTTCCAGGCGGCTCACTATAACCCGATGGCTGGTCACATGGGATACGAAAAAACGCTAGACTGGATAATGACCCGATTTTATTGGCCAGGCATCCGGGGGGACGTGCGCCGCCGGCTGCGCGTCCTGCCCGGAGTGTCAGTTAGTGAACGCTCCGGCCATACCGAGGGAGCCGTTGCGTCCTCTGCCGTTGGTGGATGTTCCGTTCGAGCGGATGTCACGAGAGAATTTGCTTCAGGCCCAGGAGCGACAACAACGGCTGTACGACAGAGGAGCCAGGCTGCGACGATTCACACCGGGAGAAAAGGTACTTGTATTACTTCCTACATCCAACTCTAAACTCCTAGCCAAGTGACAAGGGCCCTTTGAGGTCACACGGCAGGTGGGGGACGTCGACTACAAGGTGGTGTGGTCTGACAGGGGCGGGGGTACACAGATATACCACCTGAACCTCCTGAAAGCCTGGAGGGGGGTGGAGTCTGTCTCTCTGGTCTCTACGGTATCGGAAAGGGAGGAGCTGGGGCCGGAGATCATACCTCGCTCCCTCGAGAGGCTCATCTCTCCGAGAGCCAGAGGGCGGACGTTGCCAGGTTGCAGGAGCGGTTTGCTAGCCTGGGTTAGAGAAGGTGTGCTGGGAAGCACAAGGTTGTTGGTTCGATTCTGGGCTGCCCCATGTTCCATGTCAAAATGTCCCTGAGCAAGACACCTAACCCCTAATTGCTCCCCGAGCAAAAATGTGAAAAAGCCATGGGTTTAAAGTGTAATGTAAGTCGCTTTGGATAAAAGCGTCTGCTAAATGACCTGTAATGTAATGTAATAAAAAGAGCAACAAGGCAAACAGTATTTCAGTGTATTGGAGGTGAAATTTAAATCCCACTGCAGACTGGAGGAGGTGTGGATACCAGACATAGATGCATGCGTATGTGTGGTGTATTAAATATATTTATGAATACTGACCACTGTGTACAGCTATGACTGGCCGGTGGTGCTGAGTGAAGGAGCCCAATCTTGGTGAGTCTTCCTGGGAAGAAGGACTTTCCAGCTCTGCTTTCTTCAATGGAGGAGACAGACCTAAAACAAAAACAAGGACCGACATATGGATTGGTGGTAGATCAGAAAAATCTGGACATTTTTTGGTTTAAAAGACCAACGTAACAGAAACTTTTTACATGACCTCCAGTGCCACACGCTTCCTCATATTATGTTGGCTTTATTATTCATCAGTGAAACTACATGCCTCCGACTTTTCCTTAAAACAGTACCGTCCTTCAATATATAAACATGCTGATGTTTGTTAATAATGAAAATTTCAGAATTGATCAGCAATTAGAGGCTGCTGAGGTTTTTTATGATGATTTTATGAATTGTCTGGTTGGGCAAAACCTATCCAGTCTGCTGCAACTCCATAAATCTGTGTTTTGTGTGTTTCCAGTGCTGGCGTTGGACTGCAACATCTGGGTTTAAAAGCAAAGCCAATGGTGATGTGCATTTTTTTAGGGGACAACTCCTCAGGTTGTTTAGAAGTCTATCAGAAAATATACTTCTCAGAGTTTTTATAGACACGACTAACAAAGCTTGGTAAAGTTTCATTAATCAATGGAGGCGTGTAAGACGTATGTCAGATATTCACATATTCCATCACTAATCGACGTGGGGCAAATAGAGCAACAAGGGATGGACCCAAATGCAGGTAAACACGGGGGCAGAAGGACATTTAACAGTAATTGTAAGGTAAAGCAAAACGAAGAAAAAACAACAGAATCAGGTAATGCAGACACATGCAAGATATATTAGCAGGAAAATAACAGGGAGCAAAGCAGGGAACATACCCGGAAGCGCAGCAGATGAACCAACACAGGGTACATCCCAAGTCTCTTATTTGTCATTTCCTTGCTCCTTGCTTGAACTGGAAGCTGTTCTGCTCCGCCATCCTAACGGGCACGCCAAAGCTTTTATTTCTGCTCTGAGGAGCGAGGAAAGAGGAGCGATGAAGGATCTCTGAGGAACCAGCAGCAAGGATGCACAAGAGCAGGCTTCCAGGAAGTGTTTTTGTTTTCATTGTTCATCAGTTATTTGATTGGATGCCGATTGGTCTGATCAACAATTCTACAGTTTTATACCATTGAAGACAAATGATGGATGAAAGATTTCTATTTGGTTTAATATTTGTTAACTGTAGGTCAGTCAAATTTCTTCATTTATTGGAAAGATTTTTATTTATTTCCCTATATAACTTTTATGGAGACAATTAAAGTCAGAGAGAGCTGGAGAGACAAAAACACTTTCTACATCACTTATCATAATAATATAAATTCATTTGAGTGTTCCAAAAGAAACATAATCATATGCTGGGTTATATTGTCGTGACAAATTTCAAAACCCATTGACGCAATAATTCGCTGTGTTCCAAACCCTCCCCAAGAGCGGCTCATGAGAGAGACAGAGAGCCAACCACATAAAGAAAAGCGAGAAAGACACAGAGCGACATGGAAGGAGAAGAAGAAATCAATACAGTCACGATGTGCCAAGATGTGAGACTGGTGTGAAGTGTAAATCACACGGTAGTCTGTTCCAGCTGTAAAAGGCCACGTGATCATCACAACAACAAAGAAAAATCAAAACTAAAAATTTAAAATATAAGGAGGCATATCTGTCCCTGGGCTTTACACACTAAGGTCGGCCAAGAAGGAAGACCCCAGTGTGTGTGTAAAACACAGACCGTAACCACTAAAGTGTAAACTGAAAGACACTTGGAAACCCACCACCCTGATCATGAGAACGTAATTCAATAAAAAAACATGTTCAATGTTCCTATATTATCATTATAATTCATTCATTATTATTATAAAGTCTCTCCAGCTATTAAAGCCAACTGACCAGCTGTGATCAGAAACCGATGCTTCACAAGACGATACTGAGGAGAGGACGTCTCCTTTTTCTTGAAACATATTCCCATGATTCGTGTCTCCTAGCTTCGTTTTCTTTAAATTCTCCATTCATCCCTGGCAGGGAGGGACTAAGACGCGAGGAAAAGAGGCACGTGAGGTGAGCAGGGATGCAGTAGGAGCCTTGGGATGTACCCACAGACAGGGGAAGACAGGGTTTGAGTACATGAGGAGGTGCAGCTGATTAGACATAGGAGGACTCAATCAGGGAAGCTGACAATTACTAAGGTAGGGAATTGCGAAATAAAAAAACGCCTGGACAGCATCTTGTGTGAGCTGTCACTTTACAAAAGCCACACAAACACCCACCTGATTGCTGTCAGGTGGTGATGTAATTCATGTTTCTGAATAAGATAGTGTTTGGTGATTTATTTCACCACGAGGATACATTTAACCAAACAGATTAGAATGATGCATCTCTAATGTTTATCAACTCTCCATGAATTAGAATTATTCTGTACCTCCTTCCATGTCATCAGTCCAGTTCCTGGAGCTGCTGGCAGGAGAGGAAGGCGAGTGGTAATACTCCCCACCTGGACTGTCGGCCTCCTCCTCCATAGAGCCAGACTTATGCCGCTTACTCCTGCAGACACATTCAAAGAGATGTTAGCAGAGAGCAAGAATATATTAATATATAATATATTTGGGCAAAAAGTGTCTTTTTAAGAAGCTTCTGCAAGTGCTCTAGTATCTACAGTAGAAACATGTGAAGCTTTGTGTCTGAATAGGAATCACAGCTGACATCTATGTTCCTGAATAAAGCTTCGGAAATGTTTGAGCCTGCTCACCTGTGTGCGCGCACGTGTGCATGTTTGTGTCCATCGCGCCAGAACTGAAAAGTGCAGCGAGGAGTGGACAATCGCAAACGTGGGCGGGGGCGCCAACCCCCCCATACAATGGTGGCGGAAACACTGAACAGTAAATAGAGTAAAGTGATCACCGCTCACAAGCCTTTCTGCACGGCCAGGCACTGCTGTGACGCTGAGTGTTGCTCTTTGTCTTTTAATCAACACCACGACTTGTGAGTCACTTATCCTGGTGGACTGGGGGCGAGCGGAGAGCACGGTCGTCCTCCAATCGGTGGATTGGTGGTTTTATTCCTGCTAACCCCCATGTCCAAGACACTAACATTGCTCCTTTGAGCTCCTGTGAGTGCAGCGTGAGAATGATTGGCACGTGAACTGTGTATGGAAGCTCCTGTCATCACGGTGTCATTGATGACATGGAGTGTTAAAGAGCTTTGAGTGGTTGGAAGACTAGAAAAGCGCTAAACTAGTACAGTCCATATACTGAGCCTTCCATTCATCTAGCCAACCATCCTTTGGCTTACTCATCAATTCACTCATTCATCCATCTACTCACATATCAACTTACTAATCCGTCCATCCTCTCACTCCGTCATTCATCCGTCTTTCTATTCTCTGCTGCTCTGAGGGTTTGATAAAAGTCTGTCAGTGTCACGGGTCTGGTCTGTGCCTCTCCCACAGCCTTTAGAGATCCACCAATCCAGCAACAATGCTTGATACACTCCAGTCTACGGGTAAAACTTGACGCCTAGCAATTGTTTGCTTGCTTGCTTGCTTGCGCACGTGCGTGGGTGAGCGTACACATGTGTGTGTGTTAGTGTGTGTCGGGAATGCGCTTACCTGCTGCATGAGGTGCTGGCCAGTGAGCGTCTGAGGCTGACTGGCTGGTTGAGGTCGTAGGCCAGATGACCCTGCAGCTCCCCCATAGAGAAACTAGGTCCTACTCCTGTGACTACTGGAGCTACACACAGACGCATAAATACTTGGATTGAGGGAAACTGTGATATTACGTTTCCCTCTTGCAAAAGTTTAAAGCTGAAATAATGTTCATTATTCTCACAGCAAACAAACGGTGTAGAAATGATACGTCATATTATCACATTCAGATGTAAAACACACACTAAAATGACCCAGATTGATTCACTTTTAAATCTCAGACATCTAACAAATTCCACAATCAAATCAGCCTTATCATTTATATGGATTTGATATCCCCTTTAAAGACTTAAAATAAATAATAATTTTAAATAATAAAAAAAAAAAAAGATGTGCGGGGGGGGGGGAAGTGTTTCCAATTACCTTTTTATAACTCTTGAAGTAGAAGTGAACTCCCATTATCGAGTCACAGACTTGACTTACATATTATAACAATAATGTACCAACTTCCCCAAGCTGTCAACCTGGGGGAAACACTGCATGGTCATGTCATATGGCAATAATCACCAGCCTCTTAGTGTCAATTATTTGTATTCCCATCTCTATCAAAGTTATAGTAATGACTGGGAAAGTTAGTTAGCACGTATTAACTGGACAGGATAATGTACCACAGTCCTTAAGATAGCTGTAATTAAATCTCTTCTCAAGAAACCTTCTCTTGCTGCAGAGGAGTTGGCTAACTACAAACCTAATCTTCCCTTCCTCTCGAAGATCCTTGAGAAATGCGTTGCACCAACCGCCAAATCAAATTCCTTGTATGTCTGACATATTATGGCAATAAATGTTTCCTGATTCCTGATCCTGAAATCACTTATGTGACTTTCTACAAAACAATGCTTTGTTCGAGGATTTCCATTGCTCTGGTATCCAGAGGCACCGTCGAGAATCTTGGAGTTCTCTTCGACCAGGATAGGTCTTCAACTCTCATGTAAAGCAGACTGCCTTTTTTATCTACGGAATATATCGAAACTCTGGAACTTCCTGTCTCAAAGTTCTGCATATCACTAATTTAGCTTCTTCCCAGGAGTTTGTTGTGCTTTCTCGACTCGCAGGTCTCCGTAGAACGTGGTTCCGTCTGGACCCTGGTGATATCTGCTACTGCTATCATCATCATTATTACTATTTTAAATATTAATCTACTATTACCGTATTTTCCGCACTCTACGGTGCACTTAAAAGCGTTTAATTTTTTTTTTAAAAACGACAGTATGCCTTGTAATCCGGAGCGCCTTATATATGGATCAATTGGTTAACTGGTTGATCCATACTGGTTGTACACGGTGCTCTGCCAAACATGCCAAAGGTCGGTCTACGACGGCGAGATGCTGAGCGGGCGCTCAAGCGCGTGAGATATGGAGCTTGTCTCGTCTGCGTCGTTGCTTCGACGCACTTGTTCCAATTCATGGTTCTAAAAGTCTTGCGTGTGTTGCAGAGCGATTCACCTCCAGAACAACAGGTGGAGTAACGTGTTTTGTTGAAGACGACCTAGAGAGTCACGTCTTTGTGTGTAGAAGTCGTTGGTTGGTTTATTTATGTATCATAGACTTTATTGCCCCGTGCATCCACACTGCTGCTTTTCATCAAGGACACATTTGTCCGATATTTTCCTCCACAACTTTGTTCCCCTCGTTTGTGGAGATCTCCCTCCATGAATCAGAGGCCATCTGCGCGTCCTTATAGTCCGCCAATGACGGCTTGTAGAAGTGCTCATATTTACGCATTTCTTCCGACAAAAGTTCTTTAATCTGATCCGTTCTCTCGTAACAACATTCTTCGTTTTAATAATGTAGGGTGACCAGATTTGAGAGACGTGAAAAAGAGGACACTTCGTCGAAGATTTTTTGAGCTGTCACCGAATCTGGGAAAATCTTTCTTAGCAAACCAGATGTGCAGTCCATTGATCTGTAGCTGTTGTGATGCTTTATTGTATGAAAAGCAAGGGTACCCTCTGCAGCCGTAACAGAAGTGTCTGTTTTACTCACATAAAAGTGTGTCACTTTACTCGATGAGCTCTCTCCTCTTGCTGCAGTTTTGTGTTTTGCAGAGTGCACGTGAGCTTCCAAATCGCTGCCACCTTTATTTGCCACTGACACGTAAGTGCCTGCTCTGCATGTCATGCACTCAGCTTCCAAAGCATCACGGCCGAGGCGAAAACATGGGTTGTTTTTTTTTTAGTTCGTCCGTAAACTTTTACGTTTCGGCATGGCAGCAGATGTCATGTGCTCTAAACAATGCAACTAGTGGAGGCGGCCAGGAGCTCAGTGTTGCCAGACTGGAAATGGTGAAATATCGTACCAAAGGCTCAAAATGGGCGTATTTGGAGGATAATTATCGTGTATCTGGCAACATTGAGATCGGATCCTGAAAGCACTTCCCCACATCCCCCACCCCATCCACCCGCCCGCCGTCAAACGTTTGACTGCAGTATCTTATGCGCCTTATAATCCGGTGTGCCCTATATATGAAAAATGTTCTAAAATAGGGCATTCATTGAAGGTGCGCCTTATTGGAATCATTTCTGTTATAGGAATTGAATGTATTGTACATCTTTTATATTGTTCATTCTATACACATGACTGTCCATCCCGGGAGAGGGATCCCTCCTCTGACGTTCTCCCTTTTAGGTTTCTTGCCCATGGAATAGTTTTTCATCTTTTGGGGAGTTTTTCCTGCGGCAATGTGAGGGTTTCGGGACAGAGGATGTCGCATGTGTAAAGACCGTGAAGCGCTCCAAAGCGAATTTGTAATTTTTTGCAATTTCTGACTATACAAAATAAAATTAATTGAAAGTTGAAATATTTGAAGTTTCCTAAATTTGATTGAATATTGTACTGCGCTGTATGGAATAGACAACTACAGAACTACCCCGTTGCCACAACTCTGTAATCCTACGGAGTAAAATGTCCCATGTAAAGAAAATGCAGAAACAAAAAGTGGTGAATGGTGGTGGGGGGTTTGGTAAAGATAGAGCTAAGGGTCCCACTTACTTCTTGAGACTTGGACCAGCTCAGTGACACTGAAGACGCCTGATCTCTCAAAGCTCTCATGGAACTCTGGACCATCTGGAGGAACACAACAGCATTCACAACGTCTGCTGTCTTTGATTATCGTCTCATGCAGTATGATGACATGTTTACCTTTCACTTAACTCTTTGTGGTTGTTTAGGGCATCATTCTTGTAGTGTTGGTTATGTACAAAGTGTTTCCTATGTGCAAATATTTCTTGTTCCTTGTTTCAATTTGTTGGTTTTGCATTGTTTAACATTAAGATAAGCCTCTCCAGTTGCTTGAGATACCTGACATGGGTTTTTAGGATAATGAAATCGAATAGCCTACAGAATATAAAATTTGGTTTATGAACCAAGAATATAAGACGGCTGTGCTATGCCGTCAGCTACTCGAAGTTCCCCTGCTGTTTTCTATACTTCTCATTAAATTGTACATGGCTGGCTACAAAATGTTTTGGTTCAGGGTGAATCATGACAACTGTTTTTTGGAGGGGGGAACCGTGGAACACTTTTTCGCGAGGCTGTAGCCTTGGACCAGCGAAACATTTGGACAAAAGGGTCATATTCTGTTGCAAGATCGCAACGAACTGGATTCGAACCGTGTCGAGCAAAATAACAATACGTTTCAGGGCAAGTCACCTAGCTGTGCTAGGTGGTCATATTTTCCTTTATTTCTCATTAAAATGTAAACTGTTAAATCCAGGTCAAAAGTTTTGTTCATTTGAAAAACAAATGTGAACATGAAAGTTTAAGTTTTGGTCTTGAACATTGAAAGATTACAACAATGTATTCAATATAAAAATAAGTGCACGAAAAGTATTTTCGGGTTGAATGTAGTTTTTACACAATTTTATAATTTTTTGGAATAAAACATGTTTTTTCATTCTTCGTTCATTTATTTTTTGATATTCAATGTATTATATTTATCAGTTGCAGTTTTTACATTTTCAGATTCAAATCTTATATTTTCAGATTCAAATCTTCAAATCTTCATTCAGACTTTTGAGCCTGACGTGGCGTAGAGGGCAGGGGATCAAATGGGAGGTTTTGGGAGCTTTTGAGTTGGTGTTTCCCCAACAAACTAGGTTCATCTCAATATAATATATATATTTGGCTTCTCATAAGTGTGATGGTGGGTCCCGCAGCCAGATCAGTTGAGAACCAGTGCTTTCCATTTACCCATGGTGGCGGTTCGACTGTCCTCCTGGTCAGAACCCACTCCGGTGCGACTGGGACTGCTGCTCTGCTCGGCCTCTGGGGAGGGAGGAGGAGAGAAAAGTTATTGAAAAGTGCTCTAATTGATTTGTTCTACACAATTCACAGCAAAAGATAAATATGATGATATGATGAACACATTTGCAGATTTGAGCATTATACCTGCTTGAGAAGTATTAAAAAGTGGGAGGAAGCATTAAAAATGTAAAAATACTTTTAAAATGGCACATAATTGGGCTTATTACTGCTAGAAGCTGCATTGTCATACCCTGCAATATTCAAATGAAATGTTTATAGAGAAAATAGTGTTTAATACAGATATAAGCTGATCATAGTGTTCACATTTGGTGTTGATATATCGTGGCCTTTGGAGCTGTAACACAAGTAGAAAGCAGTTTTTAGTGGGACAAGCCAGCAAGGATGCCACCGCACCTGTAACAGGTAAGGTACGACCCACAAGCAGTACGACAAAAAGTAGCCGTAGTCTTATTCAGTAGTCTTTATTTTCCTCTTCTTCTTCACAACCAACTTGAATAGGTGCATATCGCCACCTACTGTACCCTAGAGTGCAATTTCAGGGTAACCGTTTCATTACTGAGCTACTGATAAATTAAAAGTAACGTAAATAAAAATGAAACGAAATCCAACATACTAAAGCTGTTTCTTAAAGAAATTTCAGCAATGCTCTGTAGCACTCTTCTGCAGCCCTTCTTTGTTTGCTGCCAGAACTCCATCCAAACTCCATTTCCATCCCAACAAGCTCATTTTTGTTTCAAGATGTACCAGTCTGAGTTGTATCTTTGGAATGTTGGGATAGCACGCTCCATCTCTGTAACATTACACATGGTGCATTTATCTGACTCCTTTTCACCATTAAATACAGCGTTGAGTTAAGTCCTGTATGTCCGAATCTCAACCTTGGTGTTATGATCTTCTCTGTTCTTTTTTTCCTGTTTGCTGGTGAACTTTATTTTTAATTTGTAAATATTTTTAACTTTTTAACTTGAACTTTTATTCCTTTATTTTTAAAACTAACCCGTAGCCTTATACTACTAACCCATAGCATTATATTTTATTTTATTCTTCGTGCACTGTTGTCTTGTCGTCCATTGTCTGCTGTTACGCACCAACCGCCAAGTCAAATTCCTTATATGTCTGATTTATGGTAATAAATGTTTCCTGATTCCTATACTTTCCTTCTTTTGTCTTCTGATTTCTGAATGTTATGATAATGTTGTTATCCCACTTCTGCAATAAATCCCGTACTGCCTCTTTTTATTGATTTAGCTTCCCCATTTCCAAAAGGAATATTCAATATCTCTTGTCCTTTTAGTATTAGTGCTCTCTTTGCGATCATATCTGCTCTAGCGTTGCCATCTACACCCACATATGCAGGAACTCAGCATATTTGTACATTCATTCCCAGTCTTTGAAGTCTATACCAGGGGTTCTTAACCTTTTTGACCAAGTACAAAGCAGCGCGGGGTCCGTTAAAATATTAATACTGTCTTGGTTTAACAAATTGACATACAAATTTGAATTCAATAACTAAATTGAGGGTGCGTCGTGGCGTAGGGGTTAGAGAAGGTGTGCTGGGAGGCACAAGGTTTGTTTGCTCGATTCCAGGCTGCCCCATGTTCCATGTCGAGGTGTCCCTGAACAAGACACCTAACCCCTAATTGCTCCCTGGGCAAAAATGTGAAAAAGCCACGGGTTTAAAGTGTAATGTAAGTCGCTTTGGATAAAAGCGTCTGCTAAATGACCTTTAATGTAATGTAATGTAAATAAAATCCACTTACAGTTTGACAAGCAAAAACAGATATTGTTATCATCACAAGAACATTCATTTATTATCTGTAGGTAAACCTGTACATGCAACAATACCTAACAATTCATGGAACAAATAAAGTGAATACAATAATAATTTGAAAGGCTCAAGCAGGCTTAACATTAAAATAACTAATACTACTTTTACTACATAGAAAAACGGACACTACTCTACTAAAACCTCTCTGTATTTGTTCTGCTTCACTCAAAGTAAAATCTTTACACGCATATACTGTCCACACAATAGGCTAACATTAACATATAGGAGAGTTTCAGGTTGCCTCCTTCATGTTTTATGCAGGTAAAACCCCAGTAAGTACCTTTTGGTGAATCAGAGATAAAAAGTTATTTCTTCTGTGTTCCATAAAACAAATGTATAGATATATATATACACTGATATTTCCACATCAAAGCACACTCACGGGTGTTCCCTTTTATTGTGATATATATTTATGATGATGATTCCTGGTGTTTTAGTGTGTAAATGCAATTTTGAGCAGAGGCCTAAAAAATGCCTGGAGCAGAAAAGGTTAACGTTTTGCCAGTGATAATAGAGGTTAATAATACGCCGATCCAGGTTGGTAACTTTAAGGCGTGGGTTATTGTAATTCACCATGAGTTGGCTACAGTGTGACTTTAACAGCCAATGCCTACCAATCAGGCACTCAACAAGTTTTGCTTGCATCCGCAGGTAGGGGGCCAGATATCAGTTCACTTCAGGGAGCTTTAGACCTCCTTGCCACAGCGGAGCACACCGATTGTCTCTAAACAAGCCTCTTGTCAGGCTTTGTGCATTCTGTCAAACTGGATCCAGGAGAGGACAGAGGAGACAGCTAATCTCTTATCTTAAACCTTCAAAATTCTTTACTCTTAAGGGGTGAATATCAATTATGAGACTTGATTTATGGTATTGGTTATTAGTCCCTGTAAGCTCAGGGTGATGCCCTATTATTTATCTTGTGAGTTATCATGATTTTTAATAATTGTATTGATGTCAATAATGTAGTTTCATACTTCCCAAAAGATAAGATAGATGAAATGAATCCAAAATTGGAAAAAATGAAATTTAAGCTCTACAATGAAAATGATACTATCCCACTATCTGAATGTTGTCCAATTTAAATCCATAACTTCATGGCAGCAGTAGGCTTTTACGGCACCTAATATTACCACAGATTTACTCCATGTTGTTTTTGATTTTTTTTAAATCCTAAAATACCTGGCACAATGCTAACCCTCAAACAAGCATACAAATAAAGGAAACAAATGTTTAGATGTATTTTTGTGGCTGTACAGTATCGTGAATCCGTATTTTTGTTTATCCTCAATGAAAGTTTGTGTTGGTTCATACCTCTCTCTTGCACATAGTAAGCGAGGTAGAGGTCCAGCTCTTTGACAGAGATAGAGATATGTCTCGGCTGGACACAGAGGACTGGATTAGAACACTGGCCTCCCTTGACCAGTCGCTCTCCATCTGTGCTTTCCAATGGGATTCCTTTAAACAGGATGACCATCACCAAGTCCAACCTCCACACCTTGAAACAGAGGAAAGACAATTGTTGACTGAAAACAGCATTAATCAAATTGTAGCCAAGGTGAAATTGGTAACACGCCATAACAATCCCTGCACCCACAGACCAAGGTGAACGTCTGAACTTACCTAAAACTATCCAAAATAAAACCCAAATCTCTGAAAGTAAATATCTCCCACTTTGATTTCAATCAAAGCTTTTGAGCTTCAGAGAAAATGTAATAGTACAGTTCCATTAATTTAGTATTCAGTTTGTCATTTATAATTTTGATTTTATATTACACTGTAACAAATGCCCCCGTATATTACTATAAAAATAAAAAAACATTACAATACAGTGCTGTAAAGAAAATACATTATACTGTTATTTTAGTGTAACAGTACTGTAATGTACTGCAATTACCTTAATTACTGTAAAATGTACTACAGTACTGTGACACTGCTAGAATTTAACATATACATTCAACTGTATTTTGAAAAATACAAATCCTGAAAAGACCATATAAAATTGGATTTATTAATGCAAGTGCAAACATATTCAATGGCAAAAAACATTTGAAGTAATTCAATTATTGTATTGATACAATCAGAACGGAATACTGAACTCGTTCAACAATTTTGCAACAAATACAGTTTGTAAAAGAAAAGGTCTGTAACTGCATGTTTAGGGAAGTGAACAGAACACAATTTTAAAAAGTTTTCTGTCACCCTGACGTCATCAATGGAACCGGCTTTGATGCAGACACATTGCGACTAATCAATGAAAGCTACTAAGATCCTGAATCATGCATTATTCTAGAACTCTCAGGCCACGTCCCACCTGGTTTTAATGTTGTTGACTACCTGACCAAAACAGAGTTATCTCATCAGTAAAAGTTCACTTATGGCTGAGAGCATCAACCAGAGAAACGGCCCACAGGACGGCCCAGATAATTCCCCAAAGGTCTAAGGGAGAGCGGACTTTGGCCACGCAGAGGATCGTCTTACTGACGAGTCAAGTGATCGAACTAGAGAAAGGTCTTTAGCTCCAGCTTCCCCCTCTTCGTCTTCCCTCCGTAATCCATCTCCCTCAACAAATTGTCTTGCGAACCTTCAAGAGAAAGAGATGACCAAAGCTCAGCAGACCTTGAGAGACAAGGGAAAGGAATCTCCAGTTTGAAGGAGAGTCTCCGAGATCTCCAGAAGATGGTCAAAGATCATGAGGCAGAAATTTTTTAGGGAGGCAGATCTCCTGGATTCCACCAAACTCAACCATGAGGAGTACCTCACTGAGAGCAGAAGTCTCTTCACGAACAAGATATCAAAAGTCCTCCAAATCCAGACAAACTGAGCAACAGTACGAGACTCTGATGGAAAACAGAGAGACACTCTGAGGAGAGCCTTGTGGGCTGAGCAGGCCACGTGCCAGCAGCTGTTCTATCTGGTAGGGACGCTGTCACTTTTCCTTCAGAAAAGCTGGACTTAAAGGATGGTAGAGTTACCACCTTTTGATTCACAAGCCATCCTCAATTCCGGGCCCTCTCCCAAAGAGAGGCAACACCCTCGACCCACCAACGGCAGCTCAGTCGAGGAGGAGCAAGAGCCTCTTTTACGCTTGAAGGTCTGGTTACTTTTGTGTTTCATAGCTATTCATTTTGTTGAGATTATGTTTTGGGGGGGCAACAAACTCATCTCTTCGAAAAATGGCAATTCCTGGAGCGCCAAATATTAAATCAAATGTCTTTCTGACAAAAACAAAATCCCTGGGGGGAATAAATGTTACATAATGTTGACTAGAAAATATTATTATTTCTCCTTTGAAATTAATTCAAATAATACTATATGGGATATTCATAGTACCGCACCTCTCCTACGGCCTGATTTATAAAATGAATAATATGTCTGAAAACCCCATTCTATTTACGTGTTCATGTTCTGATGGGGTGAGGCTCGTTTCAAATGAGCCCGAGAGGAGGTAAATGCCCCCATAGAGCAAGGCAAGCCAATTGTATAGCACATTTCAACAAGGCAATTCAACGTGCTTCAATTAAAACTATTAAATACAGGAGATTCATAAAAGACAACCTTGATTAATAAAGAAAAGAAAAGAAAAAAAAGAAGAAAAGACGTTAAAAATATAATAAAATTTGCAGTGTAGTTTAAAATGCAGAAATTCAACTAAAGGCAGGAGCAAAGAGAAAAGTCCTTAATGTGGATTTAAATGAGCTGAGGGACTCAGCACGCCTGCAGCTTTCTGAGACTCACTAAACGTTTGCTTCTCCATGTTTAGTTTTGACTCTGGGAACAACAGTAGACCAGTGCCAGACATCGAAGGGTTCGTGGCGGTTCAGCAGGTATCAGCAGATCATAAATATACTTTGCAGTCATGGTCAACGCAGAATGCTTATGCGGTAACTCCCGAACTTGACCACTTTTGTTCTGGGCTTTGCCTGTGGTCTGTTAGGCTTTGGTGCCAGTGCTCGGTGTGTCCATTCTATTCTGAGGTCTCTGTCCCCCTCTCTATCTTCGGGGAATCTGTAAATCCTCAAATTGTCCCTCCTCGCTGCTAGATTAGCTTGGTGTTGCATTAGCCGCTTAATTAGCGTTGATGTTGCTTGAAGTGCAGTCTCGGTTCCATCTATTCTCCCCTCTGTCTCATCCAGGCTGTTTTTTTACTTGCTTTAATTCTTGTTTGATGTCCCCTAGTTGAACCGTGCTATCTTCTGATGTCTTAAAGTTCATTGCCTCGGAGCTATCCTCGTCATGTGCGCCGCCCCGGCTAACTTGTTCCAGTTCGGGATTGTATTCTGTCATGTTTGTGGTCGTCCTACTTCTGCCGATAACCCCTTTCTTCATTATTAAACAACTGTTGGACTGCAAAACAAGTTTTTTGGGATTATTGAGAAAAAAAAACAAAAAAACATCAAGGAACTCGATATTTAGGCTGTCAACCTCTTAGTGGCGGAAACGGAAGCCATTTTGAAGGGCTTTCATTTTGAAATGCTACATCAGAATGTCCTGATGGACCCTTTCCATGTGAGGTGAACTGGCTCATTGATGACATTTAGAAGGAAGTCGGCTCATGAATGAGATTTAAGGGTTTTCAATTTGAAATGCTACATCAGAATGTCCAGATTATCCTTGAGTGACCCCTTAAAAGCCCTTTAAAATCTCATTCATGAGCAGTTTCACCTCAAATTTTAGATTTAGCTTTGAAAGGAAATAGTCCACATAAATACACAATAATTTCACTACAAGTAAATATTACAGTTCCTCAGAGGTTCACTCATCAGTAATCTGGACATTCTAAAGCTTTCCATGCAGACAGACTGAGGAGGAAACTTTACCTTGTCAGCTTGTCGGAGACAGTCTATGCGTCTCATTTTGCCTTTCTGGTCAGGGTTTGACAGGACGCAACAAGCAGGTTTTTTCCCGGTGATTGACAGAACAAAGTCTTCTCTGCATTCAGGTCTAATGTCCTTTCTTAACTTGGCCAAAAGACGACTGGCCCACTTCTGTTTCACCTAGGAAGGGATGATATTTCAAACGGAGATGGAAAGAGAATTCATTTATTGAAAACATCGGTTATTGATTGTAGTATATAACATGTGGGTCTGTGGGGGTCCCGGAATAATGAGGATGCGGCTGAGGGTTTCAGTGTACAGTCTTTATTTTATCGTTTTTACAGCAAGACCGGCTCCAGCCTCCTCGCCTCCTTCCTCGCTGTCGCCGGATCTCTTCTACTTAAAGGAGGAACACAAACACTGAATAATCTCAGCTGAGGCTGATTATGCCTCCCCCGGCACCGTTCCCCAAACCACTCCCTTCTCCGTCCCCTCTGCAGCCGAGCCAAACCACGCCCGCCACCACATAGTATTAAAACCTCTTGAAAACCAGGCCATTGATTAGGCCCCTGCTCAAAAATGGCATACCCATAATAAAAAGGGCCTTATCTCTGGAACTACTATGTCTATCTGGATAAATGTGCCATCCGGATAAAGGGGAACATCTGTGGGTGTAATCTGATGTGAAAATATAAGTATGTATGTATGTTACAGATTCAGAAATAAATGAAGATGTATGATGAATATTTTCAGAACTGCCTGAAAGAAATCACTTTAAAAAAAACCATCTAAGTCATAAAAAGCACACATCTAAGTCCTAGCCCAGTGTGTGGACAGTATTGGTGGAAAGTTTTACTTTGATAGTGATGATATAGTAAAGCAAAACACCATCTAGAGCAGGGGCGCCCAAACCTTTTGCAAAGAGTGCCAAATTTGCTAAAGTGAAGATGCCCGGGGGCCAATACTTCATACTGACATTTTTTAAACAACAAAAGTTACATGAAACTACACACTGTTATAAAACAACTTTCATAGTCACAATTACCTTTATTTTTCAAATGACAATGTGACCAAATGTAAGCCACTCGGGAAGATGTGGTCAACTCTACAAACACAATTCTGCCTTTCATTCAGTCAGATAACATTGAACAAACTGAATAAGAAATAGAATACCGTACATTTAAATGAGTGAAATATCTTAGCCTCGTGAACATTGGTATCTAGATTTCACTAGAGAGACCAGGTCCCGCTTGAGGACAGTGGTTGAGATGCGTAAAATGTCAAGCAAGTGCGAGTCACTCATCCTTGACCTCAATCGGTTGTAATTTAGGTTCATGACTGAGAACGTTTGCTCACACAAATATGTGGAGCCGAATGAGCTCAGCCTTTTCTTAGCGAGTGACCGCATTTCTGGAAACCTGCTTTTGTCCAGCTGCCGGTAAAAGTCAAGAAGAGAACACTGGTAGTGTTTTCCGCGGCAGTCATCGTCACACTGCAGCTATATGAGCTCCAGCTGCAGCTGGAGAAGAGAAAAGCAACATGTCCTTTTCAAAAACTGCAAAATCCCAAAAGCGTTTGTTGAATTCCGCAGAACGACAGTGCTACGACCGACGGGGAAGTTTGAAGAGGAACCAACGCGGCCCGGACCGATTTTTTTTATTTTATAGCGTGAGGAATTGGATGTGTGGCGTGAGTGCGTGTGAAAACATGCAAAAGCAAAATAATCACATCCAGGACCTGGTCCAACCCGACATCCCGACCCGCACTCTCCGCTCTGCATGTGATAAACTGCTTGTTCCTCCTCACTGAGAGCAAAACACTCGACTAGATCTCCACTCTTTGCTGTCCTGCTCCTAAATGGTGGAAGGAGGTCTCTGAAGACATCAGGACCACAGAGAGCCTTCACATCTTCAGACTAAAGACACACCTCTTCAGAGTCTACCTCCACTAACACACTAACTAACTGTAGCACTTACATTGTACTTATAATGCCCCTTATCTATGGCAAATTGTAAATAGTTGCTTATTTGAGGAAATTGCACTTTCTTGTTTCTTGTTCTTCTGAGTTTGTGTCCTTATGGTTGAAATGCACTTATTGTAAGTCGCTTTGGATAAAAGCGTCAGATAAATGACATGTAATGTAATGTAATGTAATCAAATGCCACTCTTCTGTCCCCCAGTTGTCTCTGAATGTCCTCAGCTCTCCATGCAACAGAGTTGCATGCCAGGCAAACATTCATGAATTCCTGCTTCTTCTCAGGGCAAATGTTCTCCATCATTTTCATGACGCACCTTCAGTAAAAGGTTTGCCATCTTTAGCTATTAACAAGGCCACTTCGTAGCTGGCTTTGGCGAGGTTTTCGTTTTACTCACAGGCCCGCATGAAGAATTGCTGTTGCGATGCCAGAGCAACATGGAGTTGCTTCACTTTTTCAGCGCGGTCACTCCCGGTTAGCTTGTCATATGTTGTAGCATGTTTAATCATAGTGTCTCTTTACGTTGAAATCCTTAAACAAGGCAACAACAACAACAATCTCTTTTAGACAAATTAAATTGGACAAACACATTTGCCTCGACTTTCAGTGAAGTATTGTAATTCCCACCGCTCCTGAAAGCGGCGGCCCTCACTATCAACTTTTCAGAGAGAAATTTTACGCATTTCACAATGAAAAGTTCATTTTAAAACCAAGGCAGTTTAATATCTTCATTTATTCATCCCACCTCTGCCTTTTCCCCCAGCAGTTCATCTTTGACAGCTCTCTCTTCTTCTTTTGTCATCCTTTTCTCATGTTTTTTGAAGTATTTCCTTTTCCTGGCCTGGAGGTTGAACCATGTGTAGGAGAAGGCACGGACCTGGGGCAGTAGAGCCTCAATGAACGGATGGAACTCATCCTGCGTGACAGACAGATATGAACGTAAATACACACACTTATGAGTAAGAAAATCAACTTTTACCACACCATCCACATGAGGCAATATAGTCAAGTTTCCCGGGCACTTCCGGTTTACTTCCTGTTTCTGCCAAGAACTTCCGGCGCAGGCTGAGTAGTGGTGTAAAAATGGCTTTGGAATGGCAACATTCGACCGAAAATCTTGTTAAAAATGGTGTTTTGACCATTCCGCATCCAAGTAAGGTAACATCATGGGCGGACAACATGTCGATATGGCCCAGCATCACAACATCTTTTCTTATTTTATTGATTCCATGGCGGTGGATGGGAATGCAATTAATAACCTGAAAAGCTCAGAGGCGTTTCAGTACCTCCATTCCGACAAAGTGGGCTGTGTACTTTTACACAATATGGGCATATAAAGGCCGATGTTCAACCAAGCCAGTCCATTAACAATTCAGCGCATTACGCCTGGGTTTTGGTTACCAAGACGGGAGATGTGCAGACTGCAGGCTGTACCTGTAGCCATGCAGCCGCCGCGCTTTGGAAGGTACGTTAGCCCATCTTATGCTTGTATTAAGATGTTTGTATGTATCCGTGTGTTAATATATAACAGAACACGAAGAGTAATAAAAAGAAAAAGTAATCCCCTCTAGCCTGCCTGCACTAAAAGCATTTAACCCTTCAAAGTCGACTGACGAGCGTCAAAGTGCGCACCCCTGACATATCTATTAATAGCTTCGGAATGGATAAAGGTATTAACTTACTTTTTTTTCTATGAAAAAGTAATGCGTAATAATTAGTAGACTGTGTTGACTTTGAATGATAAGCCTTCCGTATTTGAGTGCAAATCTATAGCATTTTACTCACTTGTAGATGGTCGAAACATTCTCCTTCCGACCAAACATTCAGCAATCGCCACGAGTTGTTGCAACCGTGAACAGCACAATATGTCCCGGAGCCGTGTCGGCGTCTAACACCATCCATAGTTTACTTTTTCTGCACACTAACCAAAGACCAGAAAAGACGCTAACTCGCTAACCGGAAGTGCTTTGCAGACACAACCGGAAGTCGTTGGCAGAGTGAAAGGCCAATGGCGGCCCGCCTATTTCACTCAGGAAACTTGTCTATATAGGACATGTTGCAGCATGGTCATCCATCTTAACACACAGATATACATCAGTGGCAATCAATATACACTTCACTTGCTCTTTGTGCAAATACTGCATACTATAGACTACAGACGGACTGTCTGTCTTTTAACTCTCTTAATTCGAAGCCTTTCGCCGGCGACGGAAAGTGACATGGAGGATTCAAATGACCGTGACTCATTAAATATTTGCACAATCGGATTCTGAAAGCTGAGAAATGCCACAGCAGAAAGTCACGGAGAGATGGCGATGTTCTACGAGTGTCTTAAAAATGTCCTACTAGTGTTACACCATTGTTTTACCAGTGTTTTGTTGTTCAATTATATTTAGGTGTTGTACATAAGGGGGAGGGGGTGCCGCAGACGCTACGGCCGGTGGACGCTACGGCCGGTGGACGCCGCGGACGCTACGGAGGGGGTTGCCGCGGACGCTACGGCCGGTGGACGCCGCGGACGCTATGGCCGACACGGCTCGTGGGACCGGAGTCCTTGGCGTGAGGAATTGGATGTGTGGCGGGAGTGCGTGACTGTCTCGCTCAATGCGTGACACTTGAGAGCCCTGCATCATTTCCTGTTAACAGAATCAATACTAATCCGATAGAATCCATTTAAAATCCACAAAAGCTACTATACGATATCCTAATATCTAAACAAATAAAAACATTCCTTGATGCATGTGAAGGGGGAGGTGTGTGTATGCGCGTGTGTCTGTGAGATAAGGAGGGGAGAGCTCAGGAAGGGAGCTAGTTGGAAGCTAAACAAGTGACCACATGGCTGAGGTGTTAGCAAGCCAGCAGGCTGTGTTTCTGTTACCACGTGTGTTCCTCACATAGTTCAACTTCTGTCTGTAGGTAACTCTATTATGTGTGGAGGGACATGTGTATTGGTTAGTATATAAGAAATCAAAGAGAGAGGAAAGCTCAAAGAAGATCTTATTTGGAACAGTGAGGCACGATAGAGTCATGCAGTTAAGGCTGTGATTGGTCTGCTAACTACGTCCTTTACGGAGTCTCACAATTCTGTTTTCATAGCACGATACCGACATTATTAAAACGAAGATTTTTTGCAAGAGAACGAATCAGATCAAAGAGCTTTTGTCGGAAAAAATGTGTAAATATGAGCACGTATACCAAGCCGTCATTGGCGGACTATAAGGACGTGCGGACGGCCCTCTGATTCATGGAGGGAGATCTCCGCAAACGTCAGTTTGCCGGTCGAGAGATGCACAAAGTTGTGGAGGAAAATACGGGACAAATGTGTCCTTGATGAAAAGCAGCAGTGTGGATGCACGGGGCAATAAAGTCTATGATAAATAAATAAACCAACCAACGACTTCCACACACAAAGGTCGTCACTCTCTAGGTCGTCTTCAACAAAACACGTTACTCCACCTGTTGTTCTGGAGGTGAATCGCTCTGCAACACACGCAAGACTTTTTGCTCTGATCGGGTGCTATTTTAATTAATATTGATACAAAAAATATGCAAAACCATATAGTTTTTTAACATACAGGTGCAAGATAAATTCAGGGACGTGTTACTATTAAAGGAACATGAGTAGTAACACTTTTTCTTTACACACTATGACGACAGCACTAAATGCTTGTTGATCCGTGGTTCACAAGTAATCCAAACCGTGAGGGGTGATGATGATGCAACCAACACTATAGTAACACCTACAGCCTCATCTTCTCCTGAAAACACAGCAGAGGATGAATGTTAACCCATTTATTACTAAGTGGTATCACTCATTCCATTCCAGAGCATAACTGCCACAACTTGCAACGCAGTTACTTCGACATTTAACATGTTGTTGCAAAACAACAAATTAACGACTGTTTGTAGCTGTACTTGGTTTATATTTGTAATCGTATGGCTACTTCTTTTAGCTCACCTAAGCTCATTTAGTTAATATCAGATGGGCAGCGGCCTGAAGGAATGCGTATTTGAAATGTGGCTAAGATGCATTGTAATGTTGAGAACCCATATAAACCATAAAACGACTGTACTTGGTTAGTATTTATATATATATATATATATATATATATATATATATATATATATATATGTGCGTGTATGTTTGTTTATGTGGGAATGTATGTATATATAGATGTAGTTACACCTTTTGAAGACCGTAGTTATTGACCTATTTAGTGACTAGAGTGAGTGCTTCTATCAGGTGTAAACAAGTGCAGTGCACATATTATAGGTTTATAGAGGTTTTTGAAACCAGATTTTTCCCTAACTTTACAAAACTTTTGTGAAATGTAATTTATTTGTATTCTTTCACACCAGTTTAGTCATCATATGAATTCACTAATAAACCAACGACTGCTTTAAAGATTTAAAGCACATTGGATAAAAAGATTTTGTGTGCCATATTATCCCCTCAAAAACACCTTCACCCCAAGGATGACCTTCCCCGAAACATCAAAAGCAGTAGGCCGGCATTGTGAACTTCTTGTGTGGAATAATTTGACGTCAATTTGATTTACCTACCAAAACAAACAGGCAAACGTATAGAGACAACAACTTCCTTTTACCAGTAGGTGGCATGTGACTATGATTACAAATTGACGTTTAGATACGTGAGATATATAGAACCTATGCCTATTGCCACTGTGTGGCTATATTAACATTTTTCTTTTCATTTGAATATCTTCAGGGTCCGGATACTATGACATCTGAGAAATTTGGAGAGGACCATAAATGGATGATTTACAAGAACTTCCTGTTTTATGGCAAATGGTATTTTTCCCCCACCACCCCAGGGATACGTAGTGTGATAAATGTATGATGTTTTGATAATCTTTGGCTGCCACGGTAAGAATAAAAATAATAAAAAAATAAAAATACTTTGCTAAATCAACCATGTTACCATGTTACAACCATTCTCAAAACAATGGCACGTTGTGGCAGCTGCAACAACTAAAGGACCGCAGAGAGCCTTCACATCTTCACATCTTGTAAATTGGCTTATTTGAGGAAATTGCACTTTCTTGTTTCTTGTTCTCCTGAGTTTGTACCCTATGGTTGAATGCACTTATTGTACGTCGCTTTGGATAAAAGCGTCCGCTAAATGACATGTAATGTAATGTAATGTAAACTAAATACAAAACTAGTAAATATATGTTTTGGGTCTATATCTGTGAATGTCCATCTGTGGTTAATAATAGCTGCAATGATAAGATCAAGCTCTATGAGATCCGGTTCTTCCTACTGCCTCCCCTCAACTACTGGCATGTTGAGAGAGAAAAACAGTATAAAGAGTATATAAAGATCAGCATACAGTACCAGTCAAAAGCTTGGACACACTTTCTCATTGAATGAAAAATGTGTCCACTCACAATCCATCTTATCAATATTAACAATTTACATTCCTTCAGGCCACTGCATGAAAGTGTTTATTGTGGCAACAACTTCTAACTGATGTTAATTTAGCTTAGCAGAACTAGAAGGTTAGTCATTGTATCAATTATCAACGTTTTCTTACCAAACCGATTACAACTAACAACACTCGTACTCATGAGGCCTGTAGAGCTATAGTAAAACTGCAATGGTCGAGCCACTGGTCGAGGCACCTCTCCCCAACAGTTGAGACGCCACTGCCACAAAGTCGAGGCAGCTGCCACAAAGTCGAGGCAGCTGCCACGACTTGCTGAGGCACCTGAGCTTGCAACGGGTGCCTCAGCAAGATGCCTGTAGCACAATTTGCACTAGCTCCTACTGCTAAAACAAGATGACCCAGGTTAAGAGGTCTCCCAGTCGGTGTGCGTAATACCAGAGGATCAAAAGTCTGTTTCAAAACAGGTCCATGTGTCACGTGATACAGCTAACCGCAGAGATGTACAGTGGGCAGCTAGCAGCGTGGTGGGGGGGAGACACTCTGTCAAGCCCCCTGATGGAAAATAAATGTACAAACACAAGCAGAGTAACACAGAGTAAATAATTTCATGTTGATGTTCTCTAAAAAACATTTTAATACCACGGTCTGGGGCCGTCTATGTGCTGCAGCCCTCGAATAACTGCTGCTTTTAGGAAGCCCCCTCCTGCTTGGAGCTCTACGGTTACTTAAAATGGTTTGAATGAAGCCATTGGTCCTTTTAGCTTTCTTTCACACACACGGCATCAATAAATGCAGACAGCTCCATGTGGGACAGGCTGTGCAGAGCACACCGAGAGCCGTGCGGGTTACCTGAGCCCCCGCGAGAGGAGAGAGCATGATGCGGATGAATCAGACCAGGCTGCACAATCCTGCGTGCTCGTCCCGCTGCACCTCCGGGTTAGAGACAACGCTGCACTTCCTGGAGTCTGCGAGCGGCCCGCATAGTACACTGCTCCTCTGACGCGCTAACCCCACGAAAGTTGGGCTCCAGAAAAGTGCTCGCGGGGGAAAAAAAGTTCGGAATTGTCATTCTGTGGCGAGAATGGCGGACGGCGTCGTTTCGAGAGTGAAGGAGATGAGGGAGCGAAGAATAAAAGAGGGAGAGGTGAAATGACGTTATGAATTGAGCCCATCCCAAAAGGGCTTAAAGCCGCAGCAGCTGCTGCACTGAGCCTTCGAACATCCAGGCTGCCTTGCCGAGGTCATCTCAGGATTCGCGTACACACACACGCGCGGAGGTGCAACAAAATAATTGGTCAAGGGTAAAGATGGGTGCCAGAGAACTGCAGTCCGCTGTGGACCACATCTCCACAGCGGACTGCACTCTGTCGAGTGAGCCACCGCCCGAAATGAGATGCACCTCTATTCACAGTGTTACGGTACGGGTGCTTGTACAGCCGAAAAGCACGGGGACATATTCAAGTACTTATACTTGGCCCATATTTAAGCAATAATTTGTCCCAATTATTAGAAAAAAAATGATTTTGTACATTGTATAAAATAGTATAAAAGTTACACTACTGTTTCTAATTGAAAATCAGCTCAAATGAAATCATAATCATAATTTCCTAATATTTTAACTATTTTAATGATTTTAAAATGTAAGATCCGTAAATGTTTATATTCCAATTCCAATGGATTCTTGTTCAGGAAACAAACACTACTATGCAGGTGAGAGGGGCGACAGACCTCTTTTAGCTAGCTCTGGTTCCACTGTTCAGACAATTGTGAGGGTCGGGGCCTCCCGTAACAACGTGATCTCCAAAACCTGTTCGTAAAAATGTATACGAAAATCTTGAACATACAAATTCGTAACAATACATACGAACTGGCAGTGGTTAACCACGCCCCTTGAGTGAACAACATGGCGGACCATGTTGGATTCTTGAGTGAACGTCTCTCCGCCATGTTGGATTTTTTAGGGGGTTAGGGTTAGTATTCTATTCTTACAAGTTAACATTGATTTCTCATTAAAAATGCAATCATAACACATTTTACATCATTAGACTTCACAAAGTGTTTTTACGGGGTGCAGGTCCCCATTCACTTTGAATAGGGTGACGTCATCAGTTGCAGTCCGTATTTATTTCGTATGTATCACTACGAATTTGTATGTTAAAGATTTTCGTACACATTTTTACGAACAGGTTTTGGAGATCCGGCTGCCCGGGTTAGGGTTTAAAGGATATGTTTAAAAAAAGATAAAATATTGATCAATTACGAATGTCATGTAATTTGAGCTGACCTTCCCTTTAGTTTTAATTTTCCCTTTGTAAGCATCATTCCTATGCTGTTTTACTATCTCACTGTTTCAAGAGTCCACCTCCAAAGACCAGCAGGTGTCTGTCACTGGGGGAACCCGAGCAATTGTTGTGCAAACAAGAACAGTCCTTGAGACAGTGTCGAGGTCCACCTTGAACCCGGTCAATACTATGCTAAAGAATACACACAAACATGACCTGTACAGATCCACAGTTTTAAGATTCCTTAAAACCGCCATTTGACACAAATACAATTTGAATTACATTTTCAAATATTTAAATGTTTGTGTATTTTGAGTCTTAAGCCTGAAGTAAAATTCATCACATTTCAGGCTAAAATTAAGACCCTTTACGGCAGGATATAGTCATAGGTGTCAAATTGGACCCAGCGCGCATGTACAGGTTAATAAGCGGTTCACTTCCTCACTTGAAGCGGGTCTTCCATGGGAGCCTCGGCCCGCTCGCACTTTATTCTAGCGCCTCTGTGCCGAGGCAGGAGGCCCTCTGTCGGCCTGTCATTCTAAATCAGCCCGCTGACTCTTACTGCGGCCATTTTCTGCTGACTAACACACACACGGGCCAGTAGGACCGAGCTAAACTTCAGCTAAGCATTCTTCCTGCGGGAGGAACAGAAGGAGACACACGCACAACGCGGTTGTCAAGTGACTGACACGCCGGCGGGGGTCTGTGCCTCCTAGTCAGTGTGGAGCCTGCGCGGAGGTGACTTTAGTCACAACTTCATTCAAAACTGCACGAGTTTAAATGGTCTCATAATGAATACTTCGTCTGTGACATTGGACATTATCCCCCTGGATGGTTTGCAGTGAAATTCGGCTGATATTAAATGCCCCAAAATGGCTTAATTTCAACGAAATGTTAACTTTTGTTATCGTGAGATTCGGATGGCTTCCGCCCTGCGATGTGGGGGAATGACACGATTTGTCGAAATGATGCGGTGTTCCGCGGATCATGTGTAGGCCGAAAGGAAGAGAGGATCCTTACGATTCAATATTGTTCCCAAGTTGGCTTGTGTAAGCTGTACATTGTCCTGGGTGACAGGGACACTTTAATTGACAGGTTTCTGAATGAAGTTTAGCACCAGATGCTCTCCTTGGACATCGGTCACTTATCGGACTGTTTGGACGCCTTAAACTTGAACACGGAGGTAAATCGAAGAGACAAGTTAATATCAGCGCTGCCACTTTCTACTCTACTTTAAGCTGCGCAGCTAATGTCAGTAGCACAACTCCTCCATTGCGTCTTTTTGAAAAACACGAAACAGCACAGCAGTAGGAAGGAGCGCTCTACTGCATTACGGTACCGGGACAGGCTTTGTCCTACCATCTCGAAGCAAGTTACGGCTGGTGTCAGCGCCTGCCCATCTCCCGGTTCCGGTCCTTATTATTCCACACTCATTGCCATCATCGTGCGCGTGACGGGATTAAAGCCGCTGTGCTGCGCAGACGTGCAGCTCCGCTCCAGTGACCCCCCCGCCCGGCCGGCAGGCTGCGGCAGAACAGAGCTGTGTGTGTGTGTGTGTGTGTGTGTGTGTGTGTGTGTGTGTGTGTGTGTGTGTGTGTGTGTGTGTGTGTGTGTGTGTGTGTGTGTGTGTGTGTGTGTGTGTGTGTGTGTGTGTGTGTGTGTGTGTGTGCGTGCGTGCGTGTGTGCGTGTGCGTGTGTGTCTCTCTCTCGTCTCCCAAAAAATAATGCCTTACTCCTGATAGTTTTCTGTTGTGCTGTGTTTTATTCATTAAAGGCCAACACATTTACAGAAACCATTTTCTACCTCTACCTTCAAGTTCTACTGTTTGTTAGGGCCTCTGATTGTTCGAATGCTGTTAAGCTTTCTCCTTCTCCTCCTTCTTCTTTCTATTTCTTCCATACACATTTTGAACTGCAGAAAGAAAAGAATAAAGGTTTTCCAATGCCGTTTTCCTTCAAATTCTCATAAACTTCAACTTTCACATTTTTCTGCTTTGTCAATCTTTCAGCTATAGCCCCCATATTAAAATGTTGACAAAAGTAGTTCATAAAAACTGCTTGTTGATATCTATTCAACTTTCTTCAATATCATTGTTTCATCAGTTTCTGAGACTGAGAGCTAGAGTGAGGGATTGGAATGTTAGGATAGACCAGCGTCAGGAGCTGGTTCAAAAAATATTTCTAGTCTGTCCTTAATGCCACAATCTTCACTCTTCACTCTTTATCCATTTGTGGATAAAAATGATGGGGTGCTTATGCTGGCCGTACGCATGTGTCTATAAAATCCCTCAGACATTTACTTTTGCACCGTAGGCTCCAATGCAAATCTGCTGACATATTTCTCAAAGTAACTAGAAGGTACACGTTTGGAAAACTTGTGATAGAACCATATTTATGACACGCAGAGACATATAGATCATGTCAACGCGGTAGAGTCTCTCAGCGTCTTTGTGGTGGCGGCCGTGGTTTGGCTCGGCTGCAGGGGGGACGGAGAAGGGAGTGGTTCAGGGAACGGTGCCGGGGGAGGCATAATCAGCCTCAGGTGGGACTAATCAATCTATGTGTTCTACCTTTAAGGAGAAATCCGGCGACAGTGAGAGGGCTGAGCAGACGAGGAAGCTGGAGACGATCTTGTGATATTGGTTGTAAACGAGTGAATAAAAAGATACACAATGGACCCAACAGCTGCTTGCTCGTCATTCCAAGGCCCCCCCGTAAGACGAACTTGCCACAGCCTTATTTCTCAGATAACAGTTATAGTCGATTCGAATCCCTCAGCTGCTCACTGTGAGTTTGGGTAAGGACACTCCGCTGGGCTTCACATACCCCCATCCCGCAGATGGGGGACTGGGTATCCCCTGCCTGCGAACCACCATTCCGAGACTCAGGGCAAAGCAGATGAGAAGGCAAGCAGAAGCTGAAGATAAGGACCTGCAGGTGCTGGAGGGGCACCCGGACTTCCAGTTTCCATGTGATGCGGGCTGCAATGCACGTGAAACTCTTGGCCACCATGTCCAAAGCTGCACAAGAACGCACGACGAACGGGTCAAGAGGCATAACAACGTGGACAACTGGGTGTCTCAGTGCCTAACCAGAAAGGTCTTGATAGCGTACACTGCAGCAGGGGTGTTGGTGAAGAAAAGAAAAGAAAGGGTAGCTGAGCTAGGAGACTTCTCCTCTAATGAGTAAGAGCTCGCCAACGTCTTGAACAGATTTGAGCAGCAAAAACCAAGGAGGCTTCATAGCGAAGGAAATCTTCAGAGTAAAAAAGATGTTTCAAGTAAGTTTAAAAAATAAACCAGGACAATGATGACGGGGATGACGAACATTAGGACCGCACAGATCCTCTTCAAGTCAAAGACAACGTTTTGTATGTTGGTTTTAATTTATTTAACTATCGTTTGTTAAATATATGTACACTGAATATAAATGGAGCCAGATACTCTGTAAAGAGATCCCTACTCCACCAGCTAATGAAAGTGAAAGCTGCTGATGTAATGTTTTTACAAGAAACTCACCACCAGTAGGAGGGGGGGGCCTGGAGACTCTAAAGGTTTTAACTTTGTCTTTGTAAACGTGTATGCACCTGTCTTTTTAAAAGTTTTAAGTAGTGTGCTGAGCAGAGTGAATGTGGAGGATTTTTTATTTCTAGGAGGGGATTTTAACTGTACAGAGGATGAGGCAAAAGACAGGAACCACCAGGAACCTCACAGGCCTTCATAAAGAGCATTGAGGCAGCTGGTAGAAGAGCATTGGATGGTCGATGTCTGGAGGAGGGGAAATGGAGACGACAGACAGTACACATGGGCTCATTCCAGGGGGAATTTAATTTCCCTTGGCGTGTATGTGGGGAATGAATGTATTGTAAAGCAGAACTGGGAGGGGGTTATGGAGAAAATGAAGGGAAGACTGGCTGAAGTCACAGATGTCATATAGAGGCAGGACTCTGGTAATAAACAATCTGGTGGCCTCAGCTCTGTGGCATAAGCTGGCCAGCATGCACCCCCCTAAAGGCCTCACACAGAAGCTACAGGCCATCCTCACAGATTTTTTCTGGGACAGGCAGCACTGGATCACGTTTAACTATTTCAGTCATTCTGAGTAATTCCATTTGTGGCTATAATCTGGGCTTGATCTCCC